ATAGTTAGCGTCAGCCTTTGTGTACAATCAACTTATATTCCAGATGGATCGGATATCATGGCCTAGGATGCCATGTGTCGGCCTGGACCTTAAACTCCCGATGTCTGCGTTTCCGTTGCCTACATGTTGCTCTCCCTAGAATGCTTCTTAGAATATTATGTACCTATATCAGATCCCATGTAGTCATATCGAGACTGTATTCATTATTACTTCCCTACATAGGTAAGCTATGTACCGTCATTATTCCCTCAAATAGCAAAGAACTAACTAACCGGGATCCAAGCGAGTATTCCAACGCGCAATGGAAAAACAAAATCGAGTCCAAAAGCAAATACCTAGCAATCATCCGACCAAGTCCAAAAAAAAAGAAACAAAGTTCTAACCGAAAGAGGGAAAGAAAGAGACTAGGTAACTCCTTAGTTATCAAAATCCAAGAACCGCCAAAAAGTGAAGCTTCACAGAACTCAAAACGCTACCCCAATACCGGACTCGTGGTACCGCATATGTCCCTTGTCCTGATACAGAGAGAACTGATGGTGCTGCTGCTGGCCCTCGAAGATGGTCGGGTAGCAGATACCAGAATCAACATCCTTTTCTGCAGCAGAGGAGGGAACCTGGAACGAGGTGCGGGGAGTGATAGCACTGGAAAAGGCACTAGAGATGGAGCTATTGTTCCGTGCTCTGGGGCCGCCGGTGATGGTCGTGGTAGTCGATGCGACTGTGGTGCCGCTCAACGTACGGGTACGCTCCCAATTAAACTCATTGCCGCCGGGCACAAAGGCTTGCTTTGGGGGCGGAGAGGGTTTGGTGGGGGTAGGGAACATCCATTGAGTTACCCGGGTTGAAAGAGAGGAAGGGACTGAATCGATTGTGTCTCGGTTCTCGGGGAGATGGATGGAGGGGCGACATGGTGATGAGATCTGTGATGGCATCGTGCGCGAGCTGGCTGGCGAAGGGCTGTCCTTGGACATCACTGAGTACTTGGATGGGGACGTATCCGGCGATTCTGTGTACATGCTCTTGGATGCAGTTGGAGTCCGAGGCACTCTTCCGCAAGATTGGCTAGCTTTTGCATCGTTTGGCGACGGGGTATTCAATATAAGCTTGTTCCCTTCCGATATTGACCTGCCATGGACTGGAGATGCTACCTGAGTTCCTGGAAGAGGTATCTCGATGGGAATGAGCCTGGAGAAATGCGGAACTAGAGTACTAGTGGTACGAACGGGCTCTTCGACGAGCAGTGGCTCCCTGTTCCCAAGTGATCGGCGTTTCCGGGATCCGACTGGCTTGCGAGAGACTACAGATGTCTTTTGACAATATCGATCTCGAACGCCGGTTGAAGTCGTGAGGGCACGAGGGGGCACCGGTAGCGTCTTGCGCTGGGTGCTCTCGTTTAGTTGGAAGGTTTCGAATGAAGGTAGGTCGGACAATCGATTGCCTGATCGATGAATGCGGAGGTCCAATGGTTGATAGGTTGGTGGTGGAGGAGAATGGAACGACTGTGACGGGTGATCGTGGAAGGATTGCACTCTGCGAAAGTCTGAAGGTGCGCCGATCTTCAACGGGGTGGTTGAAGACCGTTTTAAAGACATGCTTGCCCGGTTGGAGGCTCGCGAGGCCAAGTTCCGGCTGTCGTTTAGCCATGATGACAGTGAGCTCCGATGTTGATGGATACTTGGGAGGTCATCGTATACCACCAGCTTCATAGGTGGAACAAGGTGCGGTTGAGTGTGGCATACTTTCATCTCCCGCTCAACGCCTGTAAGGTATATTAGTCTACCATCTCTAGAGTTTTGATGTGTATTGCACACATACCGTTCCCCGCTTCTCTAGGTTGACTACCATCCTCGCCCGGTAGACATGTCAGACATGATCGTATCCAACCAGTGAATAACGACCCTGCCTTCTCCAAAGCCAGCATGATGGCGACCAGCGCGTCGAGAAATCAAATCAATCCATCACCTTCAAGGTAAAGGAAAGAGAGAAACAAAGGAAAGGAACAAATTAGTTGCACAGGCAAATCAGCCCCTCAGACGGGATGGGAATATCCCATCCTCGAAGCCCAAACATGAGCGCCTTACCCAATTAGTGCAGGTACACACCATCGTTGGGACTAATAAACCGGGGCTATACCCAGTAAAGTAATACATCCTGGTGCCAGCGCATTTAGCACCATTGATCGTCGGTGACGGAGCTGATTGAAGCATTGCTATTCGTTAGCGCCTGGTGGAGTTATCACATCCGTGCTTATTCTTTCAAGCTATACCCTGTCCAGTACTTTTTATTGTGATGAGCAACTTGGGCGCTTACAGAGATTGAAAGGATAACTCTATTTAGAATTTCTTGAAGTTTCATAATGTTTTGCATTCTTCTGGTTTCGGTTTGAAGGATATATACAGAACACAGATACAAATATACCAGATCAAGAATGAGTAGATGAGTAAATAAGGTAGATGATCAGAATCCAGGCATCAAGAGCCAAAGTACACTGCAGAATGCCCTATTTGCCCCATACATTGTCCTGCTCTAAGTCGTCGTAGGCCCATTTGGGCCGATTTTCGTCATGACTAGACTCTGGCTGTGCCGAGTTGGCTTCGGCCTCTTCTTCGATAGGTTCATCGGAAAGCCTTCTGGAAATTAGAGCCTGGGTTAGTACTCTGCTAGAGATCTCTAGGGCTGCTACCCGCCAATGATTCGGGAACTTACGAGAATCGTCGAGGTTCAGGCTCTGCCCAGGCAGTGCCATACTCTCTCTGTATTTGAGCTCGGTCTTCCTCCTCGGCCTCCGTATTCTCCACAACAAGGTCAACCAGCTGGCTGCGCTGCGTGCCGCCCGAACTAGTGGAGCTGACGTTTCGCTGCAAGGGACCGGGAGTCGCCGAGCTTGGGCCAGGTTTATTGGACTTTGGTTTGGGACTTTGCTTGGTCTCACCATCTGATGCGCGGCTTTTCCTGTGCCTACGGGCCTTTTTGACATCTGCCCCTCGGTTTGAATCTTGATTTCTCCGCGACGGCGGCAGCCGTTGGTCCCTTGGCACCTCGTTGGCGGTAATCACCGGGTACTATGCGCGGTCAGCATTGCAATCACAACGAACAATCCGCATCAGGATAACTTACATTCCAGTCTCCAAATTCCAGTGCGCGAGCATTGAGGAATAGTCGCTCATCCTCATCGTCCATTGCGGTTTCATCAATTTCACTATAAGATCGGAATCTCTCTCTCGATGTCTGACTGGCCCGCTCACTTCTGGGGCCGCGTTCACTGGGTTCACCGCTCAATAGAGGCGTGCGACTGTTGACTTCACCCGGTTTGGGGATCCAATATTTTGCCTTGCCTCCACGCTCATACCTCATGCCGGCCATTACTCGCTTCACCCGCGAGCCTGACTCCTCATGCGGGATGATATTGTCACCCGAGTCAAAGAGCCGGTATCCGTAATTCTTACCGCGAATGGTGAACTTCGTGTCTTCAACCAAATCCCGCACGCCAAAGGCGTCGCGCATCGCGTATTTTACGGGCATGCGTGCAGCTGAGATGGTCGGGTCCGCATAGTCGTGCCACGAAAATGCATACCAGTGAGCCATAGCAAATAATGGCATCTCGAAACAGATGAGACTGTCCTGAATGGCCGCCGCGAGGTTATCGGGGGTGTACCCAGCGACACTACCAAGCGCTCCCAGCCACTGTAGGATCGACAAGAAGAAGCCTTGCCAATATGAGGCAAAAATAATAAGTTTAACGCAGAGGAATTTGGGAACTGGGCGGAACGGCGTGAGGTCATCATGCAGACAAACCCAGAACATGGCAAGGGAGTAGAGACTGATCGTGACGCTGACATTATATATGATACCTGTCCAGAGGTATCCAGAGCCCAGCCCAATATAGCCCTCTTGATACGTGTCGGTTGCCTTCATTATGACTGAGGCAAAAGCCAGAATGGGCTTCAACCAAGCATACTGCAGGATACCACGTTTGACGGCGAGGAAGGTGTGGGGATCCGAGATGTCAACCTTTGAGAGGAAGTGATTGAGAGGCCAGGCATGGGAGACAGGAGGGCGGCCATGAGCCATGATAATCACGGCCCTCTCGCCGCCGAGGAAGTTGATGAGGAGCTGGAAGAAGGTATAGATGGTGAATGCCTGCCAATGCCATCCGTTAATACGGGCCTATTCGAACAGTTGAGGACCCCACATACCTCGTAGATATCGCGAACAGGATCCAGAAACTGAGCTGCCCTCAGTGACACTATGCTCGTCCATGATGATACTGCGTAAATCGGGACCCTAAGCTCAATCAGCACTGCTCCTTGTCCCCGCCCCCTGAGCTGACACTCCAGTCAATACTGACATCAACAATATGCGCACCACATAGCGTTGGAGCAAGGGTTTCCGGTAGTTTTTGCTATATATATGATGAGCTGTTGTTCTCGAATTGGGATGGTATAAGCTCGTACGTTTGAAACCATATGGACCTGCGGTTCGAGACAGCATGTTAGCTCAGGAGTCTACAACGACCGCGCCTATGAGTTAAGATACGCAAGATAAATTAAACTCACACAAGGGATAAGAGAGAGGAAACCAAAGCCGAGACACCTGTGACAATAATAATTGCGCGTGCCAGGCTGGAGCCTGTTCCTCCGCCAGCTGCGGTCGTCATGATTGTTGAAATTTAGGGACAAGTACGGGTTGGGGACCGCTTTTTGCCTGCGGGGATAATCCAGCTCATTCCGCGGAGTCGATAGAGGGGCAAAACATGCTGGTCAAAACCTAAATGGGGGGTTAATCAAGCTGGAGAAATGTTGGTTCGGAATGAGGAGGCGTGTTGTCCGATGACGATCTTCTCGTGACACCGCTCTCGGACTTCCTAAACAACGTCCTCACCCTGCGACTTCCAGGATATTTGACCCAGCCACTTTGGTGTCGATGATTGAGAGGTCAAGTTTAGCTCGTCATTCGCGTTCTATCGCGCCGACGCTGTCCATGTTGGCTGGCGGAGAGAGATGGGTAGTGCAAGCTTGACATCGACCTTCCTGACGCCGGATCCAAGCTTCAATTGGTAAGGAATCGCTGCTTGGACCATGGCTCTCATACTGATCGATTTAGGTTCTTCCTCTTGGAACTGATTGTCTCTTGCATTCTGTAAGTTTGCGCCGTTCAACGAGGCTGGATTACGCTGATAACCGACACAGCGCTCTGTTCTTTTTGCTCTACTTCAATCGACTATTCGCGAACATCATCTCTTACGCGATTCGAGCATACACCTGGCACTATTATCGCGCATACGTCGATATCAACGCACTTCAAGTCTCCCTACTTGGTGGGAGAATCTTCTTCAAGGGCATTCGGTACCATGGCGTGAACGAGACAATCTTTATTCATGGAGGATTTATAACATGGCGCTACTGGACGCGTGCAGTTGAACGAAATGACTTGCTGGGGATCCGACGCAAGGCAGGTCTTGCTCATCATACCGCAAGGGAAGGACATCCGAGGTCCTCGAGCGATGGAACGGACGACAATCTGGGGGAGCAAGGTGGCATGGGAAAGACAACCGAGTTGCCATGCCGGATTACTATCAATGCATATGGCCTTGAATGGTTTATCTACAACCGGACTCCCGCCTACGACAGTATCCTTGCGGGCTTTGGATACTCTCCCAATAATGTTGATTTAGACAACGACAGTTCAAACCTTCCAGGGTCTCATCCGACGGGAGAAGATGGCAACGGAAGCAACGACTTGGACTCTGAAGATATGCCCGACTGTCGTCCAACTATGAAACCTATGTCAGAGCGCAGCGCGAGTGAGAGGGGCGGGGTTACGTCGCAGACTACTATCCGGGAATCAGAACTATCGGACCCTGTGTCCAACATGTTACAACTCCTGCCCATAAAGCTGGATTGCCAGAAAGGAGCTATTGTCATGGGAAATGAGCATACTCGATCTGTGTTGACAACGACATTCAACACTGGAACGGGTACCATCGATGCTTCCAATTCAGGCCCACTTGATTTGTATCGTCAAATATTTTCATTTCAACTCAATAATCCGGTGATTCAAATGCGGCCAAACCCAGACTTCAAACAGAACCAGTCGGCGACCGCCAAAGACCAAGGTGCGGTCCATCAGAAAGAGCCCAAATCGAAGAAAAAACCGCAAAATATCTTCAACTACCAATTCCAGAGGCGCAGGGTTTGGCACAGCATTCGAGACTTGGTCCCATATTTCCAGACATCTGTTGAATCATTCCATGACGATGGCAGGTACACCAACAGTATGCCGAGGAGCCAGGCAGAGTTTCCTGAAGTCCGCTGGACCGGTCTCTCTCGGTATCTGGACGAAGATACCGAGGATGACCATGAAAAATGGACCTCAGTCGAATATGGCAGGTTTTCTACCATCGTGGATAGCCCCAGCTTGAATATAGCCTACTTCTGGGATGTCCCTGGACGAGTCATTATTCCGCCAACGTCAACTGTTCGGTCTCAACCAATGGATATCAATATCAATCATACCCAGCCTCCCGAATGGGGGATCGACCTGAAGATTGACGGAGGTACGATAAATTACGGACCATGGGCTGATAGGGAGCGGGTTGGCCTACAGAATGTCTTTTTTCCAAACTTCTATCGCAGCGCTGAGGTGACAGAGCAACTAGCCCCCGGTGTTCTACGACAAAGCACGGCATTTAGGTTGCGTGTGGAAATCAATAAGGAATTGACATTGCGAATTCCAACACGAGAGTCTTCCAAGGATTGGCAATGGAAGGGTCGCGCTGATGCCGTTGGGGGTGCATCGAGAGCAAAGAAACCAAATGAGCAGAAGAATGCCCGAGCCAAAGAAGGTGAAAAGGGTTACCTTGGCCCTGAGATTCGCCCTTTTGGGTGGCTCTCCCTTTGTGTTGCCGCCGACTCTACCATCAATTATACCATGGACATGGTGGGATCGAGCGCAGGGTTTCGCAATGAACTCTCTATCGACTTGCGGGAGCCAAGGCTGTCATCCAGCATCAACCATGGCTTGCTTTGGCAATGTCCTCGGCAACAGGTCACTTGTGATCTATCCAACCCGCTCTCCTGGAATAGTCTTCGCTCCTGGAGATTTACTGCCGAAAGCCAGGACCTACAATTGTTTCTCTTACGCGATCACATATTCCTTCTCACAGATCTTGTGAGTGACTGGGCTTCGGGACCGCCTTCGGACTACTACGCATTTGTTCCTTTTATCTACAACCTCGATCTCAATTTCTCCGACTTCCAACTTTACATTAACGTCAACGACCGAAACATCATCAGCAATCCTTCGGATCTAGAGGACAACCGATTCATTGTCATCAAAGGCAAGCGTCTGACGTCGAATGTCATGATTCCATTGAACCAATACCAACCTGAACAAAATGCCATCGAGTTCAGCGTCAACCTTGAAGATGGCGGCGTGGACTACACAACACCTCTATGGGATACCCTGCATGAGTTTTTGCCGCAGAAATCCATGGCCACTCTTGAGAAGTTGTTCATTGACGGCTCCTATAATTATTTCCAGTCAACATCCCCGGAACTGACCGACACACTGGTTCTCAACATCGATGGAACTTCACCTCGTCTATACCTTTTCGGATTTTTGATCAAGAGTTTCATGACGATCAGAGAGAACTATTTTGGCGAAGAGATGCACTTTAAGACACTTGAAGAATACCAAGAGCTGGTCTATGCCGATGAGCCACCGTCAAATCCCACAGGCATCAACCCAAACCGAAAGTCCAATGACATGGATGTGCTTGTGCGTGTCACGGTTGACGGCCCCCGCGCTTTGCTTCCTGTGAATATCTATGATCACTCAAAGTGCATGGGACTTAGCGCAGCCTCGCTCGAAGTGGATTTGCGCTTTACAAACTACTATATGGACTTGCAATTCTCCATCGCCCCGCTGAAAATTGATTTGGAGAGCACCCAACTGGATGGCCCTTCCACTATCTCTAGTGCCCAGTTGTTCATTGATGGAATCTCGGTTTACGGCCATCGACTGTTTGGTTTGCCGCCGCTTGAACCAACCTACGTTTGTAATTGGGATTTTGAAGTCGGTAGAATCGTCGGAGAATGCTCCATCGATTTCTTGGCTTGTTTAGCTTCATCATTGAAGAGCTTTGATATCTCGTTTGACAATGACGAAAATGCGTTGCCAACGCTGTTCCCGGAGCTTCTATTTGACGTGACTTTCTTGAGAGCCAAGATTGACTCGATTCATATGTCCGTACTACTGGACCAAACAGCTGTGATTTTGAGCACGCGGCCCTTGAATGTGAACTTCAACGATTGGGCAAACACCAAGTTTTCGAAACGCATGAGCCTTCTCGTTCCGGATATATCGATCGCTGCCGTTGATCGTCAATCTGTCTCGCAATACAATCTATCAGCAGGAGAAATGATCTCCCCCATAGGACTTTTTCAGTTCACAATTGGGCTGAAGATGGCTTTACGCAAATCCGATATTGCCGAAAGTCGACGACTTCAGCAAGAACATATCAAAATACATGATCAGCGGACCCACAGGCACAGTGGTTGCTTTTTGACTGGGAGGAGACTGGCCCAGCTTCAACCCTTCCTCCTGATGACGACGTATTCCCTCCGACCATGGCCATACCTTCAATGCCTGAGCCTATTCATGACAGGATTGGCTCTGTTGATGCACCGTCATACCAGGAAGCTTCAGGTCCTCGTACAACTAGAAGCGCCAAGAGCTTTCTTGTCCAGTCAGAGGCGTCAAGTATGAAGAGTGTCCGGATACACACTGCCAACAGCCCTGGAGCAGCCTCAGATCCTGTTTCTAGATCACGACCTTTTCTGCCTACCGGGGATCGAGCGCGTCTATTTCAAGAACTGGCCAGTCGAGAGATGGACCAAACCACAGGCTCGAGGCAGCCGCATCCTCGCCTTCTGCGACAAGAGACGCAAACCCGTGGATAATGCCACATTTCTCGTACTACAAGCTTCATTTGGATACATCTGAACTTCCATTGCCATTTACAGATGATGGTGATACAACGGGTGGAGACTCTGCGATGGATCAAAAGTCCGTGTTTCTCACATTTGATGATGATCAAACGAAATACACAAATCTTGCGTGCAATCTCCCTCTTGGTATCCAAGGATTTTGTACACCCAAATTCCTTCTTAGTCTAGCTACCTTACTGGACGGGTTGGAACCGAAGCATCCTACGCGAATCATTGACTCGCTTCAAAAGGATGTGGTATCGAACATCGTCGGCTACAACAACGCCATGAGCCAACCTAAAATTTCAACGGCTGTTGCTCTTCGTGTCCCGTCTATCCGATTACGACTAGTTGACCTGTCTAAGGCTCCCAACAACAATCAAATCGAGTTCCGAGATGATTACAACATCGAGGTCCGTCGCCTGCATACTGAGTTCCGGAGAAAGGTTCAACGTCAGAAAGGCGATCTGCTTGAAGGTCTCAAACAAGGTGTGACAGTTCATGCGGCAGCGGACCACGTCTCAATTTCCATCGAGGGTAGCCGAGCAGATTCCTTCCACGAGAAGGCTGTGTTCAACTCTCACATCGAAGATTTGAATTTCTGGCTCGTGACCTCGCCCAATGTTCGTGCTAATCTTCAGATGCGAACATTCAATACAATGACATCAGCAAAGTCTGTGGAGCATCTTGCATTTCTGGTTCGTCGAGCCACGACTATGTTTGATTCTGTCGCGTCATCCTTCCAACGGGTGGTAATGTCCAGCGAGAAGCGCCTACAATACCTCCTGTACTCCCTCACCCAATCGGCCGCTGATATACCGGATCCAATATTCCTTGCTCGCATATCTTACGTCCTCAGGGTTGCTTCGACTCACTTGCGGCAGCATGACTCGTGGAAAATCATATCTCGCATTCGCAAGATTTACAAAGGCCTACCTACTCATCACAAGCGTGAGTTGGAGCAGCAATGCTTGTGTGATGACTTCCCTCTGCCGGCGAATGCCGAAAAGGCTGTATTGTCCGGCTTTGACCACTGGCGAGCTTGGGACCTTGCACATGTTGCTAAAAGCTATGTCATGCGCCGTGTTTGGCCGCACGCTGTTGAACGGCAAACTTCCCAGCCTTCGATGTTCCTATCCTCCACAGTGCAAACACTCCGATTCTCCATGGATCCTGGTCCAAGAGAAAGCGATTTGATAATAGGGAATCTGTGCACTGTTGCATCATTTGCCCCATACTCGCCTGAAGCCGAAGGGGGAAGCGGCAAGAAACTCATCACCCTGCAGACTTATTGCGGATCAACAGCCCTGAGGCTGCGCTGGGAAATTCTGGACCTCGTTGAAGGGGTGATCAAGGTCATGTCGAATATCACACTTGAATCATCGCCAGGTCATGTCCCAGTTGACAAGGTCCAAGAGAAAACACCCACCGAACTCCAGTTCATATTTGGCACTGATTTTGGCTCAATCACTCTCGACGGTATCAATATTAAGCTTGCTTTGATAGCGAAAGGTCTCCGAGGATCGATCGTTCAAAAGTCGCTTGGTACCAAAGAATCGGAACCCGAAGACCTCGCGGTATTGTTTAGTGCTGAAGGATGCTCATCCGAGCTCCAAAGTCAATCGTCAACTCTGATGTTGTCAAGAATCGCTGACCCATACATGTACCTTTCGCTTGCATCAGGGGAAGATGACAACGAGCGCAAACACGATTGGAAGCTCGCTGGGTCCTGCAGGAAGCTTCGTTATGACATGAAAGAGGATCCTGTCAGCCTGGCGCACACAGCAGACAGACTTATCGCGGACGAAGTCAGATACATCCGGCAGCTTATGGATAGTGTCAAAGTACCAAAAGCAAAAGCCGACCAGAGCCTTGCATCGAAAAAACCAACCCGTGACACCTTCCATGTAACAACTTTCTTGGAAGACTATCGGTTGACGTTTAGCCTTCTGCCATCTTTAACCTACCTTGTGTCAGGCGAAGTCGCTCGCATGTCTGTGATGCCGGCAGAGGCATCCAAAATCGAGGTCGACTTTGATGTGAAGAAGAACTCGCACATGTTCGTATCGGGCGAAGGCGAGAGATTCAATGTCTTATCCATGCTGGAAATACCTCCCGTAAACGGGCGAATCCTTGCTAACCTCTTATCGGAGCGCAAGGAAGTCGAGGTCGATATCACCATTGAACTCATTCGTCTAGAAACCAGTGCTGTGCGCAGTCTCCTGGCTGTTTTGACAGGACCTGATGTTTCCCATTTGATTTGTGACCTCAAGCAGAATTTAGACGTGCTCCAGTCACATTTGAAAGACGTGCTGTCGCTACAGAGGGTATCCCCAAAGCCCAAACCAGCATCTGGTGGTCAGGAGATCCTCTACAAATCCCGTCTCACAATGGCTGGGTTTGAAATTCATGCCATTGCACCTGGCCTTAATAGCAAGGATTACTCTGCGGAGATGATATTTAGCCTTGGGATGATGCGTATGCGACTTCAAAACGGACTAGATCGGGGATACGCCATGGAGCATCCCGAGTTCAATATCGATGCCTCTCAGATTAAGTTTGAGCTTCTAAAACAAGAAAAGGCCAGCAGTCAATCATATGGTGGCTTCTCTGCTGGAGTGAAGCTTCAGGGAACCTCTGCGGTCCGCGAAAATGGGGAGACCACCAGATCATACCACTTCACCAGCGACAGATTCGATATCGAACTTTTCGCTGAGACAGCAGCCCTCGTAGTGGACATTGCTGTCTATACACAAGAGCGCATCAAGACTCTCGACCTTTCCCATGAAGTCAAGCGTCTTAGGAAATTGAGACATGGTGGCCACATTGATACGAAAGACGGAGCAACCGCTGCCCCCGAAATCCACGTCAACGATGATTCCACACCGGAAACCTTCCTCAATGCTCTTTACTCTTTACAATTCCGGACCATTCAAATTGCTTGGAACATGGCCACGATGCACACCAAATCTGGTCGACAGCCCGAAGACTTGGTCTTTTCAATCCAGCAAGTCGAACTGTCGAATAAGAAGAAGAACGCAGCCAAACTTCGAATCGAAAACATGCAACTTCAGATGGTACCATTCGGAGCGGACAGAGGAAAGCGCTCACTCAATTCAGCCCTTATGCCAGAGCTTGTCTTCAACGTGGCGTATTCCTCCAAAGGGAAAGAAGTGTGGCTTGCTTTCCAAGCCGCTGGTAAATCTCTGGACATACGCGCGACGTCCGAGTTTATCATTCCGGCTAGTATGATACAAGACTCACTCGCTACTGCAAGCGAGGCGCTTCGTGAAGGCAAGGCTGTTTGGGCAACCAGAGCAGACTCTCCAGGAAACACAAATACCAACAAAGATCGCAACCTTTTCGGCAACCGGCGATTGCGGTCTCTTCTCGTCGATGTTGACTTTGCAGGCGCCACTGTCACACTTCAGGGAAAACTTGGCCATGATCACCAGACGTTGTTAGCGGCCTCTTGGAAGGGTAGCCGACTCCCCGATGCAAAATATGGTCAATATGTCCAAGGGGATGCAGCGACGACAGCAACCCTCCGAGCACCGGGAGTGGCGCTCAAGGTCCAATTCGAGGATAACGGCACCGATGATCCAGCACTAAATGCAGAGTTGAAGGTCGACCCCTCGACGAATACATTGTACCCAACCCTTGTTCCCCTTGTGAAGCAAATGACCGCCACAGTCAAGGAAATCATGGGCAATCAGCAGGGCCAGACTAGAAGGCCATCTGCTGCAGCAAAGTTACAGTCCCAGAAACTAATGCAGGAGAAGCAATTTGATGCTGCCGATCCAACCAGCATCCTTGGTCGGTGCAAGGTCAACCTAGGACTGCTGTTTTGTAAGCAGGAGTTTAGCTTAAGCTGCCAGCCTATTGCAAGAGTCGCAGCTACAGCAAGATTTGAGAGTGTCTACGTGACTGTCAACACAGTTCTATCAGAAGAGCAGGGCCGGTTCCTTGCTCTCTCTTTGGCTTTCAACAGCCTCGAAGCCTCTGTAAAGCATGTGTACTCCAATGAATCAACCGCAAGCTTCGAGGTCAAATCCATGGTGCTGTCCTTGATGAACAGCAAGCACCTTGGCCGAATGAACGGAATGTCTGCTATTTTGCGTGTCAGTCCAATGAAGGTCGCAGTCAATGCTAAACAAGTTCAAGACTCATTGCTCTTCAAGGAGATCTGGCTTCCATCCGACAATGAAACCGCCTCGAGTGAGACTGTCCAGCCAGAACCGTCTGAAACGCAGACCTATATCGTGCAGCGATACCAGCAGGTTGCGTCAGCGTCCGCATTCCCCTGGAACACTACCATCGCGATTGAGAAGGTCGAAATTCAACTCGATTTGGGCTCGACCCTGGGCAAGGCACAGTTTGCCATTGTTGATCTGTGGGTGTCTTCCAGCAAGACATCCGACAATGAACAGAACATGTGTATCAATTTCGGCTCAGTTGCGATCGAGAGCACTGGTCGAATGAGCGGAATTGTCGAACTTGGAAAGCTGAAAATCCATACCTCAATCGAATGGCCCGAGGCCTCCGTTGAGACGGGACACACACCGTTGATTCAAGCCACGATTGCCTTCCATCACCTCCAAGCCAAGGTGTCATTCGACTACCAACCTTTCTTAGTTGCACAGATCGCCATGTTCAATTTCTTGATGTACAATGTTCGAAACACGTCCGGCGCGCAGAGCCAGCGCCTTTTCAGTATCCTGGAAGGCGACAAACTCCAGCTATTCTGCACATCACTAACAGCATCACAAACATTGGCCCTGTTCCAGGCGTGGCAGCGCTTGATCCAAGATGTCCAAGCAGCCTATAAAACATCACTACGCGAGGTAGAGCGGTACCTCCGTCGAAAGTCTTCTATCCTCACCGAGCGCCTCGATGTCAGCGCTAAGGACTTAGTAAAGAAAGAAGACGACCAACCCGAAAAAGCACCGATCTCTTTACACACCGGCGTCGTCGTGAAGATCCGCCACGTCAACCTAGGAGCATTCCCAAGCTCATTCTTCGACAACCAGATCTTCAAGGTAGAAGCCTACGACGCCGAGGCCCACTTCGCCGTCTCCCTCGAATCCAACAAAATCCACAGCGCCCTAGGCCTAACACTGGGCCAGCTTCGCGTAGCACTATCCGGCATCACGCGACCCACATCCGCCCAACTCGACGAACTCTCTGTTGACGAGATCGCCGAGCGAGCCGCAGCATCCCGCGGTGGAACGATCCTCAAGGTGCCGCGATTAGTCGCTAGCATGGAAACCTGGCAGGCTCCAGGAACCCACCAGATCGACTACATCTTCCGCAGCACGTTCGAGGGCAAAGTCGATGTCGGCTGGAACTACTCGCGCATCAGCTTCATCCGCGATATGTGGGAGACGCACTCGCGGGCGCTCGCGTCTCGACTGGCAAGCCCTTGCCGCCGTCTGCGGTGCGCATCACTGGCGGGCCGGGTAGCGGTGAAGGGGGTGGTACTACTGAGAAGCAGGAGAAGATCACTGCGGTTGTCAATGTGCCCCAGTCCAGGTATACCTATACTGCGCTTGAGCCGCCGGTTATTGAGACGCCGCAGCTCCGGGATATGGGCGAGGCTACGCCGCCTTTGGAGTGGATCGGGTTGCAGCGTGATAAGCTGCCTAATGTGACGCACCAGATTATTATTGTCACGCTGTTGGAGATTGCTAAGGAGGTGGAGGACGCTTATGGCAAGATTCTGGGGTCGTGATCTTTCTCCATTTTGGAGGATATCATCGCCTAAATGCTCTGGATTCGTTCGGATACTGTTCTCATCCTTTATTGTTTTTTGCTTTATTGCCTGATACCATTATTGTTTTTGTACATAATTACATCACATCATTAACCACAGACATACTATTCTTTCGACCCGAAATTGAATCTCGAATAGAAGACCAAAACAGTAGATTTTTTTGACTATGAATCAATAAGTTGAACAAGAAGAGCCGGAACTGAGAATGAGGTATGTTCTCTGAGACACGACGAAAACCCACCCGGTGGACCCTTTTACAAAACCGCAATATCTACCATTTAAAACCGCCAAAAATTAACCGTGTTAATGCATCCTCTTTATAATAAAAGAGATTCGTCAAAATCGTAGGCCAGGGATCTATTTACAGGCCAAACTGAGCGCGCAGAGACTGGGCGAAGCGCGAGATAGCTTCGTCAATCTTCTCCGACGAAGCAGCTGCGAAGGTCGCACGGAAGAACATCTTCTCCTCGACGGTGTCGTGGTCAGGCTTGAACCAGCTGCCGCGGGAGAGGAGGACGCCTCCGTTCACAGCGGACAGGAAGATCTCTTCTTCAATATCGGCATGTGTCTTACCAGCGGCAATACCGGGGTGCTTGCGCCAGTCGATTGACATCCAGTGCTGGTTAACAAATTAGTATTCATCGCAGGATGACAAGTGGACGGCATAGACAGGGAGGATAAGAAAGACGAGGGAAAACTTACGAACATGCCAGCCGCGGGTGCTTCCCAGTGAACAATTTCGCGGGCAGATGCTTCTCACAAGCGTGAACAAGCGAGTCGCGACGAGCAGTGTACGACATGCGCAGGTTGATCAGCCAATCCAAGTACCCGGAGTGGCCCCAGTGCTCATCGAGAAGTTTGAAGAGCGCGATCTGGGCAATACCGCTAGGGTTCTGCGAGGAAACCTCGAAGGTACGGATGAAGCGCTCGATGATCTGCTCGGAGGCGACGACCCAGCCAACCCGGGAACCGGGCGAGATAACTTTGGAGAAGGACTCGAGGCGAACGACACGCCCATCAGTGTCCATGCTCAGGAATGAGGGGACAAGTGAATTGATGAACTCCGCGTGGGTGGAGGGAGGAGGCACTGGGGAGGCGTCCCCGCTGGTATAGGGCTGCATCTGCAGGAAGTAGTATGGTTCGTCCTCGACGATGATGATGTCGTGCTTCTGTGCAACCTTGTACACGGCATGACGGCGTTCCGCGGACTGGGTGGCACCGGTCGGGTTCTGGCCTGTTGGGATGGTGTACAGCACGTGAGGCTTGCGCGCACCCCGGGCAGCGACGTCCCAGCCGCTGAGGATTTTGTCCATTGCCTCCGGGACGAGACCTTGCTCGTCCATTGGGATGCCCGCCACCTTTATGCCAAGGGGGAAGGCGGTCTCAGCGGCACTGGCGAAGGTATATTCCTCCATGAGGATGTAGTCTCCGCGCTCGCAGAACACGCGGAGAGCGGTGTCCCAGGCATAGGTGCTGCCAGCCGTCAGGGTGCATTGCCAGTCGGAGTATGGTGGGCTGTGGATGATCTGATTCAATTAGTGTCTGTTGGGAAACTAAAGAGCTTTGGTGTTTTATACTCACTTCGGTGTGCTCTGTGACAAAACGAAGCAATGGGGCAGCTCCGGTAGCTTGTCCATAGTTAAGGGCAATCTCCAAGTCTAACGAATTGGATCAGTCATGGCCATTTATAATGCATGAAGAGAATTGCGACACACCATAGGTGCTAGTTCCTTCCTGAATATCGTGCTTTCCTGCGCGAAGAACCGTGCCTGACTCCCGAGTAGCCTCTGGAGAGAATCCGGGGGGAGTCGGGACCTTGATATCCAAGTGTTCGAAGGGGAAGTATTCAGGCGAGGGCAGTCCACCACCGAGGGAAATAAGGCCTTGAAATACAATTAGCCTATAATCGAATAAAAGAAAGGTGTTCCAAAGTCTTACCCGGGGTTTTCAGGTAACGAGCGGCAGTCTTCAAAGTGGACGCCTAAGGTGTAGGAGCAGATTAGCAAGTGTGGACTTTGTATTGCGCAATTGAGTGCGGACCTTGCGAGACTTGGCTTCGAGCGAGAAACGGTCTACAATCGAGTGCAATTTAGCATAAGTGGACTAATTGTGAAAACATGGGTATAGATTCAGAAAGGGCAAAGGTAGACATACGCTCAAACTGCTTAGCCTTGGGCTTGGTATAGCAGATCTAATGCGCCCAGAGACATATCAGCATTCCGCATCCTGCAATTGATTGTGCTTTTGGTCCATATCCTCACGACGCCTATGCACAACCTAGAATTCTCATACCGGGCTCTTAAACATATCACTGTTGCATGCTGCGGCCACGCCGGTGGGCACCTTGGCCGCCTTCTCTCTCCATGCAGACACGCCATTGACGGTCAAGGGTTCCGGAACAGGGACAGCCGAGGTATCTGTGACGCCCACCAGGTTGACATCTAGAGCGGCCGGTGGACTCATTGTGGTTGGGTTGGTAGCGGTGTAAATGCGAAGTGCGGAATCGGAGGGGTATGCGGGGAGGTATGCGGAAGGGGTTAGGTATATCGGGGTGTTTCGTATATCGAACTCGCAGTATGTAGTGGTATTGGCCCGATTCCGTGAAAGGAGAGCAGGTTATTATAAGTTAAAAAAAAAAAGAAAGAGCAATCGCAATGGTACAAAGGGCGATTCGGCGAAAGCGGAGCGGAACTTGATCTCTCCAGGCCGAAGTCTTTCTCCGAAGCACATGACTCATTTTGCAGGACGATATTGGTGCAACGGAGTATAAATCCACTTTTTGATAAGCTTTTCATTGGATTAGTTCGGGGTAGCTTTAGGTACATAGTGTTTCTGTTATCTCAGTTATATGCGTTGGCATGTCAAAGGGCGTGGGGTAGATGTGCTTTTTAACTAGGTATCTTTTGCATGTGTTCCGCATACAAAATATACATCCGTTTAAAATCACACATGTACATATATTTCATCTCGAACACTTAGACCTTGAACTGTGCTTATTATTAAGTGATCTATGAACTGCTAGGTCATCTCCTGAATATCCTAGTACTTCATGCCCTCCAAAGTCCATGTTCTCATGAGCTGCCCACATATTTGCCTGTGGTACCGTCAAGCTGCGCTTCTAGCACCGCTGCCTTTCCACTCAGAACACTCTTAATAGCTTCCGGAAGCTTCTCGGCAAGCTCAGCAACAGTCGAGGCACGACCAGCCCACAACTCACCACCTGCCGCAGCCTTGGCAATACCAGCATAATCCGGCGTTGGCGCAAAGGAGATATTGAGGTCTTCGTTCGTGGCACGAGAGCCGTCCCCTTCAGGGTGAACGAGCAGCATGCTTCGCCGGGGCGCATTCCAACCCTTATTGTTCAGCACGATTGTCAAAACGGGAATTCCATAGCGGCGGGCAATCCAGTACACAGACCCAGGCACCGAGAAGAGGAATGTTCCATCACCAACAACCTGGCAGACAAACTTTCCCTTTCTACGTCCCCCATGCTGCATGTCACTAGCAAGTTTGATGCCAAGTGCACCACCGCCAGACCAGCCGAGACCGCCACCTCCACAGTTGATCCACGTCTTAGGTTCGGTAGCTGAGACTTGATCCGCAACAAAGTGGGTCATGGTGACAGACTCGATAGCCCAGATGGTATCAATTGGAACGCCCTGACGAACCTGCGCCATCAGATAGTTAATATTCAAGGAGGCTCCACTGCCTCCCTCCGGGACCACAGCCAGATCGGATATCTCTTGTCGACGCTTCGAATATTCCTCGTCTCGGCATTGGCCCATAGCGATATTCTCCTCGGATCCAATGAATTGCTGTAGAGTCTGCTGGGAAGCAACGTAGTCGTTGATTTGTTTGAGCGCGGTGGAAGCGTCGGCACGGAATGTAGCCATCGAGTGGATGTAGAAAACCGGAATCTGTTGCTTCAAAGGGTCGACATCAATGTGGATAATCTTGGCCGACGCAGACGGCTTGAACTGGGTAGGCACCCAAGGGACATCGCAATCTATCACAAGGATTAGATCAGATGTTCCCACCGCTTCGTGGCCCGGATATCTCAATCCCAACCATCCGGGATGGTTGGCGGGGAAGCACATGTCGCTACCACCAGTGTCCAGTACACGGATTCCCTTGAATCTATCTGCCAATGTGACAAGCTCAGTCACAGCCTGGGACTTCCTCCCAGAATATCCAGCAATGATGAGAGGGCTCTTAGCAGCTGCAAGCTCAGATGCGATCAATTCAACGCCGGAGGTTGGTAGGGCAGCGGGTTCCACAGGACCCCAGACAGCCTGGTTTAACTGATACGGCTCGATATCCTCCTCCATGACCTCTCGCGCTCCGGCGAGGTACACAGGCCCCTGTGGGTCACTAGTTGCGAATTGCAGAGCTCGGTTGACGATTTGCTTAACATTCTTGCCGGACTTGATCTCACCAGTATACCGACAGTATTGGGAGACGATTTGCTTCTGATCTGGCACGTCTTGGATCCAGTGGATGTATTCCGTGCGCGAACCTCGCATTTCACCCTCGATTGTGTAAGGCGATAGACCAGCAAATATTAAAACCGGGGCGCGCCCGCACGAGGCATTGTGAACTGCTGCTCCGAGTCCCTGCGTGCCGACATCGACGTGAACAATTACCGCCTGCGGCTGTCCGGTCAATCGGGCGTAGCCATCGGCCATAGACAGTGCCACCATCTACATAACATAGTGTATCGTCAGCGAGACTCCCATTCATACTGCCGACTCTAACCGAAGTGCTGCCGCGAAGGTTGTTGGGTCCCATGATGCATTGTTACCGTACCTCATTGGGACAGGTGATTATTGTAGGGAATTGGTCTTTCTTTTCTTTCTGCCCTTTCACCATCGCCTCGAGGATGGATGGGTGGTCTGATCCCAAATTGACAAAGACATGGCTGACGCCGCCCTGAAGTTGTAAAGGGTTAGAATTGAATATTTTCAGAATAAAGCTGCTACTAGTACATAGAACATACCTCCCATAGGGCCTCAAAGAAAGCAAAGGAGGCTGTATAAACCCTTGTATTATGTGAGTAAAAAAAACATTTGAATGTCTGCATGGGGGAATTCTGTACATAGCTGAATCCTATTGTACTATAAAAGGTCGGATGGTCAAAGGGACGTGTTTCCGGTCTCTAAATGTCGATATCTGAAAAACAAAACAGAGAAGGGAGAAGCATGTTGGTAATAAAGCTCAAGATCCGAGGCTTGAATTGGGATCTCGGCCACAACTCCGAGAGCGGGGGGCACGAAAGGAACACCGACTACCTCTGAAGAATGCAATACATAGTATATTCCTCGGTTATGCAATATTTACAAAGAATCATCTCCAAATTTCTTGATTTCTTGAGAAGTTTCCCTTCCATATTTGGGCCAATATCTGCGGTTGATAACTAAGCGGGGCTTTTATGCCCGTGCCCCCCGGGAACCGGTCTCCGAACTACGTACATCGGCTTGCCACAGAAGCAGAGGCTCTGTTATCCAGTTCTGTGATACCGCTTTACTTATATACCTAAGGGGTCCGTATGTTATGTTATAGTGTGTGTTGTAGATCAACTTGTTACCCTATTACTAACCTATAATGCAATGGCTTTACGCAAGTTATTCAATGCAGTAGTCAACAGGTGGATAGTACATCGTATACAGAGTAGGCAATATGCAGTTGAACTTTTGGCTAAGGAATCTTGAGTTAAATAGTAGAATATCTTATTGTGTTGTCTACTACAGAGACACCTTGAGGGTATCAACCAACAAGCCTTGGAGAGCACCTACCCGTGTGGATCTTTGAAAAACCATATATTATTGTACCCGTGAAAAAGAGCGGGAACGCCCAAACGTGTGGATAAACAACCACTCGTGTTATGAAACAACCCAACAAATAGGGGTTAAAATGTGCCTTTCACCAGGCGAATGTGCGCTTTTAACAGTCCAACGTGCCTTTTAACAGGCGAACATACCTTTTCAGTAGGCAATAGTGGGTTCGATAGCTTAGGGTGACAGGAACGCCTTGTCTAAGTCAAGCTCCGCAGGAGGCTGTAGCGCTATGATAGCAACCGAACGAACGGACATATTACCTGATAAGGATACTTTAGATGTCTGTGCTCCACAGAGATGTAACGACAAAGCTGATGATCATCTGTACCTTGTCATGAAGCTCTCTATATAGCTCCATAGAGGCAAATAACCAAAGGCCTCGAAACCAGAAAAAGGAACTCAAAAGGGCAAAGGAAGAACTGACAAACCTGCTTCAAAGTGATGGAATAAAATATGGCAATATTCCACTAGACCACCACAAAAACCAAGGTTCTTGTTGAGGGCCGAAGCCCTCCCAGTTTGACACAAAGCAATGCATTGATGCAACAATAACAAAGACGGAGCGATACCTATTCGGCGTTCGTTCGAAACAATAACGACCCCTTTACAGTCGACCGGATCTACATAGTTTGTACGGAGTACCGTATACTTATCTGGTTAATACCATACCCGCTTTAGATTGCCATGCGCCAGGTCTCGGCGAGATCTCGGCACGAAGCCTAAATAACCGCACCTCATTCGCTGCTTGGATAGATCTGGGTTAGCCTCAACACTTGTAATTACTCCCCAACATCATATCGACATCTTCCCGAGCTCGGCATGTTTTAGAACCTCCGAGGCCCACACGGCATTTGTTTGGATCATATACATGCGTGGAGCACGTCTCTCGTTCCAGACAGGGCTAGGACTGGAGGCTATACGCGTCTACGGGCTATAATCGCCTATTGTTCCTGAAACAATCCAGCCGCTGGCTGCGAAATAATCTTAAAAAGCTTTCACTAACGCCAGCTCAGCTGGTCTCGATCCCATTATTCCCCACCGGAGTATCCGGGGACTTTGGCTATTTTCGAAAGCATATGAAGTCTTGACCCCCTTTGTAATTGTAGACTCTCACTCCGGAAATATTGTATTTCTTCTTCGATTTTCCCCCCCCCAATTTCTTTTGGCACTTCTCTATCCACGGTGTCTTCTTTTCAAGTTGTCACTTCAAGTTGCCACTAAGCTAGGACAATGAACAAGTGAAGAAGAAATTAGAGCCGCGTCGAAATGGAAGCCCCAATGCCCATCGTGGGCCGAAGTCTCGCCATTTTCATGGTCTCAATTGTGATGATGTCTATCTCCATTGTGACAGTTGCATTACGAAGTTTTGTGCGACTGAATATCCTCCGGGCCTTTGGCTGGGATGATGCTCTGATGGTTGCTGCATTGGTATGGTGACCCCGTTTGATGCCACATGGTGTGACAGGGAATCCTAATTTTCTATAGATCCTTTTTATATTTCTGGATATCTGTTGCATAATTGGAGCAATGTTTGGAATCGGGCATACCTATACAGATTTTACAAGCATGGAGACCTATAAGAGAGCGCTTCTCGTATGTGATATTTATGGAAGATTTCCTACTCGTTGCTAACTATCTTCTATAGATGTGGTGGCTTGGTCAAATAATCTACATTTGGGCCTCAGCAGTTGCCAAAATATCAATTGCCGTTGCACTCCTCCGGTTGGCCGTCAAAAGGTCTCACAGAGTGATACTTTGGAGCATTATTGCTGTTGTCATTGCTATTGGATTCATGCTCGGGCTATTGCTACTCTTCGCCTGTAATCCCATCTCCCACTTCTGGGAGCAAGTGGATCCGACCAGCACGGGAACATGCCTGTCCATGTACACAATCTTGGCAGTCACCTATTTCTATAGCTCTGTGACTATATTGTGTGATGTGTCGCTTGGCCTGCTACCCATTTTACTCGTCTGGAAACTGCAAATGAATAGACGAACGAAGGTTGCGGTAGGAGGAATCCTCGGGTTAGGGGCAATGTACGTGATATCTTGACCAACCGGCCACCCTAGGGATGAATCCGTTGCTAACTATAAATAGTGCGAGTGTGGCAGTGATATGCCGAATTCCATTTCTACGATTCTACGCCGATAGCGATTTCCTTTGTATATCGCCCAACGCCCTGTTTCTTGACAAAGTCTAACATCCTCTAGATTCAACCTACCTAATCGCTATCTGTTCTGTCATTGAGACCGGCCTCGGAATTACAGCAGGCAGTCTCACCACCCTCCGGCCCCTATTCCGCCGACTCCTAGATGGAAATACGACTCGCAATCCCAAGTCACGCAAACAAGGAACATATTCAGAGACATACGCACTGTCCAATATGCAAAGTGAGGCCATGAAAGGGTCGCGAAACCCGAAACACTGGCGCCCTGATATCGACCCCGATGACACCAGCACAGTTGTCACAATCTCGTCGCAGCGGAGAAACAGGCTTTGGATTAGTAACAGCAGCCAAGAAGCCTTGTACCCTGAGCCGGTAACGCCAAACCGGGTCACGATACAGAGCACCTTTGTACAGACAGTGACGGAGGGGGGAAATTAGCGGGTTTTCTTATGTACAATAATGATTATTGATTGACCTAGTGATTCACCGCATTTAGTAAAAGCCACATAGCCCTCCAGGGCTGACCCCGGGGGTCTGCAGGGCTCAGCACCCCTCTCACCCTTCCGCTCACCCATCGGGCCAATCCACACAGTTAACTCGACTTTTACCACCGGCACGGACCTCGAAAGTCCAGCTGCATTTTCATCTGTAATACGGCATCCCCGGGAGAGTTTGCGGCTGTACCACCCCCGTCGCTTATCTTTTCATGCTGATCATAACCTTGCAAGGCTAACCATGCGGGGCTGACGTAGATGGGGCCGTGAAGGTTCGTGCCCAGGTGATTATTGGCTTGGCAAAAGGCTATGCTAAGCTGATCCCGTGAAGATTTTGTCAACCCTTGCAGGAGCTGAAGAGAACACGGGCAATGGGGCGCCTGGGCAGCAAAACGTGGTGTTGCGGCTCGTATACTAGCGAGAGAGTTCATGCAGGTATCAAAAAGCAGATCATTCGAGGCGACCAAGACACGGATCCTATTCGTCGAACAACACTAATAAGAACCCAGGCAAGGGTGTAAACAAAAGTTATATAGCCTGAGTGGTGCCCACCCCGTAGACTTGATCTGAATCCTCTCCCATGCCACATTAAACTCCATTGTACATACAAAATGTCTCTATGCTCCGATGTCCATGAGCCACCGTATAAAGTCCAACAGAGAAAGGACTCAAAGGCTCACCCCAGCCGCAAGCGCATTGTTATCTGCTGCGACGGAACATGGCAATCCGCCGTCTCAGGCAAGAAAAATGTCCCATCTAATGTGACGCGTCTCTGTCGCGCTCTGAACAGTGTCGGAACCGACGAACATGGGAATCAGTGGCAGCAAATAGTCTGGTACGATTCTGGAGTTGGCACAACTTCAGGTCCATTGGGACAAAGGATCGAAGGCGCCATTGGCCTAGGTCTGGAAGGGAATGTCCTCGAAGCGTATAACTTCCTTGTCTTGAATTACAGACCGGGCGATCAGATTATGTGTTTTGGTTTCTCGAGGGGTGCGTTCACGGCACGCACCATTGCTGGTCTGATCTCGGATATTGGCATTTGCAGTAAACAGGACCTGAACCGGTTTCCCGATCTCTGGGAGGTTTATAAGAAAAGTAAGCCCGGCGAGCGGTTCTATTGCAGTGACCTCTGGTTTGAGTGGATGGATGGGAAGGCCGATGAGAATCAGGGAGCTCGAGGTGATAGTTTCGTATTTGAGAAGCGTCCTGAGGGCGACTGGGCTCAGGAGGGATCAAGGGACGTGGAAGTTGTTGGCGTTTATGATACCGTCAGCGCTATTGGAATGCCGGAGGTACTGGGAATGAAGCTGCCATCGTGGCTCTCGTGGTGGACGCGTAAGGGTGGGTGCGAAAATGTTGAACTTTCAACTAGTAAGTATACTAATACCTCTTTTATTTGTTCTTGCCTCGGCATGATTTCATGGTGGCCGCAATACTGACAAACGGTCAGATGTCAAACATGCATTCCAGGCTTTGGCCCTCGATGAACACCGCAACGCATTTTCCCCTACTCTATGGTATCTCCCAAAAGTCGGAAACGTCACTCCAGAGCAGATACAAATCCAGAAGAGCATGGTCGATCAGAAAGCTCAAGCATGGGACGATCTCTTGCAAGACGCAATTCGCCTCAAGGATAGCGGCAATGTTAGCGATGAGGACGTCAACAACGCAGCCCGAAAGCTAAATGAGACCGCCAGAGCCTTGAATCGGGAGACTCGAAAGCTCTTAAAGCTACAAGATGGCCACAAACACCAGCACCACCCCCGAACGTTGACACAAGTGTGGTTCCCCGGCTATCACATTAACATTGGCGGAGGCTCGGGTGAAACCCTCAAAGGTGAGGGTGACATGGAAGAAATGTCTAATATCACCTTCTCCTGGATGCTGGACCAAGTCAAGCCCTACCTATCATTCAACGAGGAGTCTCTCCAAGAGGAAAGAGAAGAGAGAGAATACTATATTTCAACGCTTGTGGAAGAAACAGTCTATGAATCCTTAGGAGGTTGGGCTCGTCGCAAGATTGCAGCAATATCCTCGGCTTTCAAACCCAAACAACCCTCCGCCCCTAAGCAACCCTCCACCTCTTCTGTCGAGTCCGTGAAGCGACGCAGCTATGGTTGGGGAACAGGTCCGATGCAAGACAGCTTTACGCCATTCTACTACCTCAACGGGTCGGAGAGACGTACGCCTGGAAACAATGATCCTTTCGACAAAGACGGAAATATGCTAGGAGAGACTTTTGAGTTTATTCATCCGGTTGTGGGATTTAGGGCGAAGCAGATCAAGGACTACACGCCGATTGGGCGTGATGTCAAATTTGCCCGTCGGAAGGTGGTTGACAAGAATGGTCGCCCTGCTTATGTCTATGATCTGGGCGGTGCTCGCAAGCCTTTGCCCGAGTGGCGCTTAGGAGGAGTTGACTCTTATGAGAGACTTGCCATAACCAGCAAGGCCGCATATGATTATGTCGACGAACTAGATCTTGATTTGAAGACTGGGATCAAGACACTCCGCCGGTCTGTGTATGGAGTTCGAGATATTGACCTCGGTATTGAAGTCCCCAACACTGGACAACAGGAGGATCTCAAATCGGAGCAATCTCAACGGGGGAGCATCCAATCGACGGGCTTTGGAACTAAGGAGATGCTATTGAGGAGCTCGGATGTTTCATACAGCGGGGAGGCAGTAACTGCGGTATGATTGGCTTTTAAGAGCCTTCGATTTGAAACAATCATGCACGGAGTCAAATGCATTGGCAAGAATATATCTGTGCATGGCAGCGCAGACGGTTTTATATACAGCTTTTCTTTTTCGTGCAATGCTTTATTTAATCTCTTTAATAATAATTACACCGGACAAATTACGCAGTGCTCATATAGACGACTCCACTCGGTCCCTGGTTTCATGAACCCGCCCTTTCATCCAATCTAATATATGTGCAGCACGAACGGTATCTCGTCCTGACGAGTCGTAGGTTACATAGGCCTCAATACCTTCCTGCCATTGGTAGATAGGTGATACATTGTGTGAGAATTGATTCCTTTCACGAGGACATGAGTAGGACAATTGAGAGAGCATTGAGAGTGTTGTTTCAGACAGACAGCACAAAGGCTTTGTTGTCCTACGAGGCGCATTTATACGTGCAGAGGTTGTGACGCTGACAAGTGACCCTGTGTATAACAAGGTGATGGGAGCTATCCAGAGAGAGCAGAAAGCACAAGAGAGGACAGCGGAACGGAAAAGCCTAGTCCCGAGAACAACAAAAAATATAGCGGGCTTCATAGCAATTCAGACCTTTTGTGATTTCCATTGGTTGTTGGATATATCCACTTCTTCCTCGTTTCTGACAGCCATGGAGGTATGGGGAAGCTGACTAATACAAACAATCGGCCCGGGGCAATCTAGATATTCCGTATCCGACACTGATTCCGACAGCATGCTCACTAGAGCCCGTGCTGGCATCTATTCAGTGAGCAGGAACCTGAGCGCCTTCGTAGAAGCGGCAGCAGCCCAGATCGGAAAGACCCCACCCAGCAGACATTATCCTGTGAATCACGTGGTAGGATTATATAAGTTGATGTGTCCGAGTCAATTCCCTGCGAGCAACGATTCTGGAGAGGTACGTATGGCATGCAAATACCCCCTCGACCGTCGTCTCCACACCAGTAACTTTGTGCAACAAAGTACCTGTACTTCCCCTTCAGGAGGTTGGTTGACAGACCAGGAGCATTCGCGACGTCCCGGTGACTTTACCAGAGCTTTTTCTTCCTTCGAGTTCTCCTCTTTACCTCAATGATCGGATCCGAGGACCATAGACTTCGTCATCCGTATTCAATCGGTCCTCATTTCCTTCTCATTTCCTTCCACTGTCCATCTCAAAAAGCAGGAAGCACTGCTGCTTTATCAGGCTCCTTCCCAGCTTCCCGGTTGTGAAGTTACCAACGCGACTATGTCGAGAGATGGAGCTCTTGGATTTACCAAATGAATTATTGGTTGTAGTAGCAGAGGATTTGGAACTGCAAAGGGACTTCAGCGCCCTTGCTCGAACATGTCGCCGCCTCTTTCATCTCCTCAATTCCGATCTCTATGCCCGTGATGTGCGACTATCTGGTGGCTGGGCATTATTATGGGCTGCAACTCATGGGCAGGCGGATGTGGCCCGAAGATCACTAAAAGCCGGCGCCAACGTCAAAGCTGATACTGATACCTGCCAGCAGCCACTACTGCTAGCCGCGAGACAAGGGCATGAGGAGGTGGTACGAGTTCTACTTGGGCGAGTGGGCGTTGATGTGGACTGCCAAGACGACACCGGCCGGACTCCGCTGTCCTGGGCCGCTGGGGAAGGTCATGTGGTTATAGTGAGGCTGCTCCTAGCAGAGGATGGGGTGGACCTGAACTCCATGGACAACGACGGCGTACAGGCACCGATCTGGGCGTCGAGAACCGGGTATGACACTGAATGGGGCAGGACACCACTATGGTTTGCAGCACACAAAGGGAACGAGAGTGTGGTGGAGCTGCTTCTTGCCGAGGATGGCATCGACCCAAATGCTAGGAATATTGCCCGCCAAACGCCGCTGTCGTGTGCTGCGGCGGAGGGGCACGGTGGCGTTGTGAGGCTCTTGCTTTCTAGGGGCGACATCGAATGGAGCTCGGCGGACATCAGCGGCTCGACTCCGCTGCTGCTGGCAGCGCAGAACGGTCATGAGACCGTTGTGAAGCAACTGCTGAAGTGGGAGAATATCGAACCCGAGGGCCCAGCCGAACAGACCCCAGTCTTGTCAGCTGCGGAAAATGGGCACGGAAGGATAGTGCGACTCTTCCTAGCGAGGCACTGTGTTGATCCGAACATGAAGTGCTACAGGGGCCGGGCACTACTATCGTGGCTCGCAGTTCATGGGGATGAAGAAACAGTGGAGATGGTGCTTGCTATTGATGGCGTGGATGCTGGCTCCAAAGATGACAGCGGTCGAACGCCGCTATGGTTGGCTGCAGAGAATGGGCATGGGAAAGTGGTACGGCGGCTGCTTGGTTTGGATAGTGTTGACGCAAATTCCGTCGACAAGGGAGGTCGAACGCCGCTGCTGGTGGCCTCGGAGAAGGGACATGAGGCCGTGGTACAGCTACTGCTCACCAGTGAAGGAGTCGACCCAAACTCCAAAGACCGCAAAGGTCGAACGCCGCTATCTGTCGCTGTAAAACAAAGGCATGAGGGTATCGTCAAGCTCCTGCTGGCTCATGGTGGCGTCAAATCCGAAGCTGGAGAAGTGCTTGGATCAATATCTCGTCATCCCTCCTAGAACCTCTAGCAGGCACACCCTCGTCCCCTTTGGAGGCCCTTTGCAATCTTCTTGACAGTTAGGAATGGGACGTAAAAAGGGGAGGCTATTTGAAAACGCCCCCTAGAATCGAACGCCTGTCAACTTAACCTCAAGGGACGAAGGGACGTTCGCGCCATATCAGCCGCTAAACAAGCAGTCAAAACTACCAGAAGTTTGTCGACGCCCTTATTCGATTAGACGTGGACGTATCCTAGATATCGATTATTTTTGAGCCACACCTAATTAACTCTGTATCCAACTTCCTAGGGAGCGGGGAACAGAGAGAACAGGACTAAATTGATATACTAATATCAAAGTTTAGAGCTAAACAATACTCTGAAATAGTGCTTGGCTATATTGTACTTCGTATCGGAGACCTCTCTCGTGTTTATTCTCATCAGAAGGCATGAAGGATCCAACAGAATTGCCATAACCTTGACTTTTCTGTTATTAGATGAGAACTGGCTTTGGAAGGCCAAGCCTGGAGCCACCTGTATTCTGTGCAGAATCATAAGGGACCGGGAGAATTGGATAATAGAGCGGAGGTACCCAAGCTGTTGTCCTTGCAATCAAGGTGAAATAATTATGGCGAGAGACTAACACCTAGGTAGAGAAGCCCTTTTTTGTTTGGCCAATCCTGTTCAGCAGAATGGATGGTGTTAACTTCAACACCTGTTCACCACTTTCAGCGGGGCTCATATTAAAATAAAATGAATTGTAATTCCTATTTCACCACCTCGTTCTCCCATTAGCATTCGTTGTTCTCACAGTTGGGCAGTCCTTTATGTCCCCGGGACCAGTCCATTTAATCTGATCAACATAGTATAGACTGTTATCAATTAATTGAGAATCAACGGTAGCCGTGATAGACATGCCAGTCAACTACCTCTCTGGCCCTCACAAAGAAGGCGGCCGTTTCTGGCCTCCAAAGCGGTCATTTTCAGCGTCAATTTCACAGGTCCTCATATTCTAGTTGTAATATCAGGGTGAGTCGCAATGTTCGGGTGCAGGCTATTCGAAATTTCGGCTTGACCGAGCTTAACCTTGTGTGAACATAATTTTGCAACTGAAAACCTCGATATTGTGGTTTGGAGGAACAAGGAATGTTCTGGGGGCAGTGGTTGTAAATCCTTCATCCCCTCCCACAACCCTTACGAATCCAGCGTGGTGGTCGGTTTTTGCAATAAATGTAATCCATTTCTCTGTTTCTTCGCCCTGGAACAAGCCATCAGCCTGCTTCCAAACATCGTATATGGTCTGTTTTTAGCAGGAGTTAGTATTGTCGACATTCCCATATGGACGGCAGATCTCACTGGTCCTTCTGGGTCCATTTTGTCCGCAGCTCCTTCCGGCGATTCTTTCGACGGCTCCTTCTCGGCCATTTTAGTACACGATTTTTGGTCGGATAGGGTAGGCGTTGGTAAAGTGATGATGGGTGTCCGATGAAGAAAAAGGCGGGGCTGCAGCGAAATGCCCCATGGCTTAGGTGACACAAGCCTTGGAGAGGGAGGTCTGATTTGTGTTATAGATACCTATATAGGTGCATAGGTGCATAGGCTACATGTGGGTAGATAGGGCTATGCATCATAATATCCAATCAAGATCAACGCGGTGCTTTTACGCATGGCATCCATGGTAGACTACATACTACACTACATTGAAATACATTTTCTTAGAACTTAGCTGGTTGTACCAGTTGTACCACCGTTTCACCAGACACAAGCCGGAATATATCACAACTCCAAATCAGAGGAAAATAACGGTTACTTTTGGGACATACTATTGGGCGCAAATCGATATCAGTACAGCCTATGAGGGTTATAAAGAGGCACTGTCTGTAAATCTTAGGTTGAGCGTCCTAACCCTCAAATTATCTTCAATACCAATTATCTGCAGTACCGCTTCTCCCCTCGTATTTTACGTCGAGCAGTGATGGATTGCCTCGCCGCTATTAGCGTGCTTTGGGATGGTATGAAGAAACGGGTTATGAGAGGTGTCCCAAAGGACGAGGTTAGGAGCGCACCTACGTTATATAGCGATTCGTCTAATGAGAGCGTAGGCTATAGTCTTCATTGATGCGCAAAGAGGCGCGGACGACCTTGTGGTGACAATTTGTCGAGGATTTTCACCGGACTACTTGCCATGGAGCGAATTCAAGTCACTTGGATCATTTGCGACAAGCGCAGTTGTCGCTGCTGGATGGAGCTGCAGGAAGTTGGACCAGATAGCGGAATCTGTGCGCGAAGGGCTGTTTCTTGAGGAGGAATTGGATCAACTTCGAGAACAGGCTAGGGATAAGCGTAACCGGGTTTCTATTCGTCGTCCCTCAGATTAAATATGAGCGTTTTTGGACGGAGGCTAGACGGAGATTTGGATGACCATGGTAGGGGGAGTTAGCTGCATGTATTATTGCTGCTGGGGTACGAGAATATGTTCTACTATTTTAGCTTTGTTGCGACTACGTTATTGGATGTTTTCACGGACAGTCAACGAGCCGGTAAATGGTACATGAGGCTTCAACGTATATACTAATACCCCTTTTCTAATTGAAACACCTAATAGAATCAGGAACATATATTATTGTGGGGTATGCAGTATTCGACGTCATAGGGCTGAATGGTCACTTCCAAGTTGGAAGACCCTAGGGGAGAGAATATTTAGGCATCAAAATTCTCCGACTCCATATTTGATCAAAATCATCTGGACCCAGTTGAGCTCTCCAACTAGAAGTCTCCCAGAAGCCCCTAAGAAAGCTCGGCAGCTTAGGGCCAAGTGCTCTACGTCATCTCATCTCGGCCATGGATGGTATATTCCACCCGTGGAACTTTTCTGGAACAATATTGAACGGCTTAGAGTCTGTCAAGTTACTTGCCGCGACCTGTTCATTTTTTGTTGTTGGGATCATTTTGGTCATTCAACAACCCCCAAGTCCCAATCGGGTACGGTGCAAGATGGTACCACGCAAGGTGCACAATATGTGTCAAGGGCAGACAGTAACCTCAGAGTTAGCTCTTGATCCATCGCAGTGTCCGCAGAAAGTCTTCCATAAACTGTTTGAGAGTCACCATGCGTCGCGTACATACGATGGCGCGGCAGAATCGGATGTTGACAAAGCCGAATGGGAATCATTAAATGAGCTGCAGAAGGCTCGCGCTTGCGGGAACTTTGAGTCTGTGGAAACGAGTGATCTATTTCTAAAGGTGAATTAATTTGCTACATCGACATTGTGAGAGAAGGACCTAACACATGTTCCCAGGTTTATCATGATGCGTTATGTTGTCTAGAAAAGAACCCAATGTCAGGGGTTGTATCCCCCCAGCTGCTGGGGAGCACGGGAGTTTTGCCGTTGACAATTGTCGCCCCGTTACCTGACCTCTGTCGCCATTTGGCGAATTGCATTGTGCGCGCCGAACATGAAGTCTTTTTGGGTACCAATTTCTGGATCCATTCGGACGCATCGACATTAGTGACGAATGCTATCCGGGAGCTTTCCAAACGAGCAGGAGAAAGGGGACAGAAGATAGTTATGAAGATGATTTATGATCGAGGAGATCCTCGCCAGGTGAGTGCTCTTATCCTGGTGTATATCAAATATGATCTGTAGACATGATTCTAATGAAACACTAGGCATGGGAGAATCGATTGAGTGTCCCCGAGGACCAATATGTCGGCGGGAAAGTGAAGCTCCCTGCTGCAAGCGAGATCCCCAATGTTGATCTCCGAGTCATCAACTTCCACCGGCCTGTCTTTGGAACGTTCCATGCAAAATTCACCGTTATTGACCGGCGCATGGCTCTCATACAGAGCAGTAATATCCAAGACAACGACAATCTTGAGATGCTAGCTCATATCGAGGGCCCAATTGTTGATACTTTCTATGATTCTGCTTTGCTTTCGTGGGGAAAGGCTCTTGACCCCCCCGTTCCCACTTCTGGACTCTCCAGCCAGGGATGCTCCGATACCATGCCACGAAGAAAAGAATGATGGTATTCCTATAGCGAATGGAGATACAGCTCTTCCTGAGCATACAATAAACTCTGCCCATTATGATATGGACTTTGAACATGAGGCCCGGAGAGTCAACGACTGTGTTCACCCACGAGGTGACGAAACGCGCACACAGGCTGTCAGCCGTCACCTCAGTATGTGAAATATGTGTGCAAAATTATGACAGTACCTAACAACTAAACAGATACAACTATCCAGCCTAAAACAACAGGCGATGCACCAGACAGCGACCAGGATAATATGTTCAATCCTTATATGATCCTACCTCGACACGAGCCCTTCGCAATGGCATTGGTAAACAGGGAACCATTTGGATGTAAGTCCAAACCACGAAGACAAGGTCCCTCAGGCAGCCGAACATAACTCTAACCCTTGATTTATTCAAGCTCCAAACCACAGCAGCATTCATACCCCACAAAATGCGGCGTGGCTATCCGCAATCAATCACGCCCAGCATTCAATCTTCATTCAGACACCAAACATGAACGCCGAGCCTCTAATGGAACCCCTCCTTAGTTCCGTTCGCCGCGGCGTGGTGGTATCCTGCTATCTCTGCCTTGGCTACAACGACGCAGGCGAGCTTCTCCCGTTTCAAAATGGGACCAATGAAATGATTGCGAATAGGCTATACAACTCGCTCAAAACCGACGACGAGAAATCCCGTCTACGGGTATATTATTATGTTGGCAAGGACCAGACTCGTCCGATCCATAATAGCTTTAAGAAGCGGAGCTGTCATATTAAGTTGATGATTGTTGATGAGCAGATTGCGATTCAGGGTAAGTCTAGAAAGTAAAACATCAGGAGAGAAGTATGTGTCGTCTAAGTATCTAACAATATCTCCAGGCAATGGAAACCTCGACACCCAGTCATTCTTCCACAGCCAGGAAGTCAATGTTCTTATTGATTCCAGGCCCGTTTGTCGTGCTTGGACTGAGTTAATCAACCGCAACCAAAATACTGCTAAATATGGTGCTGCAAGTACAAAGGATGGCTGCTGGCATGATCCCGAAACTGACAAGACCCCCGTGGGCTCAATGGGGCCTACACGGGGTCGATTCAGTTGGGCTAAGGGAGTCATTGGCGCTGTACAGCGAGTGAGAGGTGTTGGCGGATTCTAGAAGCTGATTTGCTTATATGCCTGGGGGTGCTTCTATTTCGGGATATCCCTGTCCAGAGAGTGGATAAACTATGCTCGGGTCTCATTCGGCAATGTGAATGAATGATATATGGAAATTCCCTCTTACTAGAAGATGAACTGTTTCCTTGGCCCCATCCTAGAGTGCACGAATCTGTATTGGGTGTAGAGAGTAGGATAGTGTAGAAGTATTTGAATTGTTGGTTGTGGATGGCGGTTAAACTCGCCGGTCACTCTGGGATGAAATGGATCGCGGAAATTGGGCATTCGATGATCTGCCACCTAACTCGACATTTGATATGGATCATCGAGAGTGGGTTAATCGACAATTTGGCACAGCGTACATTCCGACAAATACAGGTTGGTGACAATATAAGGGGAAATTGGCTAGTAGTGGAGGATGGAATCTGCACTGGCTTTCTTTCTAGTTTCATGTTTGACTTCCTGTACTCTTCGTGATGTGAAGAAGAATAATTACACTCATTTGTCCAGTCGCAAGTGTGCGACAACTATGTTTTTCAATGGCATGCCTCACTTAAGAACCTCGGACCATTCCAGGAAATCCACCGAGGACTTCTACAACACGTACCCTGCACTGAATCTTGTCAAAACCATAAACTTCCGTCGTCTCCCAATCTTACAAAAAAAAAAAGAGAACAGTCACAAAAGCAAACCAAACCCCCCTCTAAAACACCCATCCGCATAAATGTCTTGCCCATACGACCAACCAATAATCGACGTAGTAGACTATGTCTACCACCACTCCCTCAACCAACACGACGAAGCGATTTGGAAATGCGCGAGGACAGCCCTGCTGGACGCAATGGGCTGCGCCATCGAGACAGCAGCGACGAGCACTGAATGCCGAAAGCTGCTCGGTCCTGTGATCGAGGGCACAGTCGTGCCGGATGGATTCCGGGTCCCAGGAACGGAGTTGCAGGTCGACCCCGTAAAGGGGGCTTTCGATCTGGGTGTCCTGATTCGGTACTTGGATCATAATGATGCGCTTGGCGGTGCGGAGTGGGGACATCCTTCAGGTATGGTTTGTTAAGGAGATATGGATGCGAACGAATTGTGCTCGTGAGACTAAGATATGGATTTCTGCAGATAATCTCGGCGCTATACTCCCAGTCATGGATTGGCTATCGCGAGCAAGCTTGTCTGGTCGACGGGTTCATAATGGCCCGCCGTTGACGATGCAGACGCTGCTCGTCGCGCTGGTTAAGGCATACGAGGTACAGGGGTGTTATCAAATGCGGAATGCGTTTAATGCATATGGAATCGACCATGTGGTGCTAGTCAAATTGGCTTCTGCTGCTGTTGTTTGTTGGTTGCTTGGGATGACAGATGAACAAGCCATGGCGACTATTTCTCATGTTTGGATGGATGGCCATCCGAACCGGGTGTACCGATCCGACACAAACACCATCCCGAGGAAAGGATGGGCAGCAGGCGATGCGGCGAGAAGAGCTGTGCAGTTGGCTCTACTGGTGCTGGACGGCCAGCCTGGTTCGCCGGGGGCGTTGAGCGCGCAGCCGTGGGGGTTTTGGGAGCGGACTTTTGGCGGGACGGGATTTGTACTTCCACGGCCATTTGGGTCGTGGACGGTACAGAATGTGCTGTTTAAAAGTATGCCTGTAGAAGGGCATGCGATCTCGGCTGTGGAGGCGGCTGTTCTGCAAGCGCGTCGACTTCGACAGAAGGGGCTGTCGGATCCACTCAAACAGATCCAGCGAATAGATCTGCGAACGACTGCTGCTGCGTTTTTGATCATCAACAAACATGGGCCGCTGCGCAATGCTGCTGATCGTGACCACTGCATTCAGTATGTGGTCGCCTTGGCTTTCTTGAAGGGTAGTCCACCAGAGGCTGTGGACTATTTAGACAAAAGCCCATGGGCGAATAGTGTTGAGCTTGCAGCTCTGCGAGAAAGGATCGTGGTGCAGTCAGACCCTAAGCTCACGGAGGACTACTTGGATCTGGACAAGAAGAGTATCGGTGCAGGCATGACGGTCCATCTCGCAGATGGTTCCTCGTTGCCTCAAATATTGATCGAGTATCCCGTAGGACATGCGCGGAACACCAAAACACCAGCTGCGGTACAAGAGAAGTTCTTCCAAAACATGGGGCTTATGTTCTCTGCGACAGAGATCAGTCGGATATTGGGTGCTGTTCAAAATCCAGATACCTTGATCTCGGATTTCATAGATCTGTTTATCCAGCCACCGGACAAGGCAAGGTTTTAGGGGGCAAATCTATCTGCAGGCATCATAAGCTTGGTTGTACTGGCCAGGAAGGATGGTCTTGTTCAGGGTATATAGTGATGTCGTTCCGTTTTCTTCTCTCAATCGATTCTCCCTACCCCCCCGCAGTGTCAAATAAACATCTGTCCCCCATCCCCATAGACTTTGTACCGCAATGCTCCCACCAAAGTACTCAGCGTAGGCTCGACTAAGAGGCAGTCCATAACCAAGACCTGCAATGCTGCTGAGGTGGCCACCGCTGGCAGAGATGGTATTCAAGGCATCCATGTTGCCATTCTCCGAGCCCTCAAAGTCCATATCGGAGAATGTCGTAAAGCTGTATGACCAGATCTGCGGCAGAACCTCAGGCGGAATACCACCACCACGGTCACGGATGCGGATGGTGATACTCTGAGATGACGGAGCCGAGTACCCAATGGTTTCATTCCCATTGGCGCCCGAAAGCTCTGAATCAAGTTCAAAGCCAGTATCAGTATCACCCGGGATCGGCGGCTCATTTCCAGGCACATCTGGAGCAGCAGCGATAGTCACCTCGATAGGCTCACGCTCATTTCCATTTTCAATAGTTGCCCGGAATGCGTTCTTCAACAGCTCCGTGATAATGTACTCTACGTGTACAGGGACGTGAGCGAAAGAGGCCTCAGGCTCACCTCCTATTTTCAAACGCGGTCGCACTCCGTACTTGAGCTCGCAGATCTCTCCAACGAAATCCTCGCATAGCCGGATGATGCGCGCCGGCTGCAAAGCCGTATCAATGACGCCTATGTAGTTTGACGGAATCGAGTTCTTGGGCGCAGGTTCATCAGCGCCATCGAATGTTTTATCGCTGATGGGCTGAGAGGCATAATGAAGAGCTAGATGCTGCTCCGCGATCAAGCGCGTACCGATACGCGCACGTAGATGCGTGTCCAAGAAGCTCGTCACGTCGGCCGGACTGACATATTTCCTGCACTCCAGAAACCCACGTGCAAGGACGGGAATTGTGTTCGTATGTGTTTGTACGAGATCTGCCAGTACATCCCCAAACTGTTTCTCTTCTTCGAGAGTTGTGATGCGGCGCTGTTGATATGGGAGGAGGGTCGATAGCGAATGGAGGTAGTTGTGGTAAATTTTAGAGACGTGAGGGTTAGAGACGACGATGAAAGGGAGGTTTCGTAAAGCTTGAATTCGAGAAGCTAGTCGGGCGGGAAGGAGGGAGAGTGTGAAGTTGGCAGAGGCTAATAGAGCCTCTCTGTTCAATGGCGGGCGGCCGTGTCTGAGATGGACATGAATTTAGCACATTTTGATTCGGCCTCGGGGCAAGCTACATATCTAAGACTGACCTTAGTAGGTCTGCAAGTGTCAAAGGCCGACGGGGACTCGCAGCCAGCTGCGCAACATTGTCTTTGGCGACATCGAATGGGTGACCAGCCCAGTTTTGACTCTGCGAGGAATATTGACGGAAAATGCGAGGTCGCCCAATTGGAAGGGCCCGATAGCTAGGCCGAAAAGGCATCGCTCTAGGTATTGATGTTGTCATTGTGAACTGTAGCCATGAAATGGGGAGAGATAAGTGGGAGTTCACAATGAAACCCCCGGGGCGGAAGATCTGCATCGGCGCGGATATCATCGGTCCAAATGCTGTAGATCAACAAGGAACAAACATCTAAAGATTGCTATTTTATCTACTCTTGGATGCCGCACAGGGCTCACTCAAGTTTTATTTCATACACACTGTGTACTTAACTCAACCTGATAGTTGGATCCAGGAAAATTGCTCCATATGAATGCCTGTACCTCTTTGGCAAAGGTAAGAAGGTAAGAAGGTAAGTACTCATAAGATGTACATGGCATCGCGGATGAGAGCAGGTCGCATAATTGGTATCAAGTCATCTCGCTGAAGTAAAACAAAAAGAAAAGGAAATAACCCTCGGATATCCAGCTGTCGTGTTTCCATTCGGTCATAAAGCAGAAGATGCACGGGCGACTGCAGTCTTCAGTCCCAAGTCATGTTGACTAGGGGCATCTACTGAGTATTCATGGCGCCGTCTTGCTCAACGTGGACATGTTCAGTAGATTCGAAGGTTTGGACGGTATCATCGGGGAACTCGACACTAGTATTGATCCATATATCAGCATGCACCTCGATGGTATAGATCGAACTAGCAGCACATACGTGAAGCCTTTGATGATGCTGTATTCATGTCTGATAATGCCGCCCTTCTCCTTGGCTGTTTCCCTGGCCCTGAGAAGATATGTAAGTATTGAAGGAATTTCCGATAATGGTCATGCGACACACTCATCCAGTGCCTCGACGGGAGCGCCGGCCTTGAGAGTGATCTAGGGATATGTTAGTCCGGATATTTTTATTTTATTTTGGAGGACCAAGCTGAACCCACGTTGTAAAGAGGCATAATGTGAGATGGCGGAAATATGCGTCAAAGTGAAGTGGAAAAAAAGGATACGGGAGAGAAAGAAAGAATTTATAGAAGAGGTGAAGAGGTGAGGGGAAGGCGACACTTTATTTTGAAGGTGCCTTGAAGCAGGTACCTTCCAATCGCTTCACTTCCTCTTTCTCCTCCACTTCACCTTTTTTCATGCAACATATTACCTAGGTATGTCCGGGTACCTAGGTACTTCCCGTGCTACTTGATGTCGTGATCTATTGGTCTTACATGTCTGACATGGCTTCTACAGTGAACTCACTCTCTAAAAGCAGGATTCCTATCGCATCCCTTGCTGAAATGTCTCTATAATTTCCCGTATTATTTTAATCCCGCCTACGTATTTTGTAAAAAGGGGAGAAATCGCCGTCGATGTAACAATCAGAGGCGATGACATCATATATAACGAAACGCGGGGCAATATGTCGTGCATATCTTCAATAGACGACTCGTATAATTTTACTTGCAAGGTGATTACCCTAGAGACCAATGTAGCCATCCTCTTCACGGGGAGGCATCTTCATCCCGTGCATTCCCTTGTACTTGGGACTTTCTGGAGCCTTCCACCCCTCCAGGACCTTGTCATCTGCCAGCTGATATACCTCCACACCCAAAGGACGACAAGTGGCTCCCATATCACCTTCCTTATCATCCCAACCCCAATTAGACAAATCACCTGAAATTATCATTAGCATGGAATTAAGACATTTGGGTACCTTGGAGGTGCCATACCGCCAGGACACGCAGATAGCGCACAGAGAACATCCACTTCTGCAAAGAACTCAAAATACTCGCCCGCCTTTGCAGGGGAGGTCTCCATGAAGTACTTTCCATCCTCATCCAACCCCGTCACCTGGAACACATTCAAGACATCATGGACATCCAGCTCCGTCAGTCCATAAGGGACGACAGAACGAGTCAGGTTCGAATGACAGTGGAAGTCAAAGGTCTCTCCGCCCATGAGCAAGTTCACGTAAGGATCGCACCGAGTGCCCATCAAGTCATGCACCCGTCCTCCAAACTGCGTAGTCCCGAACACGACCTCAGGGTTGCGCTTTCCATCTGGCCCAAGCACGTCATGCAGCTGCCCGCCGCCCAACGAGTCACCGGTGATTGTTACGAGGGGCCGCAGGTACGGCAGGTTCGACCACAGGCGATCACCCACTGAGACATGGGAGGCGTGAATTTGTCGGGTACGCGCAGCCCACATTCGTTCTCGGGGGTTGTTTGCGTTCCAGATGTTCAGGTCACCCACCTGGGGCCCCTTCGGTGTGGTCAGGCGGCAGATGTGGCCGGCGGGGACAACCCACGCTTGGGCGGAACATGGTCTGATAGTGAATGATTCCTTCGGAATCCGTGCAGAGGGGCTGGAGGCCGTTTCGGAGATTGAGCGGTACAACTGCGAAGTTGCGTGAACCCCGGAATCGGGCGGTGCCGTGTAAGCTGGGGGTGGCCGACGTGCAGACATTATATGCGGTTTGCGGGTTGGTATAGAGGCTGGATGTCACAGAAAGGTCTAGTAAATACGGAGTAAGATTGGATTGATAGAATCCAGGAGGCAGATACAGAGTAGATTTATAGCTATGTTGTATGGATAATCGGGGGCTTTCCGATTTCAACAGCTTCTGCCCCGCATACGATAGCCGCGGAGAGAGATTACATCCTCCGATTTCTAAATGAGTCCACCTGGGCAGCGCGATATGAGATAGCGCTATCGCACGAAACGATAATGCCATAGGCTCAGGGAAATCTCCTCATGGCTCGGGGAGCTAAGTCGTTGTCAGGGGGGTTTTTTTTTCGGGCAGTTCATATCCTAGCAAAGTGCTAACAAAAGTAGGTGCGCCAAATTCGACATCGTACAGTATGCTTCTAAGTGCTTTTTCCATATAGAAAAATAAAGAATCTGATCATGCTTGATATTATGACACGAAGCTTCTAGCAATGGTACTCCATGTAGTCATTAAAGGGTCAGGGGTGCAAGTGGTTCATCTCCCATGAGCCCTTTTTCTTTCAGAAGAGCAGCCCGGTCTTCCAGAAATGCTTTGTATGCTGCTTTCGGGACAGTCTTATCTTCGTCCTCCCATACTTTGTATCCAACCTCCTCCCAAACTTGAAGCTGACGAGTGAAATTCGCGCTCGGTTGAATCCTTTGCTTTGATTGAACGAAGCGCAAGACGTCTGCTTGCTGAATTTTGAGCTTGCGCATGAGATAGGCGATGATAATCGTCGGCGATCGTGATATTCCAAGGTCGCAGTGAATCAATATCGCCTCCGAAGGTTCACCTTGTGGCTCGTCATTTGTTTCATGGTTGTGCTCATCAGGCAAGTGGACCAATGAAGAAAGAGCGGGGGTGCCATTTGGTCGATGAAGTTACAAATATCATTCATATGAGCGAGGAGGTCTTGCGTCGACGAATCCGCGCACTGAATCCATTTGTGACGATGCTCTGGGACGCCTGCGTTTCTTGTAGTGGAATTCCACCATACCCACCGAGCAGTAGTTAGAGAGACGATTGCGTTGATATGGTTTTCTTGAAGCATTTCCCGTCTGTGCGATGCCCGGACATTTCCAAGGAAGAGACCAGGGACAATCTGCCTCATCCGAGCCTTGTATGCCATGTCCCACTTCTTCCTCCTTTCCATCTTGAGTTTTTCTGCTGCATTTTCATCCATGGTACTATTTTGTGTTCTTCTCCTGCCTTGAAGCCGGCCGGTAATAGCTGCTGACTGGACATTGCTTGTAAGGTGAAGGTAGGGTACCTACCTAGGTAGTTGTGTCCAATTCTAACGAACATTGAATCCATGGATGGATCTCCGGGCCAGGCCGGTGGTGAAGAAATGCTGCCTTAGGCCAGAATAAAAGAAACTGTGATGCCTTAGGCCATAAGTATTCCTGACTAAAGTTTATCTACTCCGCTTTGGCAGAAAAATAATTACTGCTAATTTTTTGGCCGTCGTCGGGGACAGTCCTCTACCTTGATTGCGCTTGCGTTTCTTGTCTCTAATAAAAGGAGTGGATCTGTCGAGGTATTATACCTCTTTACAGATATCATGGAGCAGCAGGCGAACAGGGCACATCGCCCTGCGAAAGAGAAGAAGAAATTTGAGGGTACAGTGAACCCGCTCCAATACAACTGCAAACTTTCTGCTTTCGAGCCCATGCTAACAATGATTTTTTTCTTTACAGGTGCTAATCCAAAAGCATTCGTTACCGCCAGGCCTGGAAAGCTCAATAAGCAGGCTGCGCGATCGCATGATGTATGCATATGAGACTTCTCTGCTGGTCAAATCGATGCTGACCCAAACTTCCCCTCTAGGTCAAGGAAAAGAGACTCCATGTCCCCCTCGTGGATCGTATGCCCGAGGAGGCCCCGCCAGTTGTTGTCGCGATCGTTGGACCCCCGGGAGTTGGTAAGACAACTCTGCTCAAATCTCTGATCCGCCGCTACACCAAGCAAACCCTCAGCTCGCCGCAAGGCCCGTTGACCGTTGTTACGACCAAGCGCAAGCGCCTCACCTTCCTCGAATGCCCGTCCGACTCTCTTGCAGCTGCGATCGATGTTTCTAAGATCGCAGACATTGTTCTTCTCATGATTGACGGAAACTTTGGATTTGAGATGGAGACCATGGAGTTTTTGAACGCCTTATCGACGGCCGGTATGCCGGGTAACGTCTTTGGTATCCTTACCCATCTTGATCAATTCAAGAAACAGAGCACGTTGAAGGACGCGAAGAAGCGCCTGAAGCACCGTTTCTGGAGTGAGCTGTACGCCGGAGCAAAGCTCTTTTACCTGTCTGGTGTTATCAACGGCCGTTACCCCGATCGCGAAGTGCACAACCTCTCAAGATTCTTGTCCGTTATGAAGAATCCTCGTCCGCTAGTGTGGCGCAACTCCCACCCTTACGCACTTGCAGATCGCTTCTTGGACATTACACCGCCTACTCAGATCGAGGAAAACTCGAAGTGTGATCGCACAGTCGCGCTCTACGGCTACTTGCGCGGCACCAACTTCCCGTCCCATGGTGCCCGAGTCCATGTTCCTGGTGTTGGTGATCTTACCGTTGCCAATATTGAGGGCTTGCCCGATCCATGCCCAACTCCATATATGGACCAGCAGATCGCCAAGGCAACAGGGAAGTCGAACAGGCGCAAGCTTGGCGAGCACCAGAAGCTGCTTTTCGCTCCCATGTCTGATGTTGGTGGAGTCCTGGTCGACAAGGATGCGGTTTACATTGATGTCAAGACAAATACGTTTGACCGAGACTCAGACGAGGATTCTGGCGATGAGGAACGCCGGGGTCTCGGAGAACACCTTGTTGTTGGCCTTCAAGGCGAGCGCAAGATGTTAGGTGAGGCTGATAAGGGTGTTCGTCTTTTCCGTGGCGGCGAGGCCCTCGATAACGCGGACGATGACGAGACGGGGCGAAAAGATCGACGCCGCGCCCGCGTTGCCGTACCCGAACAAGACGACATAGATATCCCCGAAGGATCCGATAGTGAAGAGGAGGCCGATGAAGATATGGACGAGGATGATGTGACAGACGATGAAGGCGAACTCGACATGTCTGCGCCTGCAGACTTTGAAGCCCGCTTTAAGGCCAAACAGAACGGAAATACCGACGGAGAGGAAGAAGACATGGCTTTCGCTGACAGTGATTCCGACCTTGGTTCCATCTCTTCTGTCTCAGACCAGGAACTCGAGGGCGGTGATGAAGACGAGGATGAGGATGAGGATGATGAAGAAGATGAGGAGGGCAATGTTCGATGGAAGGAGAATATGCTCGCCAATGCCAAGTCTCTTCACGGAAAGCGCCCTCCTTTCCGAGTCACCGACTTGTCCAGAATGATGTACGACGAGTCGATCACTCCAGTTGATGTCGTGAAGACATGGCGCGGTGAAGATTCCGACGACGATGAGGACGAGGAAGATAAAACCGCTGACGACGAAGGCGAGGATTTCTTCAAGAAAACAAACAACGAGAAGGAAGACCAAGCCGACTTCCGCGCCGTTCCAGAGTACGACTACGATGAGCTGGAGCGGAAGTGGCGGGACGAGGAATTACTCGAATTAATCAAACTCCGCTTCATCACTGGCAAACTGTCCGGTGGTGCCTCAGATGACGAGGATGGTGATATGGACGAGGATGACGAAGATGAAGATGAGGGCGACGGTGATTATGAAGATTTGGAATCTGGTGAAGTTTTCAACGGTATCAAGGAAGATGGTGATGAAGATGAGGACGAGGAAGGTGACGAGCCCGAAACGGCTGCCGACCTGGAAGCTGAGCGTGAGCGAAACGCCAAAAAGAAAGAAGAATTGAAACTACGTTTCGAAGAAGAGGACCGCGAAGGTTTTCGGAAAGGTTCAGGACGGGACGCATGATGGTATTGATGGCGAGTTTGGCGAAGACGATTGGTACGATCTTCAGAAAGCCAAGCTGCAAAAGCAGGCAGATATCAACCGCGCCGAATTTGAGGCACTCGACCCCGCCTCGCGCGCCCGGGCCGAAGGTTACAAAGCCGGCACCTACGCGCGTATCGTCCTCGAAAACGTACCTTACGAGTTTGTCTCCAAGTTCAACCCTCGCTTCCCTGTCATCGTTGGTGGTCTCGCACCTACTGAGGACCGATTCGGCTACGTGCAGATCCGGATCAAGAGACATCGCTGGCACAAGAAGATTCTCAAGAGCAACGACCCGTTGATCTTTTCACTTGGCTGGCGTCGCTTCCAGACCATGCCTATCTACAGCACCTCCGACAGTCGGACGCGAAACCGCATGCTTAAGTACACACCTGAGCATATGCACTGCTTCGCCACATTCTACGGTCCTCTTGTCGCCCCCAACACTGGTTTCTGCTGTGTGAACTCGTTCTCGAACAAGAACCCCGGTTTCCGCATTGCCGCCACTGGTGTTGTTCAGAGCGTGGACGAGCACACAGAAATTGTCAAGAAGCTCAAGCTCACCGGTTACCCTTACAAGATCTTCAAGAACACCGCCTTCATCAAGGATATGTTCACCTCTTCCCTGGAAATTGCCAAGTTCGAAGGTGCATCCATCAAGACTGTCTCTGGTATTCGCGGTCAGATCAAGCGTGCGCTATCCAAGCCTGATGGCTGTTTCCGTGCTACATTCGAGGACAAGATCTTGATGAGTGATATTGCCTTCCTGCGCGCTTGGTACCCTATCAAGCCCCACCGCTACTACAATCCTGTGACCAACTTGTTAGACCAAGTTGAGGGCGAGAAGGGCGATAGTGGATGGCAAGGCATGCGCCTGACCGGCGAGGTCCGACACGCTCAGGGCATCGCCACTCCCAAACTCAAAGACTCAGCTTACAAGCCCATCGAAAGACAAGCCCGTCACTTCAACCCGCTCCGTGTGCCAAGACAGCTGGCTGCCGAGCTCCCCTTCAAGTCGCAGATCACCAAGATGAGAGGCCACAAGGACCAGACCTACATGCAGAAGCGTGCCGTTGTCCTTGGAGGCGAGGAAAAGAAAGCTCGTGACCTCATGCAGAAGCTCACTACCATGCGCAACGAGAAGCAGGCCAAGCGATCCGCCAAGCAGGAGGAGCGCCGCAAAGTCTACCGCGCTAAGGTGGCTGATAGTCTGGAGAAGAAGGCCGAGCGCGAGAAGAGAGAGCGCAACGATTACTGGCGCAAGGAGGGCAAGAAGCGCAAGAACCCGGACGAAGACTCCGGTGGCCGTGGACGCGGCAAGAAGCGCAAGTGATCTATTCTTTGTTCTTGAACATGTCTTAATCTACTTGGGTCTTTTGCATAGATGGCGTTTGGACCCAAAACTTGTACCTACATTATGTTTGATGTTTATTTATAGTACCTTTTTGAAACTGGTGCCAACACTTGCACTCTTCAATTATCTTCTTAAGCCCTCCCAAGGTTGTTACCAGTGGAGCCAGCGGCAACATTACGGTATGATATGATCCACAGTGGAGAACCATCTATCCGATCGCACAGGCTGCCAGCTGCAATAGGAGCACCAGCCTGAGAGTATCCTGCAATATACGAATGTTTGGCAGGGGCTAAAGCACTTCCTAGCAAAGGTGGTTTGGCTAGAGGATGAGTTGATAGAAATAGCTACCAAAAAGTGTTGTTGACGGGCAAACGTCTTATTCCTGTAATCAATCTTTCTAGCCCTCAGAGAAGACTTGTCACAAAGATGCGTGCAACGTGCCGGTGCCCTTCTGAATCTCTTGCATAATCACTCTTCTGGTGTCTCGATCTGCGGACTGTATGACTGTTTGACCCCTACAATCTTCGATTTCCACACTTGCACCCTTGTGAATCAGATAACGAATAACATCACCTCTTTTAAGAGCCACTGCCGTGTGTAGAGGAGTTTCCCTCATAAAAGGAAACGTGTTCCGAGAATACTGATGGTCTTCGTACATGAGAGAATCCAAAGGTGCACCCCGATCAATAAGGAGTTTGACAACTTTGAGGGTGTCGGACTCTCGACAAATCGCATTATGCACAAGCTGGCCTATTCTGACATCGCCTCCACGGCGGAGAAGAAGATCAATAGTTGATATATCGGCATACCTAACGGCGTAGGAGAGCGGTGTATTATCGATATCACATCGCTTATTAGGATCCGCGCCATGGTTAAGGAGCCATGTTGTCATCTCCAAGTCCTCGAGAGCATTTCTAGAACGAAACAAGTTTAGCTAGGGGACTTAGTAAGAAAACAGTGTCTTCTCACGCAAGAATAGAGGGGTCCATTCCGCCCATTTGTGTGTTAATATCCCAACCATTGTCGAAGAAAACCGTCAGGATATCTTTCGCCTTTGCCTTCACAGCTTCGAGTACATAGGTTGGCGATATAGGCATTCCACATCGGAGTAGCTCCGTCACGAGATGCACCTTATTCAACCTGATAGAATCAACCATAACCTGGTAGAAATGACGGATATCACAATCATGGATGGTGCGATCAAGGAATTCTCGCAACTGCTGCTCGCCAAGTTCCGGTAACTGATGGACTAAGGACAGCGTCTTTGATGGAATCGGAGGAGGGGTTATAGCCCGGCTGGTAATCCACCGTTCAGGGGTGTGATGAGCAGACATATTCGAATACTTCAAGTTAGGTGTAGTGAGAAGCCGTAAGGAGCTCTCGAAGGGGGTGGAGGCCACTCCACACACCGCCTTTAATAGAGATGCGATACAGATTGAGAATCAATGGAGAAAACACTGTGTGGATTGACTGTCTCCCACGGGGAGAGGAGGAAGGGAAGGAGAGGAGAGAGAGCTATCAAACTATGTAGGTTCAATCACATATTGATGCCTCAGGCATCCGACAGCCTCTTAGTTATTACCACTAGGGTCCACGACTTGGGTCCACAGACTCCACAATATTTAGTTGTTACTGATCCTATTCGTTGATCTTGCTTCTATCCTATTTTATGAAATGCCTGTTTCTCTAAGGAAATTATATAGATACCACATAGGCAAGAACACTACTGAGGTCTCCTTTATTTAGGTTGGCGTATCGTAGATTCATATTGCAAGCCTATCCTCCACAAGGATCTTCGGCTTCACATAATCAGCAGACTTGCTAGCATGAATGTCGCACTTAAGCGCTCATACGAACTGCCGGTAAGATGAAACGGGTATGCTAGTGTTGGCTATTCTATCGTATCTCAAATAAGTTACTATTGGTATCATACCAAGTGATTTCTGTGTCTCTTCATCCAAAGACCGATGTCACATATGAATCGTCGGGCAGTGCTTATTTTCACGCTATGCTTGACAAAGAAAGAAACCTGGGTCCTCATAAATTATGTCTTCGGAACTACGGGTGGGGAAATAGTTGAAGAGTACTATATATATCAAGACAAGACTACAAGACTATTTCATGAGTGCACTACTGTTTGTCCAGGCATTCTACTCGCTGCCTCCTTCCACGTCGTCTATACTATACTTTCTTTCTATAACATTGGCCAGACTACTTCTCGCCGTCGGTTGGCCTCTGATGCTAGAAGTAGAATATCTGGCTGACATCAAAGTTGGGTGAAGCATCCGACAGTTCCCAAAGCAGGAAAATTCCAAACAAGCCTAGAATTTGAAGGTTCATACTACTGGATATGGTTTAGTAGTTGAGGAACCGACCCTCTTTCCCATTGCCCCGACACCACAACGGGTAATGCAACCCTAACTCGCAAAGCTTCATACTCCATCCACCGCGAATTCCATAACAAGTTTAGTAGCACTTGCAGTCCTGTCTATATTATCCTCGCGAATTCCCACTGGCCTTGAATTCCAACTCTCCAACTACATCTACTTTTCATCAAGCTCCATCAAAGCTTTCTTCGTTCACCAATAAAACATCTTTCCCACACATCAAACAACTATTAGAAAGACATGGCTTCTATTTCAGGCCTTGCCAACGACAACACGCTCTCTCCTCGGGCTGAAAAGAAATACGTGGTTGACATGGAGAGAGAGCTCTTCCTCGCCAAAATGCTCCTCGGGTTCATCGGGGTCGCCTGTGTCGTGCTCTTGGGGTGTACACTGTAAGTCCATAATTCCATCATCTATACAATATAATATATAAAAAAAAAGAGAGAGAGAGAGAGAGAGAGATACTGATAGCTCTATTAGCTACTTCACGCTGAAGCCCAAGTATGAGGAAAAATGGAGACCCAAGCTTAAGCCCAAGCTTCGGGACTGCAAGGAGAAGTATGAGGGCTGGAAGAAGAAGATGGTATGGCATGCCGAAGAACCAAATAAGTTAATCCTCTCAGCAAAATGCACTTGTCCTTAACGCTAACGTTCCTTCTAGAGGCGCCAGAGCCAGCTCATGTGGCTCGCCATATTTTCTCAGGCTCCGGATGTCAACCGGATCACTCGTGATCTGACCCCGGAGTATATGAAGATGTCGACGGCGGCCATTTAAGGGAGGAGGAATATGTGTGGCTCAGTGCTAGTAGAGGTATTAAAGACCTGCCAGACTGATGCCTTGATTTTGATACGGAGTACGGGAGAAAGGGTTTCTTTTTGTTTCTTTTTATTTACTTTCTTTTGGACTTGGTTTTGCTTTTCTCTCAGCGTATTCTTACTTTCCGCCGAGTTGGTTGTTATACTCCAGTTGACTTGTCTGTCGTCATGGGAGTCATTGTTTCGGAGTATATTTCCCATCCATGATGTTGTATATTAAATCATTAATGAGAACCCCTGTTTGAATTTCCTACATGCTTTCTTCACTTGCATATCGTAGTCTCGTAGATGTTCTTGTAGTCGTTAGTATACTTCGAAGTATAGCCCATCGAACAAGCCCACCAAGCCCACTTACAACCATCTTCAACCGTTTTCATCTCTAAATGACCGTATACTGATGATTTGAGAATAATCTTTTTCTACAGAAACTTATTGAAGATGAAATTGGTCTAGTACCATCCACGTGACCGCGCCTCTCACGCGCGTTCCAAGAGCGGCGACCCTTCCCTCTACCCGTGGACCAACTACTCAACGGGATTTCTTTTGGTGCTAGCATACTGTGGCGCATCTATATTTCAAAATTAGTTCTAACTGCTCGCACTCTTTTATTCAAACTCCTGGCCCTTCGGGATCAGAATCACGGAGAAACCTATTTGCCGCTGCTGTTGAAAGCCTTGCGCGCGTGCTGGTCGATCGCCACTCGATCGGGCAGATGCTCCTGGTTTCCACAGTGCTCCCACGCGTCTTATTGAGATCTCGACTGTTAGTTGCATCCAAATCACTTGGTATCGGATCTTCCCGGGCCCAACCCTCGATGCGGTGACTTCGCGGGACAGGACATGCGTGTTGAGATTGTGCGGCCGCGTAAACCCGCGATTGGAGTTAGGTCGCGCGTATTTGCCGATTGTCGCTATCCCTGCATCTTTTAGTATTCCACACCCCACACTTGATCATGAATGACGGTCGCGATGCTCTATCTGATCGCGGGGTGCTCCATGCGGAGGCCAGTGCGAACACCCGCTCTATGAACAACGCGACGACTCCCGTGCCTCACAAACCAATGCCTTTGGCCAAGGCCCAAACCACACAATTGCCGCAACCATTGTCACTACAAATAGATGGCTTGAACGCCGTTACTCTCGCTCACGGCGAGGGTAACCCGAACCCAGCCTATATCGAATCATCGGAGCGCGGCAGCGATACATCGGGCGATGGCCGTCGTCTAGACCTTTCCGCTAGCACCGTCGCAGACTCTCTCTCCAGCATTCCTTCAGCGTCGACCAATCGTAATAACAGCCAGTCGACAGAGTTCAGTAACTCTCATACATTGAATGGACATACGATACCGTGGGCGGACCAAGAGTTGTTGGAATCTCAACTCGCCCCGCCCATGCAGCCGGTAAATGGAGGTGCCACAATAGATCGATGGCAGCCCTCACTATCGCCGATCAAAGCCGGCAATGTTTCAACATCGCCGCCGCCATCGCCAAAACATTTGCGCACGAGGTCGAACTTTGATGCTCGCTTGGCCCCAGGCCAGAAACGGACAGCAGCCGGCGACTTCAAAACCACGTTAGGTCCTCTAGCTCACAATACCGACGCGAGCGGAACTGCACGACGACGTTCAAAGAGTACGGGCTCGTCAGCTTATGGTAGTAGGATTGCACAGGTAACACGCTCCCTCGCTCAGTCCAAAGAGTCTATAGCTCATTTATATTATCCAGTTGTCGGTCCATATCCGTACACGTCTATCATACGCAGCCGCCAAAATAGAACAGGCTCGTCAGTCGCGTGAAGCTACCCCTCAAACCGCGTTGCAAACACGCAACAGCACGTCACCGTCGAGCACGTCGGCACCAAGTGACATCGCATCATTACCAGCAGGAAACTCCACGCCTTTTTCACAAGATTCACAAACTTCCTCCAACGGAATTCCCCAGCATGTCCCGGGCCACAACCGCTCGCGATCATCATTCTCATCTAACCAATTCCTTCCAATTCCCAAGCTAGCACCCCCTGTGGACATCATCTCATCAAGTGGTCATAACCAGCGTCGTCGACCGAACCCTAATGCAATCTCCAAATCATCAAACCACAGCCCTATCTCCCGCCACCGGCGCCACCATTCATACCAAGAAAACGGACTCGCCCGGCCACTCAACGGACAAGCAGTTCTAGGGCCAGAGACGCCTTCGCTTTCGTCATCTCACACATATGCCCCAACGTCCACACCGAACGGGTTCTACAGACCCCGTACCCACTCCCAAAACACACTGATGGAACAAGACGCCATCGAAACCCTGATGTTCATGTCCAGCCCCGAGAACTCGGGGTATCGTTTCAGCCCCCGCCCGCTACAGCCAGCGAGCACACAAAGCAGCCTGAACGAGTCGATCAACACCTCCAGCAATGGAGCTTACCACGATGGAAGCCAGGGCTCCCAAAGCTCCGAGTCTCACAATGGTCGTGAACCCCGAAGAAAACCAGGACTAGAAGCTCATGCCGGTGATGATATCGATCGCCTTTTGGATCAAATGGATAGTGATAGCGAGGATGAAGATCGGTATGCATCGTATCGTCCTAGGATTAATGGTGCACATCCATTTAGAGGGCACCAACACCCGAGGTAATTGCATTGTTTTTAAAATTTCAGAATTTTGCATGGGACACATCGTGGAATCATGTCATATACATCGCTTTAGCATTTTGGAGCTCTTTTTACAAAAGGAATTGCTGGCGTAGCCAAGCTCAAATCATAGCGAGCGTACAATTTGCGACGTTAATTCATTCGCTGTGATGAATATTCAGACCATCTATCTGCGCCTGAAATAGTTGATAATATGCAATGTCCTTGACTCTATATGATCCTGTGCCCGAAAATACTATGATTAAATTACTTTTTGTCGCGTTGGCAGTTGATATGCGCTGTACATCATTCAATGTGCGAGCTCCTATCACCACATTAGTCTCCGACAGTGGACAGTAAATGAGGACGTCACTTACACTGGCGAGCTTGCTTCTAGCTCGAATCGTGGGTCCGTACAAAGCCAGCACCCAAGGGACCAGAGTCAGAGCAGCACCCTGTTTCGATCTAGTCAGTGAACTTTCCTCTTATGGGGTAATCGTCGCAACTTACAAGTCCTCCCAGCAGACTTGACGCCTCCGGATAACCAAGGTTAGTGAACATGGCATTCGTAACCAACGGAAAGATACCACCGAGCAAATTCCGGCCTAGCGAGCAAATGTCAGCAAATGTCCCAGCACAACCCAGACCTTCATCAAAAGAACCAGCCAAGGGAGATACTTACAACAAGACTGCGCCGCAATCGCCGAACTCGCATACCGATGATAGGTATCAGCGAGGTAATTAAACGTAGCAAGATAGATGGAAAAGATGCCCATAGTAGCACAGCCAACTGCGATAGCAGGCACGATCCAGTGAACGGATGGGAAAGAACTCCAACCGAACCAGAACAGGCCAATAGGCAGAAGTACGGACTCCACGCAGACGAAATACAACCTGCCTTCGGGAGAAGTGGTGTGTTTACCGAAGCGCATGGCGATGCGTTCTTGGTAGATGCTGATGATCGTGATGATGATGACGCCGACGCACATTGAGGTGAAGACGGCGCCGGTTTGCTCGATTGTGAAGTTGTGGTTTGTGCGGAAGATGAGTGGTACTGAGCTGAATTGGAGGTAGAGAACTGCCCAGCTGAAGGAGACCCATAGGGAGAAGAAGAAGACCACTGGTTCGGTGAGGAGCATGTCTGGATTGGGATGTTAGTTTTCTCTTTTTCATGCTTTCGTTACCTTTGGGGATTTGCTTGAGGGCTGGCGTAGACTTACGGAATGGCCTGTACAGCGAGATCTGGATCATGGTTACGATCGATGCTCGTTGCTCGTCGCTCTTGACCTTCCATCTGATTCGTCGAATGCATTTTTCTTCAGACGATTCTTCGCTCGATAGGATTACACCGTGGTGGCCGGCTTCTTCGAGTTGCTCGTAGTACTGGTTCAACTTCGCGGCTTTGCGGCTTAGCAGGACGCTGCCGCGCGTTTCTTTGAAGAAGAAGTAGATGGCAATGACAAAGGCGGCGGACACGATTGCGTGCGAGTAGAACACCCAGCGCCATGTGGTGTGGCTGATGATTGCGCCGGAGATCAGCGGTGCCAGACCAGTACCGAACAATGCAGCTCCCGAGAAGAGTGCCATGGGCGTGTTACGGTCTTGGGCGTGATAGATGTCACTGATTACGCCGCCAACCATGGTGGAGAAGGTTGCTGTGAGGGTTTAAGTCAATATCGATGAGTGTAGAATCGGGGAATCGACCATTACATACATCCACCCACACCCTGGAAGAAACGAGCTACAAGCAATCCAGCAAAGGATTGCGTGCCTCCACAGCCAATCAAACTAGCTGTTGACATACCGAGTCAGTATATGTCAGTAACGCAATGAAGCTTGGCATACATACCAACAAAAAGAATCCCACTGGCGATGAAGATCGGCCTCCGTCCATTAATCTCAGAAAAAGGAGCTAGCACCATCGGCGCCAGAGCAAACCCACAACAGAAGACTGTGATGCTCAGATTATACACAACAGTACTGATCCCCCACAGCTCAGTCAATTCCTCCGATGCAGGACTGACCTCGCCCGCGGCATAACCCGCTAGCGCAGTAACCCCGCAAGCGATATAAGTCATCATCGACTTGCGCCATTGTGGCCAGAGAAAGGGAGATGTGTATTTCTCTAGACTAGGCGCTTCTGGTGGTGGTGACTGAGCAGGACCGGGAGGTAAAGTAATGCATGGGGTCGGTAAGGGTGTGTCTAGCTCTAAATAGCGGAATTCGATATCTTGGGACCCGCATAGAGACTCGGGGGTATCCTCCCGGTTTTCCATGGCTGTGGGTTGCGGTTTAAGGGAGTCAGGCGTTGTAGACGCCATATAGTAATTCGAGACAATTTTTGGCAAGAGTTTTCTAGGTTTTGACGGACTTTCATGATTTATAGGCTAAGCATCTAGGGCGTGGAGTCCCGAAAGAAAATTGGAGAAATGGTCCAAGGCCGAGACATGATATAATCCCCCAATTTGATATATCATTCCAATCATAATCTATAATGTGGAGTATGCTGACCATCTATATGCCTTGTGCAGTTAATGCTTTCCAAGGTTGTACTTGAAGGGAACTCTCCAAAGCACCAAGTTGGGCTGTCCACTGGACCTGATAATATTCCCTTTCGGAGTCATTGTAGACCGCCTACTGGATGTGTCTTAGTTCTATAGGCATTTTTGAAGGGTTTTCACTTCATACAAATATATCAACTCGAATATTTATCTCAAAGAAACACTAGAATGAAATGAGTGATGAGTGATTTGTATTGTAACACGTAAAATCCATATAAGATAGTATACTTCTCCGCAAAAGCACTGTGCTATTAGGCATCCATGGTATATGGCATTTCTCCAATTCGGGGAAATTCGGGGATTGCGGCATTCGCACCGATTCGAGCTGCTTAACAATCATAGAATCGGCAGAGTGAGCCAATAATGCACGACTATACAAGGCCGTTGCAAGATCGATATTCAATATCCATCCGACCTGTGGTGCATGTGCATGTGGATAACAGGGAATATGCCACAGTCAGATTCACCGGAGTTGCGCTATAATCCCCCCGAGATCACACACACTCCACGTCATGCCCCAATGTTGAATAGCAAGCGCTATCAATGCCACCGATGCTCAAGGGCATTTGCTCGTCTAGAACATCTTCAAAGACACGATCGCTCACGTATGTCTTCTAGACCTTGGATCGAATACCCCATCTCTTACCCCATCTAATACCCCACAGATACCAAAGAGAAACCGTTTGTTTGCGTTCAATGCCCCAAGGCCTTTACACGCAAGTACGATATATGATCCAACAGTCCAGGTACATTTTTAAATACTCACAACTCTAGGGATCTGCTGGCCCGTCATGAGCGTCTCTCACACAACCCCGACACCAGTCCAGCCAACCATCAGAGACACACGCCCTCCCCCGCGAATCCTCCCAACCTGGGTGGGTTAGATTCCTTGGCATCTGTAGTCACAGATAACGCCCAATCTAATCGCACCGCTTTGCATGGGCGCGATGACCATTTCCCAGCGTTGTCACCGTCCGTACACCGCCCGATACTGGGTGGCCAGTTGGCTAGCACAGACGCTCCCTCAGCAGGACACAGTACCCCATCTCCAGGCCCGGATTTTGGATATGCTCTAGGTGGCTTCGGACCGGGATCATATCATGACTTCACCTCATTTTTGGATAGCGTCCCCTTGCCAAATCATCCGTTCTCGCCGGCTTATCAGCCACTCCCGCTCTTTCCACCGTTGCAGTTTTCCCCGGTTCCGGACTATGATCGGTCATCTGATAGAGGGACTCTAACCGAAAATGCTCCTTCGACTCCTTCGAGTTCTGTACTCCCTCGACATGATGCTCAGCTTCCATCACTCCAGCCGGAGGGGTATCATATCTCCCCCACGGCGCGCCAGCCCACGGGATTCGTACCGGTCACGGCTCAATGCCGGGAGAAGTTTTTGGATATGTTGTCCGACTACGCCAATGTGGTCCCAGATCCGTCGCTACCATCTCGGCATGCGCTATCCCGGTGCTTGACGGGGTATGTAACCGGGTACCATGAACACTACCCAATCGTGCATATCCCGACCCTCGATGTAGATTCAATGACATTGCCGCTCTTCTTATCAATGGCGGCATTGGGCGCACGGTATTGCCGCGAGCCAGACACGAGCATGCGTCTCTATCAGATTGCCAAACCAGTGACTCTGGAACATGTTCGCCGAGTCTTCCAGTCGGGCAAGCTGCCCCCGGTCAACGCCGCCGACGACATTGATACCCTAGAAACCCTGCAAGCTTTATTGTATCTGACCTCAGTGTCATTATGGTTTATTAATAACCCTCCGTACCACGAGGCACTGTCACTTCGCAGTATAATGGAAATGCTCACCCGGAAAGGAGGAGTTAACCGGTTACCTGAGAATGACGGGTCATGGAGTAGCTGGATACGACGGGAATGCGTGAAGCGCACCAAACTAATTGTTCTCTGTTTCTTCAACATCCAAACCATAGTCTTCGACGTCCCACCGATGATTCTCACAGAAGATTTCACCCTCGAATTACCCTGCACCGAAAAGGAATGGCAAGCTGCGCGCGCAGACCTCTGGCAGGCAGAGCGCATGAAGAGTCCCGGCGAACCAAAATTCCAAGATGCCCTTTCCGCCCTATTTGGGCCAACCAGCAATGTAGAGCGATTCTCCTCGCTCGGCGGCTACGTGCTAATCCACGCGATCCTGCAAGACATCTGGCTAATGACGAAAGCGGGCCGACTACCCGTATCACGACGGAACCGCTTCACCCCATCGTCAATGACATGCACACCGGAGCTCGTGCACGTCGAACAAGCACTAGAACGCTGGTGCCAGTGCTGGGAGCGTAACCAAGAGTCCTCCGTTGACCCACTCAGCCCGAACGGCCCGCTATCCTTCACATCAGCAGCTCTGCTTCGACTAGCTTACATTCGACTCAACGCGGACTGCGGCTCAGCCCGCCAACTGCAAACCTGGGACCCCGTCCAGATCGCAACCAGTCTCCGCGACAACCTCTCCGTCCGGCGAGGCGACCGTCTCACGCGTGCTGCGCTCCACTGCGCACATGCCCTCAGTACACCCGTCAAGCTCGGCATTGGATTTGTCGCGCACTCACAGGTGGCGCTGTGGTCGAATCAGCACGCTTTGTGCTCCATGGAGTGCGCGGTGCTGTTGGCTAAGTGGCTTGAGGCGATTACGGTGCCGGATCCGGACCCGCGGCTGACGGAGCAGGAGACTCGGTTGCGAGATTTTGTGCTAGAGATGGTTATGGAGGTTCAGCATGGTGTCTCGAGAGAGTGGCTACTCGCTACTAATACCCGGCTCAGTGCTGCGGTAACCCGGTTGTGGGCGCGGCTGTTTACGGCGGACTATATCTGGGAGATGGTTGCTTTGATTGGGAGATCTTTGAATAGCTATGCGGAATTGCTAGAGCAGTAGAATGGAGTTTAACTGTTGCTGTGCTTGCATGGAGTTGTCATGGCAGTATTCAGCCTCCAATATTAGAGCTACAACGACCGTCATAGTCATTATAGCAGCTACCAGACAAGGGCTGCATTTGAATCAATCATATTGCTTACGTCGGTTAGCCTCGGCAATCCTCCGTTGATTTCTCCTTCTCACCCGCCTCTGACCCCAATTCCTAACTTTGGAAGGTTCCCCCGCCATAGGGTGTATGTACATCTCACGGACTTTGCACATGGCTCCCCGATGACTCACTGAATATCAATTTGGCTACGGAGTTGGAGGACTTGCTGACAATTCCAATCCTGATGCTCTGATGCCCTGGTGCCTAACGCTCAATGCCTGTTTTCTCAGGCCCCTGGCTGAGATCAGATGCCCAGGTGTTGTTAGTTTGTCTATTTAACTATGCAGTTCCTCTTCCCCTCCCCCTGCACAATACCTACTTCCAACTCTTATCAATTTCCAACCCTCAAATAACCAAGAAAACAAAACAAAATGCCCCCTTCACCCCTCACAGCATCCCCAGAAGTCCTGTCTCTCCTCAAAGACCTACACACCAAATCTCTAACCCAAGAATCAACCCTGGACTGGCAAAGTCTACCGCAACAATGCACCGCCGACTTCGACTCCATCATGCAGGACAAGTTCATCGCACTTGACCAAGACAAGTGCGAACTAGTCTACCACATCCTACGCAGCATCAACGCAAAGACGGTCGTTGAGGCCGGTACCAGCTTCGGCGTTAGCACCATCTACCTAGCACTTGCCGTTGCAGAGAACGCGAAGCGAGTTAGCGCTACCACCAAGCCGCGAGTTATCGCCACAGAGAAGGAAGAGTCCAAGGCTAAACTTGCTCGAGCGCATTGGGCGACTGCAGGCAAGGAAGTTGAGGGTGTGATTGATCTCCGTGTTGGGGATCTGCGTGAGACTCTTACTTCCGATTTGGGCACTGTGGATTTCTTGTTGTTGGATAGTAAGTGTTTATTTCCCTGGGCTGATGCAGCATGACACGGAGTAACATACTCCGTGTATATGTCTGGTGTTTCATACCCTGCCTGTTATCTTGTATTCGACGTTGCAATATTCGATTGATGTCTGAGATAATGACAGCATCTGTACTAACCACTACTCCTAGTCTGGACGCCTCTCGCCCTCCCCGCGTTGAAGCTTGTCCAGCCGCATCTCCGACCTGGCGCTGTGATCGTCGCTGATAATACCGTCATGGCGGCTGATAGGTATCAGGAGCTCTTTGCGTATCTTGATGCTGAGGGTAGTGGGTTCCGGCGGGTGACGATGCCGTATAAGGGAGGTATGGACATGATTGTTTATCAGTAGATGTAGTCTCCTGAAGTAATCCATATCAGTACCATGGACCTGTGCACTGTCGAAGATATCATGATAATTCGTGCAGCTATTTCAAAATACTCCGTTCATTCTCTTTGATAGGTCAAACAAGGATCCGCCCTACTAGGAGAATAAAACCCCTCATTCTATCAAATCTCTTAATTCCCAAATTTATATCCCTTATATCCCCCCGAATTGATTCAATTCCACCAAACCCATCTATAACCCATATCCAACCATGTCCGAAAACAACTTCCACCTCCCACAAGAAGAAGGCCACTTCAACGCAGCCCCAAGCCTAAACCCACCCCCAACACCAGCAACAAAAGACTACAAACTAAACCACCTAGCCCTGCGCATCCAAGATCCAGCCCGCTCCCTCAACTTCTACATCAACCTCCTAGGCATGCGAGTAATCTTCACCATGAACGCCGGCCCCTTCACGATCTATTACCTCGGGCACCCGCCAGCATCAGCAAAGACCGAAGAAGACATTACCGCGTGGGCAAAGAGCACGAGTGAGATCCCCGTTATGACGAGGACGAGCGGGCTTCTGGAGTTGTATCATGTGCATGGCACGGAGAATGCCAGTGCGGATGGTGGTTCTGTTTCCATTTCTACGGGGAATGTACCCCCGCATCTTGGATTTGCGCATCTGGGGTTCACGGTTCCGGATGTATCGGCTGCTGTGCAGAGGTTGCGGGATGGTGGGGTTAGTATTCTGAAGGATGTGGGTGTTTGTTCGAGGGAGACGGTGCCGCTTTCGGAGTGGGAGGAGGAGAGGGGGATTGGGTGTGGAGAGATTCATGGGAATTATGCATGGTTTTTTGAGAAGTTTGCTATGGTTGCTGATCCGGTGAGTTTCTATTCCCTTTTGGCTCAGGGTGTTGTGCTGATGCGAGTTAATAGGATGGGTATACGGTTGAGTTGATTGCTCAGAGCGTATGATGCTATGAGGATCTACTTCTTTACACTCTACTTGTAGCGAGATTTTGTTTTAGACAACAGGTCGGGAATGGAACGTCCATCCCAGAAAGAGTAGCTTAATGCAGCCTATACAACCAACATGTGATGGTACACACACAAGGTAACAGAATTACGCGCCCCAGCTGTCATCCTCCGCAACGTCATAGTCCATATCCCGCGCTGGAGCGGTGTTGGCCACCGACGTGGACGACATGACTGTGTCTTCCGGTTCGTCCTGTCCAATGCCACCCTTGAATTCCGTTGATGACCCAGCGCTAGGAGGTGCAATTGGCGGATTGGCCACCCAGGTGAGCTGAACCTCGCCAACGGAGGGGATGTTCCAGGGGGAGAACATGAGCTTCTCGGCCTGGAAGCGCTCTTTGAATGCCACCACGACGGTGTTGGGTTGGTCTGGGTGTGCCTCAATGGATTCGTATTCGCCAACACCCTAGAACATAACACATTAGTATATGAGTTTCCTGTTCAGGAAAAAAATGCGTGACCTACCATCAGATGCTGACGCAATGCTTCGTCCTTGTCTGAGTTTAGCGCAACGCCCGATACGGCGACTCGTCGAGGCCGGTTATCCAGACGCAGCACACCTCCTCGTCCGCGAGCCGCAAACCCACCGCGCCCGCGATATCCTCCACGGTAGTTAGGATCGTAACCGCCGCGTCCACGGTATGTGCCTCGGCCGCGGAAGCCACCACGGCCCCGGTATCCACCCCGTCCTGAAGGGTCGGCGGCAGGGTCGAGGCCAAGACTCTTTGCCTCGGCCTCGAGGGCAGCCAGTTGAGCTCGCAGCTTTTTCGTTTCATCACTGATATTCTCATCGGCGGCAGGCTCGGTGGCCATGGCGTCCCCAGCACCGGCAGCATCGCTTGTGTCTGTTGTGCCGCCAAGTCGCTGCATGAGACGGGCCCGCTCCTCCTGCTGTTTCTTGATAAGCTCATCGCGCTGGCGCTCTAGAGCCTGCTTGGCTGCTTCGGTCTCCTGTCGCTTTTTCATCTTCTCCTCATGCGCCCTCTGTGCTTCTTGTTGTTGCTTCTCGAACTCTTCTTGGTTGAAGGCTGGGGCTTCAGGCTGTGCGCTGTCTTGCTTCTCATCGCGATTCGGTTTGTACCAGTAAACCTTCACGAAACGGTTGTCAAAGATGACTTTGGGACTGGACCACGCCGCCTTGGCTTCAGGGAAAGTCTCGTATTTAACCAAAGCAATCTTTTTGTAGGGCTGCAAAGAGACCTCTGTAATGTTACCGAACTCAGAGAAGAACTCGCGCACAGAATCCTCATTGAACTTGTCATCGGGAATCTGCTCAACAACGATCGTCGTAATAGACTGGTCCTCATTAGGTCCTGCCGATGAGAAATCGGACCGGCCGCGTCCTCGTCCGCTGAATCCGCCGCGACCACGGCCGCGACCACGGTCACCGCGCATGGGAGCACCGCCCCGAGCATGCATACCTGCAGTCTTGGGGTCATATTCTGCGACTGTTAGCAATGGTATTATCTAGGATGGTTCAAGTTCTCTTACCATCGTCTTTGGAGACACCTCCCTCGCCGTGCTGGTAAGGGCAAGTATTTCCTAGGTAACATATACCTTGGGTATCATAGAATGGGCATCGCTGGTTGCTTTGTGGAATCTGGTCGGCTCCTGGCTGGCCAGGAGGACCAGGCATCCCGGGCATGGGCATACCCGGCATCTGCGGGAATCCCATACCTTGCATACCCTGCATAGCCATCATTGCTGCCATAGGATCGTTTGGGTCGAAGGGTGGGAAACCGGGCATTATGGGGAAGCCACCAGCCTGCTGCGGAGGGAACAGTTGACCCTGTTGCTGTGGGGGATATTGTTGACCCTGCTGCATTTGATGTCCACCCATAAAGTCGCCTCGACCGCCTCCTCGCCCCCCACGCCGTGCAGTCTTCATAGCGCGATTCTGGAACCCACCATCGTCCTGATCCGGCTCCCCTTGGAATCCATCATTAAAAGTTCGTTTGCGGTTGGCACTGCCAGGAGTAACGGCAGCCCTCGGGCCGCTGGGGGCATTCACAGGAGGTTGTGACGAGGGAATGTGGGCAGCGGGCTGGGGCTGGCGCTGAGGCTGGGGTGCAGGTGCGGGTGTAAGAGGTGCGGGTTGCTTGGGACCAAACGTTGTAAAGAGCTCGTTGACGAATGGTTGCGTATCTAATAAGTGTTAGTGATATGAAGCAATTCGATGCGATCAGACGTCAGACGCACGTTCGCGCAGGAAATCCTCGAGGTTTTCCACTGTGACCTTCTTGATTTCGTCGGCAGGCGCATCGGACCTAACTAGCGCCAAAACATAGTCCGCGAGCACATCGGAATCAGCATCGGAGCTATAGACGGAATTAACAGGATTAGTGGCTGTTCTCTTTTCATGGGGCCCGTGAAGAACAGATCCTAGTGCCTGATCAACTCACATGTCCTCTAGTTTTTTAACCACCCATTTCTTCACATCAGCGGCCTCCTCATCAGTGAAATGCATGGTGAAGATAATTTCCGGACAAACTCAAACTGTGAGAATTGAATTGAGTCGAACAAAAGCTCAACGTGAAAGTGGCGATGCTTGCAGGGATTCGGTTTCAACAAAGCCGTCACTCGAAAAGGATCCTGCGCGTGTAGGAATAATATATGGGATGAAATCGCAGCCTTGTGTTTCAAAGAACAAAGCTTGAAATTGAGTTTTTTTAAGCTGCTAAGCATTCACCCCCAACCGTGAGGGAATGGAAGGGCACGGCAACGCGATGGTGAAGGCAAAAACGCGCGAGTACCGGTAGGTCACGTGTCTACTTGACATCGGACAATTCCTCACAACTCCTCAAGCTACCATGTATACTGCGATTGCATGTGCAGTCGGATTCTTACTTTTTGTTTTTAATCTTTACAATTACGCGCAACTCTACGTATGAACAACTGTGCCTAGCATACCAAGTTTATTGTCATATCGAAACTGGTTGCTAGACTACAGCAAAAAAACGCAAAAAGCAGAAAACCCTCAGTAAAAACCAAATGTAGAAACAGCAATGAAAGGACAGAAGCAATGACGCCAGAGGCTTCAAGGCTCATGCCCATATTTCTAAAGACGGAACGTTCGAAGCAAATACCGACGAAGGAGGGAATAAAATTTTGTTGAACCGAAGAAATTGTATTGAATTCATCAATCTCATGAAAGATTCCACGAATGACTGGCAGAAGGGAAATTCTGTGCGACCGTGAACATTTTTACAGCTTGTCGTAGTACTATAGAACCAGGTTAGTAACTGTGGCCAACGAAACTGAGCAGAGAGACTTACGTTTTCGTAACCGGGAACGACCTCCTTGAGACCCTTGCGCTTGCGCATCTCCTGGACGACCTGACCGGGCTTGGTGGTGGGGTCGAGAGGAGAACCGCCGGGGAGGATGCTCCAGTGATCGAAGACGGACTGGGGGAAGGCCTGGCCACCGGTAGCGGAGCGCAGATCGGCAGGGAAACCGAAGGACTCGTTGACGGGCAAGTAAGCCTTGACCATGAACAGAGGAGTACCGGGACGCTGCTCCTCGGTGTAGACGTGACCACGGCGGCGGGTGAGGACACCGTAGATACCACCCATAGCCTGCTCGGGAACCTGGATCTCGACGTTGAAGATGGGCTCGAGGAGAGCGGGGTCGGCCAACATGGCAGCGGCGTACAGAGCACGACGAGCAGTGGGGATGATCTGACCACCACCACGGTGAATGGCATCAGCGTGTAGGGTAACATCAAGGATGTTGAAGCGGACGGAACGCATGGGCTCCTCGGCAACGGGACCCTCGCGGGTAGCCCACTGGAAACCGGAGACAACGGAATCCTTGATTTCGTTGAGGTACTGCACGGCCTTGGTCTGGTCGATGAGCAGGTTGGCACCGGTGGTGTCGGGACCGAAGCACCAAATCTTACGGGCATCGGTAACATCCCAGCCGTACTCGTCAGCAAGGACACGGGCACGAGCCTTGAAGTCGTCACGGGGGCTGATCTTGCCAGACTCAATGGCCAGGGAGACCTCCTCCTCAATGGGCTGGGCAGTCATGTACAGACGGTTGTGCTTGTTGGGCGACTTGGACAGAGCAGTCATGCTGGACTCGCCAGCGACGGTCTCACGGTAAGCAACGACGGGGTCGGAGATACGGAGAGGAACACCAGCGTGGTCCTCCTCAAGATCCTTAAGACAAATCTCGAGGTGGAGCTCACCGGCACCGGCAACAATGTGCTGGCCAGACTCGTTGATCATGGTCAGGACACAGGGGTCGGACTTGGAGAGACGCTTGAGACCCTCGACAAGCTTGGGCAGATCCTGGGCGTTCTTGACCTCGACGGAACGCTGCACAACGGGGGAGACGGAGAACTTCATGACCTTCATGTTGTGGGCGGTCTCATCAGTGGTGAGGGTACCGGACTTGAGCAGGAACTGATCGACACCGACCAGACCGACAATGTTACCGGCGGGGACATCCTCAATGGGCTCAACGAAGCGACCCATCATGAGAATGGTACGCTGGATGGCCTTGATGAAGAGATCCTCCTTGCGGCCAGGGACGTAGTTGGGACCCTGGATGCGGACCTTGATACCGGACTTGACGGTACCGGCGTAGACACGACCGAAGGCGTAGAAACGACCCTTGTCGGAGGTGGGAACCATCTTGGAGACGTAAAGCATCAGAGGAGCAGAGGGGTCACAGTCACGGATACCAATGCAGGCCTTGTCGTCGGTGGGACCCTCGTAGAGGGTCTCGGCACGGTACTTCTGGGCAGTGACGGGGGAAGGCAGGTGGATACAGATCATCTCAAGAAGGGCATCAGCGGCAGGCAAGAACTTGCGCATGATGAGCTTGAGGAGGGCCTTGCCCTCGAGATCCTTCTCATCGTTGGTGAGGGAGACCTCAAGCTTCTCGAGGAGAGTGAAGATCTCATCACGCTTGTTGTGGTTGACAGCGGCGAAGATCTTGAAGATGGGGTCCAAGATGAACTGGTTGAAGGCACGCTCAAGGGGCTTGCCCTCGTGCTCACCCTTGTTGGTCCACTTCTTGGTCTTGGGGTTGAAGTAGTTGTCGCCCCAGAGACGCTCAAGCATCTTCTTGCGGTCAACACCGAACTTCTTGGCGTACTTGACGGCGAACTGGCGGACAGTGAAGCACCAGCCGTGGAGACCGGAACCGAAAGCGATGGTTCCTCTGTCGGGGTAGACCTGGACGTCACCGAGAGCCTTGTCGAAGTAGGTGGAGATAATGACGTTGACGGACTCGATGGTACGGGAGAAGGACTGGTACAGGTCCTCCTTGGAGACCTGGAGCTCGAGAAGAGCACGGTCAACCTTGTTGATGCACAGAACGGGCTTGATGCGCTCGGTCAGGGCCTGACGCAGGACAGTCTCGGTCTGGACACAGACACCGGAGACACAGTCGACTACGACAAGGGCACCGTCAGTGACACGGAGAGCAGCAGTGACCTCGGACGAGAAATCGACGTGACCGGGGGAATCGATCAAGTTGATCAGGAACTCGTCACCATCGACAGCCTGGGGAATCTCCTTAAGATCCTCTGGGTCGGGGAACTTGGCGTACAAGGAGATAGCGGTGGACTTGATGGTAATGCAACGATCCTGCTCATCGGGACGGGTGTCCATGAAACGAGCCTCACCAGCCTTGGCGGCGGAAATAATACCGGCACGCTGGACAAGGGAGTCGGAGAGGGTGGACTTTCCGTGATCGACTAACGCACAGAAGCAAAGTCAGAATCAGCCATTTCACCATATCACCCTTAAGTTAGAACTTACCGTGGGCAATGACGGACATGTTTCGGATGTTAGCCCGACGGTCCATCAGAGACCGGATCTGATCTCGGTTAGTGTCGATATTCATGATGCCTTGATAATTCGTTTCAAGGGAGAAAGGCTTTCAAGCATCACCAGTGAAGATGGGAGATGGGAGATGGAAGGATATCAATCGAGTAAAATATATCCCTTCTTCCACTGGTAATGTTTGATATAACCTTGGAAACCTCAAAAGGCAAATACTGACCTCTTCGATAGTGAAGCTGTTCACATCACTGTTAGCTGTATGTCCTTCCAATTCTAGTGACGGATCTCAACTTACTTAACCATTTTGGCGGTTGATCCTTAGTAACTAGGATTAAAAAAAAGAAAAGAAGAAGAAGAGCACACAGATGACTAGGACCGAGAGTTCTCGATCACTGAATCAAAAAGTTCTATGTGCAACTGCTCCTGGGGGACAGAGGTAGAGGGGGAAAAGAAGAAGAAGAGGGGAAGGGAAAGTGGGAGAGAAAAAAAAGAAAAGCGAAAGTGGGGACTTTTTTTTCCCCCGGTTTTGTGCGTTTCGAGCTGACTAGCCCATTTTCCCATATAGAGAATGAGATTATTCCCTTTTTTTCATTAATTATTTTTTTTAATCAGATGCCTCTCGTTTACTTTTCATTTCAGCCTTTTTTCTTGATTTCAAATCCTCCATACTTTGTTGTCCTGACTCACTACGCTGACATATTTTTGCCATCCGTGGGTGCTCCGGTGACGTTTGACAGCCATATCACAACCGAGAGATATTCCGACTCTTTTTTATAGCTATATCTGTAACCTCTTGGTCTATCTAAAGGTTAGAAATGAGTCAATTTAGAGCCTATGATTCACCCCATGCTTTTGGCTTTCCAAGGTTCTTCGAAATGAACTTGACTTCATGCCCAAAACCCCTCTATCAACTATGGAAGGTGGGGCAATGCACATTAGTAAGCGAGTTCAAATTTGATCTCATACAGCTCAAGAGCTCAATGTACGGCCACAGCTATATATGTATATACTAGTGTATCAATTCCAGTATATATTTCGTAATAGACATGCTTAAAGGGCTTTGAAAAGAAGATCCCATCTCGATATACCCCTCGAGCAAATTTTCATTTTGCATTACTAGCTCATGCAGCATGCATTAGTGGGGGGCAACTCCTCATTTAGATGTCCAAGGCATCAAGGCACCAAGGCATCAAGACAATAGATCATCCCACCTGCATTGTTGTACCTAGGTACATCTCCTTGGTATACTATAACAAATGGGCAATACATGTACTGATTACTCAAGGCAAAACTAATGTAACCAATGGAGTTTATGTATGTCAAATACTGGACTCCGTCTATCGTGATCTTAAAACAGTCGGGGCAGTCTCTCCACCCAAGTGCCCCGGCAGCCACCCTAGCCATATAATATACAATCGTGTGATTCGAGAATTTCTTGACCTACCAAACAACATATATGGCAGGATTAGATTTAGATTCTTTTATCCACCAAAAAAAGAGAAAAGAAAAGAAAATAGAAAATTTACTATATAAGCTCCTTATAAGCTCCCTCGCTACTTCTTCGCCTTCCTAGAGGGTGAGCATAACCGAAAAAGAAAAACATGACCCAAGCTCATGAGCAGCGTTGCCACCTTGTCAACAAAAAAGCCGCCTATCTGGTTTTATTGATGGCATATAAATACCGAAAGTGATCAATCAGACCTTGAAATGGTACCTTGAGGATGATATTGAGGAGAGATGGCATGCTCAAGGTCATTGTGAAAACAGAGCTTTAAAAGCATCCAGATAGCAAAGATGGGAAGATACCATTCTAATAATCATTGAGCTCGTTAAGTGGTGGAGTGTGTTACCTAGCTTCTATTTCATTGGACTTGTTGTCTTCCAATGACTGTCCAATCTGATATATCTGGTATATATTTCTCCGAACGCGACTACCATATGATCCTGACCGAAAGATCCCAGAAAATTTACATATTCTGCCAATGTCATTTAACCGATCGATATACCACATCAGTCTTCTTGGTCACCACAGCGGGTCGCATTTCCGCTTCATGTTTCTGATGTGACCATTAAGCCGCGGGGTTTGTTCATTGAGTCGAGTTCTACATCTTGTAGGGGCAAGCATGCTCCCATATTCAGTTCTCACTGGCTATTGTATTAAAGAAATAAAAGTAGTATAAATCGCAGACTCTGGGGTGAACGGCCAGCGAGTGAACCGTAACATGATTTGTGATCCTTCTTCATGTAGATCAGCAGAGACCTTTCGAATACGATGGGTTTCCAGCACATGGATAGGATCCACGATAGTTCCGATATTCTCTTCTTCAATCTCAATCATTCGCTGGGCGCAAAGACCAGAGTATCGATCCTGCCAAACACCGTGGTAGAAGGGGGAATTCAGCATTAGGTCAACCGCCTTCCGACGTATCAAAGGATGCCGGCAGCGAGAAGCGACGAGAAACATAGGCGGTGTGATACCAAGATCGAAGCTGTACAATATATTGTAATCCCGTGACTGTGTCTTCCAAATTTCCGTGACGCTCTCGGCGAGGTCAGCAATGGTCTGAAAATGCTCGGTGAAATCGTCAAAAACGCTTTCAAACTTAGCACCGTATGTTTCAGTAATAACTGTGGATGCATGATAATAAAGCTCTAAGAGGTTGCGGGTGCACTTCTCAATTATTGGAGGATCCGCTGAAAACTCGAAATGGTCCAAGGCTTCTTTCCACTGCCGCAGAACGGTGATAGGCGCTCTTTGCGGTGATTGGGAACCCCTAGGCTGCTCACGCTCCAAATAAGAAAAAAATGTAATTCATGACACGATCGTAGTCCTTCCTGGCAATGTCGAGAGAAGAGTAGGAGGATGGAATCGTCGGGGATGGTAAACAGAGCGGAACCCCAAGATTGCTGAGCATATGTCGGGAGTCCATGCATAAAGAGAATTGCACGCGAAGCCGTTGCATGACGGGTATTATCTGATCATTGATAAAATCCAGCGTTGGTCGAGAATATTCTCGGAGATTGTTATAGGTGTTAGTACGGTGTCTCCACCAGTATAGCAGCTTTAGGCCGGCCGTCAGGTGGAGCAGACAGGCGGCATCGCCGCTTCGAAACTGCTCGAAACAAATAAAGAGGAGACATAGGGTCATGATGAGATCCGGTCTTGAAGACATGTCAAGGGATCCATGCACGCACTTGATGGCTGCATTATAATGTTTCAGGGCTAGCATTTGTGCCGTGACCTGAGCATGTTCTTGTGATCGGCGAATGGAGACACAAGCATCTACCGGCTCCAGGCTTTCATGCAGCGAAGCGAGCGCGGTGAGGGCATGCTTGACGGGCAATTCGCTGTGCCCGAGTTGTAGAAGAGTCGACAGCCACACATTTGCATCGCGATAGCCAAAGATCCGGTGAGCAGTTTGACTCCGGAAGAAGAGAAAAGCTCGTCGTTCCTCGTCTTTCAAAGAACCTGGAGAAAGGCTGTACTGCAGAGGGGTTGGGTAACCCTCACAAATCCATTTCGTCGTGACACAACGTAGACAGGACGGCTTTTGCTCATCACATTTGATACGCCTACATTACGAGATTATTAGTTAAGGGGAACTCATATCACTAGCTAGGATGCGAACACACCGAGACCTTGGGTAATGCACTTATTAGTGGTAGCCTTCACAGATTGGTGTAGGGAGTCTTACTTGCAGTTGAAGCATCCACTTCGCGTCTTCCGTGTTGACAATGCACTTGAGCTCGTGGCCTTCATTTCGACAAGCCCTGAGCTACAGATGAGATCGGGATATCCAGTCGTGGGCAACAGGCGACTTTGGCTGGAAGCGGTCAGCAGTGGCAAATGCTGGACCTGAGAGATATCACTGTGCGGATCATTTCCCCTACTTGGTATTCGTTGAATTTTCCTCTCCTTACTTCGATATTTGCCGTGTTCGATACACTAGAAACTTGTTCCGACGCTAGACAAGAGCCGGTGTACGCCCGAGCGCTCCCCGGACGGCGACCGAGCGGGGAAGGATTGTAAAGCTCTCGTGGAGTTATATGCTCTTCTGAAATATGAACTACTTGTCGGTCTACATGTCGAACAGGATCACAATATTATTTACTCATACACCGGTTGTGGGCTTCCCTGAAGCAACTTTCATCCCGTCTGACCCTACTTCCGACATACCATACCTCAAGTCCTTATCTGTTGGACGCATCTCTACATAGTAAGGACAAAATTTACAAAATAGCTTAGTATGAGCTTCTCAGTGTTTGTGCAGGGATATGCGCATGGAACGCTTCTCATGTACCTCTGGCATGGAAATTCCCCCCTGCCATGGCTGCTTGCAATACGCCGATTTGAAGTCTAGGATAATCTCTATCGCACTGTACAGTGAACTCATTAAGTGTGCTAGCATTCCACCCAGGGTAACCAATATCCGCACCTGAGGACTAGTGACGGTAGAGTTAATTGGCCATATTCAGTCAAAGACAAAATTTGACTTCATATAAACATGAATAGGTATGCTAACAAACAGATAGAGAATGTATGATTCGAGTCGAAATGCATGTTGTCTAAGAATTTCACATGTGGAATCCCGCCTGCTTTTGTAAACCAACGCCTGGGCTTGTAACACTTGAACAATAAGCCTCCCCTGATGTGAGAGTGAGAACAATCAAAATGAGCATTGATCTGATCCGGAGAGGTTAAATCTTGACCTTCCATTTCCAGCGCCAATCCAACACCGCCCAACGTGATAGTGCTACGCTGATCAACCCAACAAACAAAATTGCGGAGTAGAACCCAATGAGAACCTGGGGAGTTGTTGATTGAAGCAATTTGCCTCCGACAGGCACCGTGAGAAGGACTCCAAACGCGGCGACACTGTAAACTGTTCCATAGAATCGACCATACTCTTCGGTTTTGCACAGTTGGCCTGCCTAAATAAATTATTAGCTTCATTGGTTCAAGGTCAGTTATTTGTAAACCGCAGTATTCGGTTAGAAAAGCATGGACTCGAGGGTCCGGAATAGGAGCAAGACAGGGGAGCGTACACAAACAGGTGCCAAAGATAGCCATCCACCAGACCCAAAACCGAATATTGCAACTACGGCATAGAGCGTGGCCTCATTATGGGATCCATATGGGAGCCAAAGACATGCCATAATTATTAGGGTGAGACAGACCATGGACAACAAGGTATTGAATCTCCCAACCTGATCGGCAGCGAACCCGGGTAGGACTCTTCCGAAAAGACTCATTCCATTCAACAGCGTCAGCGAGTAGAACTGAAGATCTTCTGAGAAGCCAGCAAAGCGCACATATGTGGGGAGCAGGGCCGCGCAGCCAAAGATAATAAATTCGAACGAGAAAACAGCGGCCGCAAGAAAGCAAAGCCGAGGTGAAGCCAACGCTCGGATATCGATGGTTACCCTGCTTTTGCTACCGGTTGGAAGTCTCCCTCTAACCAAGAACACACCTAGCACGTAGCACCCCAGAGCCATAAAGGCAATTATGCGCATTGCCCATAGCCAGTCATACTTTTGAAAGAGCGTTCGAAGAAGCAAGGGAATGATCGCTCCACCGGCCGATGACCCTGCCATGCAAATTCCAGATGCCAAGGCACGGCGCCGATAAAACCAGTGACTGAGAACCGAAATTGAAACGGTAGTAATGACGGCAGATGAGACACCTCCGAGAACCCCAAGACAAAGCATGAAGTGCCAATACTCTGTGCATTCTGCCAAGAGCATATAACAAGCAAAATTGGCAAGGCTTCCGAATATCAAGAGGACCCTAGGTCCATAAGTGTCAAAGAGAGGTCCGACTTGAACTCCCAGGAATAAAGTCAAGAACACAAGCACAGCTGTGATCCATCCGACATCGCTGACGCTATAATCAGCGAGCTGATGAGTATTGATATAGTCCTGGACCGATCCAACTGCACAAAGTCAGTTATAATGAGAGCGACTTGACTTCGGCTAGCTACTTGCCGGCAGTTTGAAAGCCAAACGAAGGAAACATCATCAAAAATGAGCCAAGCAAACACGTCCATGCGGCCCAGGTGTCCTCCGGAAACGCATCTTTGTCCTCCTCATCGGAATCGGAAAGGTGATGGGCTCCGTTACTTCTGTCGGCGATAATATGATGGCTGAGCGGCACACGAGGCTCGGGGACGGCAGATCGGCGCATGATGCTTTCAAATTCCTGTGAGACCAGCCAGGGATATCAGCAAGGAAATTTCAAAATTTGTCTGGAATTAATCGATCGCAATGAGCCTAGCCTGACCTTTGTATTTCACGACGCCTACACCTTGCAGGGAGAAACTGTACATCGTATATCCAATGCTGGCTGATAGGGGTGGGCGGCTTCTTAAATAGTAATCATCCACGATTTGGATCCATGGACCCATAGGTGTGTCAGAGGCTTGTTTAAATTCTTATTCGCCAGAATACTTTGAAATTGCAAAATCCCACTTGGCAAAAAAATCGAAGCCATTTCCCACATAACTCTCTGTTGAGTGATGTAAAGACGTCACGTCACGGTGGTACACAAGAAATCCACGATATGGTAGATCCATCACAAGCTAGTTGATTGGTTGTAGTGGTTTAAATGCGAACAGGCCAATAAGCAGCTGCGGTCCCCATCACGGACCCACCCAATCCGTTTGAGCCTAAATTTTTTATTCAACGCGTATTTAACTGTAATTGTATAACAATATAACAATACATACCTACATACTTTACCAAGGAAGTGATATGGATTTTCAAGGCTGCGAAGAATCTTAACTAAAGTCGTCTTAGGAATACCTACTCCGTACATATTCAGCCTCTAGACCCGTGGAGGAAGATCCTTTAGTCACCATCTGACCAAACCCCCGGGAACAAATTCGTCATGACCATTTGTAGGACTACTTTTACATATATGGATATATGGTTCAGATATCCCATCTTCGGCCTGAGACAGGGTTAATATGGCTCATATTTAACCTTGAATAGGACCTAACATATATATGTAGGTAGGTAGGTAGTAACTGACCTCGGGAGTGAAGATACCTATTAGTCCCCAAACCATGGCAAACCCTTCACTCCATTTTACCATATGAGGCTGTCTGCACGCCCTGTGGGTCCTCTGCATCACTGAAGCAGCATTCGCTGTGTTCATCGCGTATCATGCCGTACTATACTGACTATACCATACGTTATGGCATTTTCGTCCATTACCTGGATCCACTCTAGTCATAGGGCGTGCTTGTCCCCACAGGGCGTGCTCTCATGCCGGACTTCTGGGAACCTTTTGATCGGCGCAAAATTAAATCGTACCTGGAAACTGTCTATAAGTATTTCGGAGGGAGCAACAAGGATGGTCAATTTTCACTGTCTTCACTTCGTTTCTCCAACATGGGTTCCCATACGGATTCTTTACAGCCGCTCGACGCATCTAAACTGACGTATGCCTACACTACCACCCCACGAGAGGTACCCGATGCCAAATTGCTTGCAAGCAATCGCAAGACAATCTGTACGGATCACATGATTGTTGCCTCTTGGGATGTCGAGAATGGCTGGTCCACGCCCGAGCTGAAGCCCTATGGTCCTTTCAGCCTTCTACCGAGTGCATCCTGCCTCCACTACGCGTACGAATGTTTCGAAGGACTGAAAGCATATCGCGGCTATGACGGAAAACTCCGGATGTTCCGAACCGACCGCAATTCTCGCCGCCTGCTAATGTCCGCCGAGCGGATTTCCCTTCCTCAATTCGATCCGGACGAACTGGAGAAGCTCATATATAAGTTGCTCTCGGTGGATGGCGCAAAGTGGCTCCCGAAGAGCCGCGCCGGGGATTTCTTATACGTGCGCCCGACCATTATTGGCACGGACTCCCAGCTTGGCGTTGCAAGGCCAACAGAGGCTCTGCTGTACATCATTGTTGGATATATGGCTCGCATGGATACACCTACTGGCGGCAAACGCTTGCTGACGAACCCGGATGATATGGTACGCTCCTGGGTGGGTGGGTTCGGTTATGCTAAGGTCGGCGCGAACTATGGACCATCGGTACTGGCCACCCAGGAAGCCTATCGTCAGGGTTATCACCAGGTACTCTGGTTGTACGGCCCCGAAGGTGACTGTACCGAGGCAGGCGGGAGCAACTTCTTCGTGATTTGGAAGCGCAAGGATGGAAAGAAGGAGCTCGTTACAGCCCCGTTAGACGATCAGCTCATTCTGAACGGAGTCACCCGCCGAAGTTGCCTCGATCTGGCGAAGGATCGACTGAAGGATGAACTTGAGGTCACTGAGCGCAAGTTTACCATCGGTGAAATTCAGGAGGCCGCTGCAGACGGCCGACTGCTGGAGTCATTTGCTGCCGGGACAGCTGTAAGTTGTGGTTCCGCACTCCTTCCACGAAATTAAATACTAATCAGTTTATAGTGGTTCATTACTCCGATTGCCTTGATCCACCACCGTGGAAAAGACATCAATATACCAACTGGTCCTGATGGAACACCGGCTGAAATCACAGGGAAAATAAAGGGATGGCTGGGCGATATGATGTATGGGCGTGTCGAGCATGAATGGGCAAGAGTGGTGCCCGAGAAGGAAGTCAATTGAAGCAGTAGCCATAGTTTGAAAAGCAGCCCGGTAGATTGCATATTTTACAAAATAAAGCTTATAGAAAAATACACAGATCGTGAACGATTCATGACTTTGACCCTTCTGACCTCTTTGTAATGGGTAGAATAACGGCGACAAATTCAGATGGCGCGTGTGCTGGCCCGGGCAGACACCGCCCACAGCTGATGATTCATCCCCCAATTTCTCCAGGGCTTCTTTGCCACTACTACTGGCAAGTTCTCGCATCTTAATTAGTCTCGAGGGCACCGATAGCTGCCTGAGCGAATACACTATTGGTCCCGATCATTTATTTGGCTTGTGGTGTGTCATTGGGGCATGCGCTCACCGGACCCTCTTCGTCCCAGCACTTAAGTGTAGCTCCACTCCTTTCCTTCCCTCTCCTTTCCCCAGAGTGAGTCAATCCAGATAGATCTAATACAATCGTATTGATCTCTTTCCAGCTTCCTCCCAAGAAGATGGCAGCCCCGCGGCGTCAATCCTCGAATTGTACGAGATTTGCCTACCTCAAATTACCGGGATTATGACACTAATATACCCCATAGACCCTGAAGGAGACATTGAGCCACCTCACACTGGCGGCTTTTTCGATTATCCTGAATATATTAATAACACATATACACGCGCGTTGTTTGACCCGATGGGTCCGCTACCTTCTAGCAGGCATGGTGCAGACTATAGTTCCGCCAATGATTTTAGCTCTCATACCGCCAACTTCCCGTCCAAGAACGCCGCGGAAGAAATGCCATTGAATGCGACCCCAGGCTCTTTCGCACCGAACTACGGTGACTTCAGTCCTCAAGGGCTTGATGACTTTGCTTGGATGGACCATGCATCGTTGCAATCATTGCCTACGCAGCAACCTACCCAAATGATTGAGTTATCTTCTGGTCAATTCACTTGGCCTACCACAACATCGCCATGTGGAACTATTGAGAACGAAGAATCAACATCAAGACCTTCTCTACCGAGGGATCTGTCACGTGGCTACAGAGGACTTCCTCGACGAAAAAGCGGGTATATGATACAGAAAGTCGACCAACGACCAAATGCCACCTTCATCCCACCCACTGCAGGCCCAGCGGATCCTTTGGAACGCTGGAAAGAATCGCCCCCCGAAGGAGAGGCTGCCAGTTTATCAGCTATCAAGAGTGCGCTTGAGAATTTCTCGACATATTCCGGTGGGCCTCAACGGCCTGGTACGCCTGGGTCTCAGGGCGGGCGAATTGTTCCAAAAGCATCGTTCAGGATCCCGGGCACCTTCAACAGCTAGTAGGGAAAGCGCCACAAGTGTATCTTCTCAGCGCTCGAACCGATCCGGATTGTCTGCTTTGTCTAATGGCAGCCAAACCGCTTCGGACAAGACATCTGCAGGCGTTCAAAAGAAACATGCTGGCAGGAAAAAAAGAAGCTCGGCTAACAACCCTCGCATATTTTGCTGCACATTTTGTTGTGATAAGTTCAAGAACAAATTTGACTGGATGCGTCACGAAAAGTCTCTACATCTCAACCTGGAGACCTGGGCATGCGCACCATTTGGAGGGTCTGTGGTGTTGGAGTCAACTAGTAGAGCCCATTGTGCCTATTGTAACCAACTCGATCCATCTCTGGAGCACCTGGAGCAACACAATCACGGACCCTGTCAGCAACAAATGCGTACTTTTCGGAGAAAGGATCATCTCCTTCAGCATTTGCGGCTTTTCCACCGTCTCGATGTTATCCCATTAATTGAGGATTGGAAACGTGTCACCACGGACTTCCCTTCCCGGTGTGGATTCTGCGACGGTCGCATGTCGACCTGGGAGGAGCGGGCCGATCATCTGACATTTCACTTTCGCAAAGGCTGCACCATGGCCAATTGGAAAGGCGATCATGACTTTCCTCCAGATATCACCGCACAAGTGACAAACAGTGTCCCGCCGTATCTGCTGGACTTCGAATCACGAACTTTCGTCCCTTTCTCTGCCACTAACAGAGATACCAATGATCATCTCTCTCAGATGCTGTCCCGGGCCACATTCGTGGATGCATCAGGCGTGCCCCAAGTGCTTCCGGAATCTGCGGACACGGAGCTGCAGCCGGTCCAACAGCCTCAATTGGATTCTTACACCGAAGTTCTTACCCGTCATTTAAGTCATTACGCACAACAGATGATGAGCCGAGGCATTATCCCCACCGATGAAATGTTTCAGGCAGAGGCAAGACGTCTTTCGTATGATTCCGAGGATCAGTGGGACCAAACGATAGCTGATAATCTTGAATGGTTGGCTAAATTTCGCGCAGAGCAAAGCAGCAAGGGTGCTTTTCAGACTCTGGAGCAAGGCCCTATGGGGTAGATCTATAACATACATTAATCTAAAATAAGACTGGAATTCAGCCTTCATAACGCTGGATATCTCAATGCGACTCAACGGTAATACCGCTTTTCTCCCTGATAAGTCTGCCATATTTTATGAAAGCAAAGGGTATCCAGGCCAGAGCAAAGGCAAAGAACCCTAGCAGCGAGCTAGCCCAGTGAATACCAAGTTTGGTATACATAGGGGTTGCTGCAAATGGCAGGACGACCGCCATCATAGCTCTCGTAGAACTAGCAGCTGCCTGTGCAGAGGCCGAAGCCTCTTTATATGCATCCGTTAGATAATTCAACAGTGCAGTGAACACAAGCAGATAGCCGAAACCAAAGAATATTCCTGCCATCATCGGAACTGCAGGATGGATGGATTTGTAAGAGCTCCAACCAAGCCAGAAAAGAGCGACGACAATTCTATTTGATTGCAGTCACATGTGTAAGCGAAGCCGTGAACAGATTCAGGGTACTATACGTACGATGGGGCACCGATACAGGCAAGTGGAAGTCGGCGGTACTCCTCAACCGAGCACCATGATTGGCCTGCTGCTACAGCCTTATTATGATATGAGGCATAGACCAGCGCAACGCAAAGGCCAAGAAATGACCCAAAAATCACTGTGGTGGAATGAGTCTTGCGAATCTTTTTTGGTAATATTTGGACGGGAAACCCACTGGGAATAAAGGCCAGACCACTGAGACCGTTCGAGAGTCCATATATCCCTTTGTTCATCAGCCCACGAAATTGGATCCTGCAAAATACCGAGTATTCACCTACCTTTGAAGATTATTGGGTAAGCCTGGAAAAACAGGAACAGTATTCCATATACAAATGAGAGGTATAGAGACGTGAATGAGACGATGGGTTCCTTCAGTAACATTGAAAATGGTCGAATGAATATTTTCCGCGCTGAAAATTGTGCTCGTGTTGTGTGAGCTTCGTCATTCATTTGAAGGCTCTTGGTTTTTTGCCTTTCAAGGACGGGTGAATATGTCTCTGGAAGCAACAGTATAAATGGTACACCGGCTCCGGCGATGATCAAAGCGACCCAGAAGACCCAGCGCCATGAGATTAGAACTGTAAAGCCCGATACCAAAGGCCCTGCCATCGGACCGGCCATTGCGGTGAAGAAGAAAATGACCATTGCTCTGCCACGTCGATTGGGCTCGTTGTAGATATCGCTGTACAGGCCACTCAGCACAGCATTAGGTGCTGATCCGCTCAATCCACAAAGGAATCTGAAGACCAACAAAGACTGGAAAGTGGGTGACAGTGCGCAGCCAAGGGTGAAGAAAGTATATGCCAGGTATGTTCCGATCATCACTGGTCGGCGTCCGACACATTCGCTCAATGGTCCAAAAAATAGCGGACCAACCGCAAACCCGACAAGATAAAGGGAGTTCAAAAGCACAATTCGAATGTCATGTTCAGATATCTCAAAGGCTGCGGCAATGAATGATGAAGCTCCCGAGGGAAGTGAAGCGCCGAGGGATGCATTAAAGGCGAATATTGTGCCTGCTAGGACAATTTGGTTTTTTCTGAGCTATCAATACACCGTATTAGCTTCTCAAAATTCGAAGAAACAGGTTGGAAGAGTGTGATGTTACTCTGGAAAAGTTCACAGCTGGCTGATAACACAGTTTACTTGCTGATGGATACTCTGCCTCTGAAATCTCAACGTCTTGCGTGACCATCACGGCCAGTTTCTAACAATCCAGATCAGTCCTGAATCGGTCACAGAAAAGGAAAGAGAATAATTGTCATTAACTTATTAACTTACTATAGCGAGCGGTAGAATCGCACTTAAATTGGGTGGTGTACAGTTAAATGGGCCATGATAAAAAAAAAATTCTGCATAAATATGAGGGCTATACTAAAGCTTCGGGGACTTCAAAGGTCCAACGTGGATGATGGCACGCCCTACCTAGGTAGGTATGGTATCGTGCACGCCTTACATGGGCCCATGGACCCACTTTGATAGCCTCGAAGAGACTCGAGCCCCACAACCGTATTTGGCGTCACCGTATGTATCGTCAGTGTATGGACCGTATCTATGTATGTACCATTTCAGTTACCTACATACATATGTTGTAGGCGATAATAGTCTTTTAAGGATTACATGTGTACCTGCGGCCCTTTTCAATAGTTATATTCGTAGAGGCGTGTTGACATTCGTCGCTTTTAGTTCAGCGCGTCTCCTCCCCCCGAGCTCTCTTTATCCTGCACTTTTCAGCGCCCACTTTCTTTCATTCCGGTCCTATTGACCACTGCGCATGAGCCTTCCCTCACGCACACCGTGTGTACTGTTCTTCGTCCCACGAGAAGTTTTAATCTGCTCATATCTAATATCGCCTTTGATTTCTCCTCTGTGCCTCTTAACCCCACCGTCCTCAATAATGCCACCGATCACTTCTGACAAAGACCTTCCTAAGTTGCTTGATACACCCACAAAGCACGTCAAATGGGTGAAAAAGCTGGTCCTCAGGCATCTACGTAGTGCTGTTAAGCACATCGACAGGCCTCCTATGCAGGGGATGTTTAGCCGAACCCTACTATTGACATTGGGAGATGGCCGTGAGGTGGTGCAACAATTTCGCACTGAGCCATTCGACCTAGACGCTTTCAAGATTGCAAAGAAAGCCTTGGGCCCTGTCGTACCTGATGCCATGGCTTTGGAGATGAGGACCTTTTCAACGAGGGAGTTTGAGCTTATTCCTTTACTCGCCTTTATGGCAAGATGTGGGTTCACGGAATTGCCGGCAAGGGCGCAAAGGGCCGAATTGCGATTAATAAATCTCTTGGTCACGTTCTGTCTAAAGGCTGCCTCGCCAATAGCAGTGACGAGGCCGTGAATGGCCGTGTCCGCAACCACCTTGAGGCCCTCCTAGCATCGCCTCGAAGAAGATATCAATCCGTACCGACATCTGCTTCAAGGCTTTCTTGATAACATAGAACGGCTGAAGAAGCTTCCACTATGGGTCGCTCACTATGACCTGAACCAAGTAAACGTCTTAATCGATGAGGAATGCAATATCACTGGCTTGATCGACTGGGAGCTTTCCAGCCCTCTCCCATTTGGTGTTGGCTTCGGTCGCATTCACACCTATGCTGGCGAATATACGGGCGGGGGGTTTTGGGTGCCTGATGAATTTGAGGATGCAGAACGAGCTTTCTGGAATGAGTTGTTTGATGGAATGCCGGCAGAAACTCGTGACGAATTGAGAAACCAAATCGACCTTGTCCAGGATGCCGTTATCCTTGGAACACTTTTAGATTGCCTGGCTTTTGAACAAGGGAAGGTTGTTATTGGCTCGGTTCCTAAGAAGGCTCTCCCTAAGCTTCTTACTTACCGAATCCCTTTTGTTAGAGGGAACGAGCCCCCGTACAGAGACTAAAGCTAGACAATGATTTCACTGTATTAGTTTCTCTTGTCAGCATTCTTCCCGCACACCATCGCTTTTGGTGGCTATGGCCTTGCAGATGGGCACTTTGGTGTGCGCTCGCCAAAAGCTTTGATAGCTTGCTCGCTGCCCGAATCGTGCTTGGGTTTGCTGCCGCCGCTGGAGAGGTAAGACATGAATTATGAAGGAAGGACCTTATGCTTCTCTGACACTCACCATGTTCTTGCCGATGACTTCTCTCTAAGAGTATCGTTCACAGAACTGACACTATGCAACTATTCAGTCTTGGGTCTAGTTACAGTAATTAGCCCCAGATAACATGGCAAACTCAATAAACATCTGTGCCGCGGGGCCTTAGCGAATAGCTTTCCTCTAGGTAAGACCCCTCCTGCATATTCGGCCACAGGTCGAAAATCCCGGATAGGGAGCACTTCATCCACCCTGGAAACGGCGGCTCGGGATCTTCCTCTAATGCCTCAACGACTTTCACATAATGACGCTGCATATCTTCTAATCGTTGTGGTAGGTCTTCTGGAAGTGGAGCGCTTTGTAAAGTCTGAAAAGTCTCCTCGTCAATCACAATAAACATACGGTAACTAGGAAAGCAATCGAGCTTATCTCGCTCAGTTACCTAGGCTTTAAAATGCGTGCGGACCTGATCTATCGATGCTCCATCGAACTAGGAAGCATCTTCAACGACGCGTGGCTTGTACTTAGCCCGTATTCCATCGAAGGAAGTTCTGTTGAACTCATTTGTCCTAGGTCATAGCGGAGGCAGGATTCGTAGTCCTTATAGAATCCATCCTTGATGTACGCTGTGGTAAGGTCGACTATACGCGGGAAAGTGACATGAGATTGCTGGGTGTAGGTTGTCCGGTATATTGTGTAGCCCCATGTTGGTTCCGTGAAATTCAGCCAGTGATAAAGATCACGAAAATGGCCTGGAAGCCAGGGGATAGCTGCCTCGGTAATCGAATTCGCGACATGACGGTGGGGGGTGGGATTGACGTGATCTTGCGGTGGTTAAGAGGTAACGGGTAAGTCTGCGGATAGAGAAAGGTGCAACCTCCTAGGAGCATAGGCTAAAAGGGGGGGAGATGGTAGGTCAATTGATTAGCCCCACTGTGAGATTTTTTTGGATCAGGATCGAGACCGCTAGAACGAACGGTCATGTTGACTGCGCAGTCCTATTTTGACGGGTGATATGAATGGGAAAGGTTCGCATGTGGTGCGATTAGCGTGTCGCATTTTATTGATATAGCTTAGGCCCACTTATCCCTACACTCAGTGAGCACTCAGCACTCAGCACCGCAGATCAAGTTGATTATGTAATGGCCCATGATCAACCTTGGAAGGTTGGAAGGTTGGAAGTCAGGGTACTCAGGGACGTGCTCAGTGTTAGTCCATGAATCAAAAAACGGCAAGAGGTGAGGCCTACTTGCGAGGCATTATCCGGTAAATATGCTTCCTTAAGGTCGTCTTAGGTGACACATGTGGGATATGCTTCCCGGAAGGACCTGCAGCTCCGCATATGAGTACTGTACCCTTTCTCGGGCATTTAATTAGAGAGGCTATGCAAACCTTGTAAGGCCCAGGGGAGTTGGTTAGTAAATCTTTCTGATTCGACGCTTGTGTTTGCACTTCCCAAATGTCTCGGTTGCCTCCTGCTGCTGCCGGTTACTAGGTACGGGAGACAGAACCCGACCTTTCCCCGCTTATCTCTCATTCATGAAGCGTCGATGCATACAAGTACATTTCAGAACATCTATAAGTACCTAGGTATGCTTCTCATTTAAGAGTTGATATTTGTAACAAATGAACAACAGAAAAACATTGAACCACTCATTCGCTAGTTGTTGTTAACCCAGTTGCCATGTAGACCAGCTCTGAGTCTCAAAGGAAGCATGATGATCGCCCGGGCCTTGGTGAAATCGCGACAATCTAGAAGATGCAGCTCACTGGACAGGGTGCGATAGTTGTTTACCAATGCCATCAAGTATCCATCACCTTCCTCCGTAGAGCCCGCACGCGGAATGAAAACGGGTTCTTGCACGAGATGTGTGCGTCCCGGGAAGTAAACTTCCGTGTTGCCTGTGCTTTCGTCGTGATGTGCCAGCGAGTTATAAGGAGGATACCCACCGCCCATGACCGGGGCAATAGCTGCAAAGTCCGTTCCCAGGCCTGGGTCCATGAGATCAAAGTAACTGTGGCTATATTTTCTTCCCGAAAACCGATCATCAATGCGATAGAATTCAGAATTTCCATCGTGCAAAACCTCCGGCTCGGGGAGATGTCCTTCTTCCGCATTAGGGTCCACAGTAAACCGTGTCAATTGAGAGTGGATCTTGCTAGGCTTAGGCGAGTTGCCCTGAGCATCGGGCCACCAGTAAAAGACATTCTTGTCACTGAGTCCGAGATCGAAGACAATCTTCCCGTCATCTTGCTCATAGGCGTTGGCGGTATGGCCGGGGAATGAATTTTTGTATGTGAACCACTGCGAATGGCGTGTGAGGAAATAGTAAAACGGACAAAATTGGTTATAGAAACCCTCTTACCTTAACATCCGAGGGCTTAGCTCCGTAGCGGGGAATCACTCCGATATAGAAGGGAGTTTCAGGGCTCCATTGCCAGTGTTCTCCACCCTGCTTCAATCGTTCCAGATCACATAACTGGGGAATCACAGGGAAAAGAACCTAGCATAAAGACTCTTGATTAGATGCTGACATCTTGCCAATAATAGGCCTGAAAGAGCCGCACTCACCCAGTTCTCCGTCACTGCAAAGTCATGGATCATTCCACAGACAGGACTTGCTAGCCAAACTGTCTGGGTGAACTTACCGTCAGAGCCAATAGTATAATAACAAATATCGGGGCTGCCGTCTCCCTTGGCTTCATAACCGAAACAGACCAATTCTCCTGTCACTGGATCGGTCTTAGGGTGGGCAGTGAAAGTTACGCTGGGGAGCTGGCCATCAAAGGTATACAAGCCCTTTGTTTCCAGGGTCTCTGGATCCATCGCATATGGAGGGGAGTCCTCCTTAAGAGCCAAGAGCTGGCCGTTAAAACTGACAACATTGGTATTGGCAGTACTTCTAACGGTGAATTCCACCGCATCAGTAAACTTGTTTCGATATTTCCCTGGTTGAAAATGGTTAGCCCGCTCTATAATGTATCTAAATTGGAAAATAGATGCCACGTAGGTTAGAAAATCCGTACCAATGAGCGCGCGGCGGGCTTCCCTCTCGCGTACAAACTTCTCAGTGCGAACGTATTTCTGCTGGAAGGTCACAGAACCGTCCTTGATGCGGAATGCGCTGACATTTCCATCTCCATTGAACCACTAATTATCTTAGTGTCAGGCGACCAAAAAGGAAGGTGGAATAGTAGATTTAGGTGGATACATACGGGATCATCGTCAATGAAAGGAGGCAACTGAGGATCGGGCATGACACGGTAGAAAGTACCGTCAATGTCATTTGGAAGATCTCCATGCACCTCTAGATTTTGAACCTCTCCCTCAAATCGGCATGGCTTCATGAAGTCCGAGAACTGAGGGCGGTTGGGAAAATGCTGAGCAGGGGATGCCATTTTTGGTCTAAATTTGAAGTAATAATCTCCAGGCGACATGATGTTGAAATATGTTTCGTTTCAGTTTCACCTCAGGCCCCAAAGAGGAATGGAAAGTTAGAACAGTTCCCCGAAGAATCTGGAGTGCGGCCCGAAGAACCCCCACGCTTTCCACCCGGGGAGATGTCGGGAATGCGGGCGACTGCTGTCAGGGGAAGTACGGGTCGTTTTGGCTAACCTCTGGCAACGGGCATAAGTTTCATAGATGCGAGATGAGAGAATGGGAGGCACAAATTGAAACAATTGATCTAACTCAAGCTCTCTATCTTGACTTAGTTCGTATGTAGGGAACAGCATGTAGCAAAAAGAGCCCAGGCGATAAGCCTCCACGATAACCGATAAGATTTGCCCAGTTACATACATAACGTAACATTGGCTGCCTAGTTGGGACATGGTACTTTGGAACGACATGTCTACCGAATTTCGCAGCTTCCAGGGCTTCTGCAGTAGCCCTTGGTAGTATCTTTTGTGGCCTGGCAAGGTTGCAAGTAAGGCGGTCAGACATGGCTCCTCAAGATCACGATAAAGGTGCACTTATCGATAATATCGATAAGGATGTTGATATCACGTGCCACAATATCGCCAACGACATCTGGCTAGCGGTCTTCGTTTCCAGGGCTGTTTTCATATCAACACAGCTCAAGCTTCATACTATACTAGCAGGGAGCTGTGTATAGACTGGGCTGTCTGATCTGAGACATTCATCGGAGAGCCTTAGGTCACTGTCAAAAGCTTCTTGCCCCTTGGAACATTCCGTGGGCCAAATGGAAGGTCGGCGCGTCTACTCTATATGGATGTTCAGATAGCTCATCCATGGATGTGTTGAGGTCTCGGCGCTCGATTAACTAAGCGATCAGGTAGGTCCCAAAACGATGATCGCGCGACACGATTGCTTTCATCTCTTCTACCTCCTCCATTCATAAATTTGAACCCCGGGCTCGAATGACCTATCCTCTGAATCAAGCGGAATGGCTGACGAGTCTAGTAGTATCTACAACCTAATTGAAGAGCTTGGCTTTACTCCAAGCGAGCACCAATTCTTGCTTCGTCTTTTCGGCTCATCCGACCCATTTGCGGGTGTGGACCTAGAGGCCAATCACAGCGAAAATCAATCTGGCCAGCTCAGCTCCACCAGTATTGCTCACAGGCTCGCATCTGCTAGGCTTAGGCAAGATATTCCTCCGTTTACTGGGTGTATTTCCTTGACTGACCTACTTCCCCCGCAGTGAACGTGCCAGTCAGTTGCGTCTACGATCCATCCACCGTCATCCTAGTGACTTTCGCGAAAGCTCAGAAGGAAGAGACCTGGTTCACTACGCAGAAGAGTGGACCTCTCTCATCGGCACTGATTCAGAATCTCTGTTCTCAGAGTTACGCCAACAGCTTGTAACGGACAACGAGCCTCCCTGCCTCGAGTCCCCTGAGGTTCCCGAACACCCTAAGGCATCGGAGAACGTTGCACGCCCAGGATCCGTTGAACCTGCAAGTTCATCAGTCTACAGTGAAACAGGTGAGCCACCCGACTCTGTTGATAACCTCACCGAGACCCCTGGCACCCAACGCCATTGCGAAGGATCCCAGGACCCGAGGACTTTAACCCACCCTGGGAGCTTTGAGCGGCTACTGGAATCATTCCCAAAACCTCCCGGTTACAACCAAACCGTCAGGAAGCAAAGTTTCTCCCACGTTTCTTCTGACGCCCAACGAGTGCCACCGAAAGACAGTGCCCAAGCTAATACATCGACGCTCGCCAGCAGTCAGATCAAACCTTCAAGCAGCTCACCCCGGATTTCCCGATTCTCCGAAGATTTGGGGGACAGTAACCCGATCGGAGAGCAAAATCCTTCCAGCATTTCTATCAAGACTGATACATCTGCGCTCGACAACGGTGGGCTAGAAAATACCTCAACTAGTCCTCGTGGAATTTCCCCGCTATCTCCTAACGACACTTCAACTGCCATCGGCACTCGAAACATTTCTCCTCGGACTCCTTCGGTGACCCCTAGCCTCTCTTTCAGAAATTTACGTCTCCCCATTGACTATCACGAGGGACAACAAGTGAGTGTTGGAAGTTCCCACCAGGCTCAGGGGCGCGGCAATCGGTACACAATTTTCCCTGAATACACCCCGCAGATTCGTCCGATTGGCTACGTGATCAGAAAGCAACACTCCTTCCGCACTATCTTCGAAGGGTGTCCCTCACCTAGAGAGTCCCCTCGGTATTACCGGAAGTCTCCTCTTCGTATCTCTACTCGCCCATCGACGATCTCTTTCAACTCGGGAAAGAAGAGCACCCCAAAGCACAAGAGAGTCCTGAAGCGTTTTGGTAAAAAGCTCAAACACCTGCTTTGTCCAACCTGCAAACGCACCTCATCTACTCTCAATCATTAACTTCACGCCAGAGAAGTCACCTATCTTTACACTTCCTTCACAATCGCCTCACCCAGCCCCGTCTCTATCTTTACCCCTTGCTCACTTTGCGCCCGTATTATTCTTACAGCTTTCTTACTTGACAATCATTCTTACATACTTCACACCTGGCTCATTCCAAGCATATCTTCACTCACTATGGATTCTCGAACGTCTCATCTGTTGGACCCATCCTCTGCCATGGCGGCCATTACCAAGCACAAGGCGGAAGCAATTAAGCTAGCTCGTGAACAGGGTGTGGCCGTCCAAGAGATGTGTCGCCGTGCGAAAACTGAGGTTCCACCATACGAGTTTGAAGAGTTGATAGGCAAAGGTGCTTATGGCCGCGTCTACAAGGGTCACCAAAGACCGTCGGGTCGGCTGGTTGCCATCAAAGTCCTGGATATTGACTCGCTCGACTACAAGTCAGTTCGAGATTTCAGAGATGAGTCGATAAAAGACTTCATCCATGAAACAAAGGTGATGAAGCAAGTGAAGGACTCTGGGGCCAAAAATATCAACGAAATCATTGAAGCCATCTCGATTCACTCTCAGTTGTGGCTGGTTTGTGAGTACTGTCCCGGTGGCAGTGTCCGTACATTGATGCGTGCAACAAACGACAAGCTTGATGAGAAATACATCGTTCCAATTGCTCGCGAGCTGGCTGTTGGACTTCGCGCGATTCACGACGCTGGGATCATTCATCGCGATGTGAAAGCTGCAAACATTCTTGTTCATGAAGAGGGTCGTCTAGAAATCTGCGACTTCGGTGTTGCTGGTGTTCTCCAATCACAGCGAGACAAACGATCCACCTGGATTGGTACACCACACTGGATGCCGCCAGAGATGTTCGCAACTCGCGGAGAGCCCCATCAATACGGGAATGAGATTGATGTGTGGGCGTACGGGTGCACACTGTTTGAATTTGCGAATGGGAACCCGCCAAACGCAGGCCTGCGAGAACGAATGCAAATTGGTCGCCAACTAAATCGCAAGACTCCCCAGCTGGACAGCGATAAGTACAGTCAAGGCCTGAAGGATCTTATTGCCTACGCTCTAGACTCCAATCCAAACACTCGCCCCACGATGGCAGACATCCTTGCCCACCCCTACATTGCCAATACGGAAGAGGAATATCCGACTGCTTCTGTGAGTGAGTTGGTGAGAGACTACTACCAGTGGTCCCAGCGAGGAGGCCAGCGGATTTCTTTGTTTCACCCAGGCGGCGCCGCGGCAGCTGAACTCCCAGGCATCGAGGAGTCAGAGGATGACTGGAATTTCAGTACCACAGATGGATTCGAGCGAAGATTCTCTGTCATTGACCTGGATGAAATTGCGGCCTCACTAGCGGAGATGGAGCAGTCGATCAGTACTACCGACATAAAGCCTGAGCAAGACATGTACGAAAAGTTTTCGGAGGATGATCTTAACTATGAAGATAAGGCCAATTTCGATGAACGTGTGCGCCGAGGCGCTGTGGCAATGGAAGGCCTGTTTGACGAGGAAAAGCCCAGCTACAAGTACGAAACAAAAAATGACTTTGTCCCCATCGAACCTGAGCAGCCCACCTCAGATCTTCCCCTTCGTGCGGAAACAGACCGGTCCTCTGTCACCTCGACTTTTCTCGATATCGACATCGGGTCATTCGAGGCCTCACACTACGCAGCAGGAGCTCCATCAGCGCAGCCTTTCCAACTGGTCGATGCAAATACTATCCGAGCGAACCGCTCCAGTATTCGATTGAACAGGACCTCGTCTGAGAATAGCTCAAAGTCATCCGATAGCCGCGCGAATGACGTTGAAAACCTCGAAGATACATTTGTGCCGTCTGGTCCTCGACCTCCCACCATGGACTGGAAATTCCCATCATTCGTACAAGATGAAGAGGAACAACCGGAAAGAAAAGAGGAGGAAGTTCCTGCACAGGAGCCCATAAAAGAGGAGACTTTCCAGGCTGAGAAGCGAGCCACCATGCAGTGGACATTCCCAGTCATGGGTTCCGTACCCGAGAGCCAAAGCTACGATGACCGACATGACACCCTCCGGGCTCCGCTGCCTGAGGTCCAGCCTCCGCTGCAGTCGCAGCCCCCGTCAACAGATGAACCAGGTGACTCACGTCCTTCGACTTCAGCATCCAATACATCCGACTCAGATTACGACCCCTTCCGCTTTGATCGCCCCACCACTCCGCCGGGCGCAGACTCGCTTCATCACAGTCATTTCTTCGACACCGAGCTCCCCGCGATGTTGGAATTAGCCGGTTACAATGAATATGAGGCTTCCGGAATCCTCGATGGCCCCGGCCCAGACGAAGAATCTCATCCTGTGTGGAAGGCGCACTCCAGGACTTCCTCATACGAAGATAGTATGACGGCTTTACCCACAGCCGTTCCAGTTCCCCAAACACCCACTGCTGCCTCGGTGACTTCCGGCCCGGTCTCAGAACCGGGGTCTCCTGTGTTCGAAACTGTACGAAACGTACGACATGACATGTCTGAAGTCCCCACAACACAGGCAGAAGATATGGGGCCAATCCTCTTCCCGGCTCTGAATCCGCCAAGTGCGGCAAGTCTGTCGGAGGGCATGGATGATGGTGTGGTGACAGCAGAACTTGACCGTTTACTGGCTGATTTCTTAGAGTCGCTTTCGGCGACTGGTGAGGCATTGTCACGGGCTGATATCAAGCATGATATGAATGGTGTTCAGGTTGTTGAGCAGGTCTAGATGACCAGTATGAGCATGTAGGATATTATTACTGGCAGATATCCTTAGTCGGAAGCCATGTGAGGCACAGATATGTGGGATCAATGAGATCCAAACTACAATTCCAGTAGCTAATATTATGTTCGGTTTGCTTGCATTTTATGTTCACGCAGATTTCCCAAAGAATGATGTAGGCACTGCGTCCAGCTGCCAGAGGCACCAGAGGCACCAGAGGCATGGGCACTGCGGGCAACTGGGCAAAATAGAGGAACCAAAGCACCTCATCTCTTCTTCCATCCCATCTCGTGTTTCCGTCTCTTCTTCTCCCATCCCATCTTGTTTTTCATCTCTTCTTCCTCTTTCATCCACGTGTACCCTCTGCTTCCACAATGACTTCCTCTTCATCCTCGCATACCTCAGAAATGTCATCAGAGGCTTTGCCCTTTGGTGTCTTCTCTCCCCCACAGAATTCCTACGAATGGAAGAAAGCCCTCCTCAATGTGAAATGGCTATGTTTCAACCAGCAATACAAGCAATGTGCCCTGCGTTGCAATCAGCTCATAGACACCGCGTCTAGTCCGGTTCGTGTCCCACAGATCTTATTTCATTCTCACTCGCTAATGTGTTTATACATAGCTCCATCCGATCCGTGCGACCTATCTCCACTATTATGCAGCCACCTCATATGAGTATATGGGACGAGCAGCTCATATATTTTCGACTGTGAAGGTCCCGCTTCTGACTTCTGCTATGGAGCGTTTTCAGATTGCCTATGAGTCTTTGCCAGCTATGATCCCACCGCCTGTTCTGTATCCCAACCAGACCTACTCGCCAGTTACTTTTCTCCATTCGCCCAACTCGTCTCCTCGGTCTTCCTTGACTACTCTTGTGTGGAGCCCTGAGATTTTGCCGACACATTGTGTCTCTTCTGGTTCTGGTCATGGTCCAAATGCTGAAGCTCTGTCAGTTCAGAATCTGTCGGCTCATAATGCTAGGCTGGCTCGCACGCCTCCTTCGCCAGACCCTTCTCCCTCTTCCCCTTCAAACTCGTCTATCACCACTGCTTTTTGTGTGACGCCACCTCCTTCTGCTCGAGAAGTCTCGCGTTTTGACTACGGAGCTCCTCCTCCAGCTTTTCATATCCCACCTCCGACCCGTGAACCCCCTCCTCCACCACGCGGCGTTCCTGTTCGCACAGCTACGAGGGACCAGTTGCTCTCTTTTAATAGTGCCAGAGAGGGGCTTCCCAACGGGGGGTCTATCGTCCGTAGCATTGCTCGGATGATTGATAACTCTATTATTGCGGGAGCCGACGACCGTTTTGTGACCCGCGCGCCGCCCAAATCTCGCTCTTTAAAGCGGCCGCCAGTGCGTCTGTCTCCGATCAAGTTCCCAGCTGGACTTGAGGATCCAGCAAAGCGTCGCGATCTCATTCCATCCCCGCTTGCAATCCGGAAGAGCTCCGGTGAGGTGCAGAGGTGCAGCAGTTCTGCAACGGCAATCTGCGGGGGTTCAGAGCAAGAAATATCTTGGAATGAGGTGAATCGACCGGTCCGAGCTCGCCCTCCCCGGCTGCCCTTGAAGATAATCCCATCCAGCCGTCTGAATGCTAACACAGAGGAGACGAACTCTTCGATCCTAGCACCACAACCGAAGCGTCTTAGTCCCGTCCTTCCTTCGCCCGTGACCCTGTCTCCATCGACGCCCACCCCGCTTCCGAGGAAGAAGATCACCTCCCTCGGCTCGCCGTTCGCCAGCCCCGCAGGCTCACCAGAGCAGAGAAGCAGCAAGTTGCCCTCGTTGCAGTCGAGGAAGGCCTCCCCCGTACCTGTCAGCGCCGAGCGTGCCGCCCAGATCAATGAGTTCAACGACGCCGTTAAGTGGCTCCGTGAGCACATTCCCGCCGACGTTACCGGGCTCCGCAAGCAGATCAAGCATGTTTCGGACCTTCAGCAGGCCCGTCGGTCTCGCAACACGACAATGGCTCGATCTGCCTCCTTCTGGACTTTTTCTCCCGTTAAGCCGAAACCCGGTTCTGGTGCATCCAAGGAACCTCCTGTGATTGAGGGGCCTAATATTGATGAGTATGGAAATGTTATTCGGGTTGAGACTAAGGCGCAGCGCATCGAGCGGCTCAGGAAGGAGGATTGGAGGATTGGTATTCGGTCAAAGCATAGTCCCTGGAAAGGGACTGATTACTACGATAAGCTTTGCGAAGTTGCTTTGGCGGAGCTTGGTGAGACAGGTTATGGATCTCGCGAATGGCTGCAGCGGTGAGATCTTACTTACCGCTTATCCACTTGCTGGTGTCTTTTGATCTTTTTTTGCGATTTGCGTTTTCCTTTTCCGGGGTTGAGTTGTGCAAGTGCGTATGCAGTTGCGTGACCTTGGAGCTATTCTATTCAAGATGCTCGATGGACATTGTGTTGCTCAATCTACCTGGGTGGATGTCAAGTGGGAATCATGATCTGTATTTGATCATCTTGGTTGCGGGTCAAGCTGGTCTGGTGGGTGGGTTGAGTATGCCATCTGGTATACTGGAAAAGAACATTGTTGCGCCTTCGTTCACTTCGATACAAGAGGTCACGGTACCGATGGTCTTTTGTATGTTCCTGTCTGGAAGAAGCCCTGGAGGTCGCCTGGAAACATCCCCATGGTTGGATTTGTTTCTTAATCTTAATCTTAATCTTAATTTTAATTTCAAAAATCAAAAGTCAATCTTGTTATTCTTGTCCTTCGTCCTAACCAGATCCTCAAAGACCTTTACTCAACACCGAACCAATTCCCTCTCCCAGACCTCCTTTTCCAAACATGTCACCCAGTTGATTCCCAAGTTGATCTTGAATCTTGCTTAGATTCTGGTCCTCGGTGAGTTTCTTGGCAGTTAGACTTTCTGTGAATTTGGGTCAGTATACTTGCTTATCTTTCTCTCTTTGATATAACATACTTTTCAGTCCATACGACACCTTTGTCTCACCCATATAGTCGAGCAAGAGCTCTTGGAGATGTTTTTGGTATGGGTCTAGATAACCAGAGACCCAAGCCGCAAGTAGAATGACCTGGAAGGTAAGGAAGAAGAGGAAAAATAACATGATTAAAAGTTCAAGTTCTCGACGATGTTATAATAGCAAAGCTCAAGTCCAACAGAAAGAAAATATCTTGTTCATATACCTCGAGCTTAGCCTATGACGTCTGGTGATGACGATGTGCCACACAGGCTGGGCTGGTGGGGTCAGGATGTTTATTGCCAATCAGGGAAGGAATTTTATATTAAGTGTCATTCAGTATTGGCATGTTTCGAATTCCAGTCATTTTCTTTTCTGTTTTGATTGTCGGAATAGTGTCGGAATGAATTGGTGTGTCTTTAAATAGGTCTACTACAGCTCTTGGTTCTACGTATTTGTTGACCTTACGTTCAAGATGAGGACTGTGGATTCTCACATAGTATGTAAATAGTGACCGAGTCACATGCAAATAGGTCTTAGGTCTACATAATTATGTAAATCTGGGCTTTCATGTTGACTTTCTAAAATCTACTCCGTACATCTTTTTGGTTCATGTTTTCCTTTTTTCTCCTTTTTATTGAATTGATTCCTTATTATGATGTTCTGGTATATTAATTCCCTATACGGAGTACGGAGTAGTCTGGAGGCAGTAACATTCCCGTTGTGGCTGTGCTGGCGCTAAACCCTACAGCCCCGAATCACCCAAGCCTTATCGCGTCTAGAACTCCTGATCTCCCCCCTCTTCAGCACTTTTTTTTTTTGACCTTCTTTTTAAATTTTATCTTCGTAAGACTTGCGATTGAATTGCGATCTGTCATATCTGGTCTGCGTGTGGTATGTCTCCTCCATTGGTTCTGTTTGGAATTCATGCAGCCACCCCCGCGCATGGTTGACCCCTCGAATCTGGTGTTTCTATAATTTTCGATATCACTGACCTGATTTCCTTGCTAGGACCATTTCATTTTCGATTTTAAAGGCCTCAATCCCTGAATCCTCAACCCTCTCCTTCCTAGTCCCTGCTGCCTAACGGGTTCCGTGCCCATTCGAGCCCATCGCAACGTCTGCCACCTTAGGCGTCCGCAGCCCTATCCCCACATCATGAGTTGTGAGTCGATATTCCATATTTGCTGGACTTTTGTTCTCCGTCCGATCTTGCTATGATTCGTCATTTGGTGTGGCCCGAATATTGTCCGGCTTCACGTCTGCCTTGTCCACAATCCGACTCTTGACTGCATTGGAATTGCCATGTCGATCTACATGCACCCTATGAGCTCTCTGTGGAATATATGGGGGCTGGGGGGACTTGGATTTCTAGCTGTTATTTTGTGTCAGGGTCTGCTTCGCCATGTCTAAGCTCTCCCCGCTCGGTCGGCTCCTCCAGGGGTCCCTTGCTTCATTTTTTTTCCGCGATTCGTCTGACAGGCCCCGCAATGTACTGACGCTCGGTCTCCTAGTCGCAAATATGCTCAACAAGCTGTCCGGGCAGCCAGAGAGCTACGAAAAGAAGTACCGCCTCCTCATCCTAGCTCCTTTACCCCACATTCGCTGACCTGTTTCTCGCCGGCTATAGGGCTCTCTATAAATTCGGACGGACGCTGGGTGCAGGTACATATGGAATTGTTCGTGAGGCGGAAGGCACCGAAAATCAGAAGGTTGCGGTGAAGATAATCTTGAAGAAAAATGTCCGTGGTAATGAAAACATGGTCTACGATGAGCTTGAGATGCTGCAATCACTCCAACATCCCCATATTGTCTCTTTCGTCGACTGGTTCGAATCTAAGGTGAGCATGTCTATGTTTGGCGCGATCATTGCGGAGCTCTAATCGTGGACCTAGGACAAATTCTATATCGTTACACAGCTAGCCACTGGTGGCGAGCTGTTCGACCGTATCTGCGAGTATGGCAAGTTCACTGAGAAGGATGCGTCGCAGACCATCCGCCAGGTGCTTGATGCCGTGAACTATCTGCACAAGCGCAACATCGTTCACCGAGGTCGGTCTCCTTATGTCATGCTAGCGCTGTACATGTAACTAACCCTTGCAAAGACTTGAAACCCGAGAACCTCCTCTACCTCACCCGTGCCGCCGATTCTCAATTGGTCTTGGCGGATTTCGGTATTGCGAAGATGCTGCACGACCCCTCTGAGGTATTGACCAGCATGGCCGGCTCCTTTGGATATGCTGCCCCCGAGGTCATGCTCAAGCAGGGCCACGGCAAGGCTGTCGATATGTGGTCTCTCGGTGTTATCACCTATACCCTCCTATGTGGCTACTCCCCTTCCGATCCGAGAACCTGACCGACCTCATCGAAGAATGCCGGACAGGCCGCATCATCTTCCACGAGCGGTACTGGCGCGACGTATCTCAGGATGCCAAAGATTTCATTCTCAGTCTCCTGAATGCGGACCCCAGCAAGCGAGTTTCCTCCGAGGAAGCCCTCAAGCACGTGTGGCTGACCGGAGAGACTGCGAGCGACCGTGACTTGCTGCCTGAAATCCGCACCTACATTGCACGTGCCCGTCTCCGCCGCGGAATCGAGATCGTCAAGCTCGCCAACCGTATCGAGTCGCTCAAGATGCACGAGGAGGAGGACGGGGAGGATATCCCCAGCCCCATGGACATGGGCGCCTCATCCGAAGAGCCGAGTGTGGAGGAACCCCCCTGCTCCAAGCGACGATGCCAGTCCTACCAGCCCTACCCCCGGCCACGCGAAGAAGAAGAGTCTGGCTAGCGCTGCTCGCGGTGCTATTTTCCGTGAAGTTGTTCTGGCCAAGGTCCGTGAGCAGAAGGAGGCCGAGGAGCGGGAGAAGGTTGAACGTGAAGCCCGCGAGAAGGCTTCTGCGTAAATTGTTTGTAGTCTTTATTTGTCTCTTTTACATTCGTCTTGTCCATACGCTATTCCTGTGTCCATTCTGCCCTGTACTTTTCTTTTATCTGCCTTGCGGTTTCTTGGATATAATTCTGTGATTCCCATTTTTCCTAGTCAAATCAGGGTGAACATACAATCTTCAGGCAATCATCGTGCTTTCAGGGTTGCTTTCTTATTTTGGTGGATAGAGACTTATTTTAAGTTTTATATACCATCAGCCACAGAATACTTCAAAGTATAATGACCTTATATCTCCTCTATCCCAAGCTTAGAAGCCGGCACCACTAGTTTGTAGAGGGGAGCTAAAGAAGATCGCTAAAAAATCTGAGATGGCTGATATTCACATGTTACATATTCTCCTACCTTAGTTTATACATATGTACCTATTCCGCTTCGCTGATATATAGTTGCATTGCTGCCAGGTGGATAGTTATGTAACAAGTATGTAATTTGAACCCGCTCATTCTTATTGCACAATGTCAGTGCATACGTATGTAAATTCTGCCTGACAAATAAAAACCAAATATAAAAGGTACCTGCCCAGATAGTATGTGACCTCTATGGATGACCCAATCTATATGGTCAGATGTCGATATCACGTGTAGTGATAGATAATCTCCCCACTTAGCTTTAGATTGTAATCTTTTTAACTATATCTCTTCTCTTTTGGCCGTCTTATATCCTTTGGTTCTTTAGTTTAATCTCACTTGAGAAGTTCACCACATTTCCGTCCTTAACGTCATACATCCGTTGTACTCCACCTAATCGAGACACCGCCCCTCCCATCCTTCTCCACCGGAGCTCAAACATCTAAATCTTTTCTCTCACCACATCGCAACAATGTTCGCTACAAAGCGTCTGAGCAAGGTGATTATAATCCGAACCTAAAGGGTGCTGAAATGTCTATCTTGCTGACTCTATATTCATGGATAGGAGCTCGTTAAGGTACCAATTCCTCCATTTTCTCTCGGGCTTATCGCCTTTGTTCCCCCGCATATTTTGAGAGCATGCCATACCGCCCATGCATATTGTTCATTCTATGAACATGTTTCTCTGACCTTTGACCTTCCAGATGCAAGAGCATGTCCCACCGGGAATTGCAATCGTCAAGTGTGACAATCTGGAGGAATGGCAGATGGACATCAAGATCCTTGACCAGAATCCTCTTTATCTGGACCAAACTTATCGGTTGAAGTTTACCTTCAGTAACAAGTACCCTATCGGTATGTCCCAATTTCTCAGCCGGCAGCCGATATCTCTCGGCTCCATCCTGTTCCTCTTATCTTTGTCCTATCTCTTTATCAGATCAATATTGGTTCTGACACAAATCATTTTAGAACCCCCCAGAGGTCCAATTCATCCAATGTCCTGACTCCACTGGCACACCCCGCACAATCCCAATGCATCCCCATATCTACAGCAATGGCATTATCTGCCTTGATCTCCTGGGCTCCGCCGGTTGGTCCCCAGTGCAAACAGTTGAGAGCGTCTGCATGAGCCTCCAGAGTATGCTCACCGCCAACAACCGCAATGAGCGACCCCCCGGTGACCAAGAGTTCATTGCCACCAACCGCCGCCGCATCCGTGATATCAACTTCGTCTATGAGGATGACAATGTATAAATTTCCAGTTCCCAAGTCGGAGCTGGTCCGTGGTGTGTTTGAAATAGGGGATGGCTTGCGTTAGCGGGGTAGGGTCACATACATCGACGTTTTCTGCATGGATGCAATTCCGCCCCTTAAGATTTGAGCGGTGGGATTTATATGGTGCCTGGTGGCATTGTTCTTCTTGGTTCTTTGCGTTTGCATTCATCCTGGCGCTGGCCCACTGTTGGTCTCAATCGTGGAATGGGTGGCTTTCTTGCGGGCGTTCAAGGGTTTTCATTATTTAGCGATACGACCAATAAGAGAGCCCATTCTCTTTGAGCAATATTTGGTAAGTAGAGTAGACAAGAGAGAAGAAATCAAGTAATAGAATCTACAGTATGAGCAATCGTCCATTTCATCTGGGGGAAATGATAGCGGATGTTCATTGTGATTGGCTAGATCGCTTATATTCCCAAAGCAAGAATGGTGCAAATCATCCACCCCAAGTATAAGAGCGAGTGAATCTTCTCAAAGATATATGTCAAGTATTATTATCTCCAATATCAGAAATGGCATCTACAACTCAAATTGACCTTTTCCAGGGATGGCCCGCAACAGCCATGCTTCCAGTTGAACGCCTCAAACAAGCAGCCAACAACGCCCTATCCAACAAAGCCATATTCGCCGAAGGATTTTCCTATGGTCCCGACGAAGGTTATTTCCCCCTAAGAAAAAATATAGCCGACTGGCTATCCCGATACTATGCACCTGCGCAGCCCATCAGTGCTGAGCGGATATGCATTACCGGCGGTGCCAGCCAGAACCTAGCATGTGTATTGCAGGTATTCACAGACCCAGCGCAGACAGGAATTATATGGCTCGTGGAGCCAACATATCATCTTGTCTTCCGGGTATTTGAGGATGCTGGGTTTATTGGTCGGATGCGAGGGATACCCGAGGACGAGGAGGGTATGGATGTTGCTGCTCTTGAACTTGCTTTGGATGCATTTGAGCATAGTGGGGATCCGGCCTGTCGAAATGACCGGGTATGTGCTCTTTCCGTACTAAGCTGGTTGTTTTCGGTATAACCAATGCTAATGGAGACAGAAGACATACAAGCCCCGCAAGCCGTATAGAAAGATATACAAGCATGTCATCTATTGTGTTCCGAGTTTCTCTAATCCGTCGGGGACGACGATGTCTCACCCGCGGCGCGAGACACTTGTCAGAGTGGCCAGGAAGTACAATGCTCTTGTCGTCGCTGATGATGTGTATGATTTCCTTAGTTGGGGTGTGACACATCCTGCCAAACCGGTTCTGCGTCCTCAACTGCGGCTTGTGGATATAGATCGGGTGGTTGATGGTGGTCCAAAAGATCGATTCGGCAATGTCGTGAGCAATGGATCATTCAGCAAGCTTATTGGTCCGGGATGTCGGGTTGGATGGGCTGAAGGGACTGAAGACTTCATCTATGGCCTTTCTCAAGCGTGAGTCTTTATTCCTGATTCGGAATGCTGAAAGTAAGCTAAAATCTTTCCTTGTAGTGGATCTACGCGCTCTGGTGGTGCTCCTTCGCAACTAGTGTCAACTTTCATCAATGAGCTCCTCGAGGATAACTTCTTGCCTGAATATATTACCAATATCCTAGTTCCCGAAGGCCGAAGAAGACATTGTCTTCTGGCATGGGCAATCAAGACACATCTCGGACCACTTGGTGTGTCATTTGCTCCTGATCCGGAGATTAGTCCAGTCGCCGGGGGATACTACATCTGGGTTCAGCTCCCGGCTGCAGTGACTGCGACTCAGGTGTGCCAGGAGGCCCTAGAGATGCAAAATTTGGTGCTGGGTAGCGGTGAGACATTTGCAGTTCCAGGAGGGAATGCCCTAGGGGGGAGATTTGCATCGCAGGCTGAGACTTTGTTTCATGTGCGAGGATGAAGGGCGGCTAGTCGAGGGGGTGCAGAGGTTAGGGGCTGTCATTCAGAGTATACTGACAAATAACAGATAGAAGAACATGATTTGATAAATCTGGGCAAATTCGTGAACTGTATTTTCCACACAGTTATAGATACATATAGTAGAAAAGGCTTGCTCTCGCAGTCGTATATATCGCTTGTAAAAGAAATCCAGAAGTCCCCCCCTATGGCTTCAAGCAGAAACGCAGCATGCTTCTGTCACCCGTAAAACCAATATTCTGCAGCGTAATCAACTTGAATTGTTGCATTTTGACCAGCACATGTTGATGGCGGGTTACCCTGGGATGTCACCACTCGGTAAACTTCCTATATAATATAATTCGATCAGATATGTATACTCAGACACAGTGGTTATCTATGGACGGGTGGCCTGAGCTTACCTGAATGCCGTTCCCCTTCTTGTATCCTAGCTTAAGCCACGGGACATTGCCAGATGATCCCGATGTTGATTTCGGCGCTGGAGTAGAGGCTATTTTACTAGTAGCAATCCAGGCATCGGAGCCACTGAGTGCCATGTCAAAGACCGGTTCCCCATCGGCATCAAAGTAATGTTCGCCAATGATGAGGTTGTTACTTCTCGTGCCCTGGGCCACAAGGGCTGCCATGAACGTGAGAGATCCAAGGGTAGTGCTGCTGATAATTGCGGGGACTTTGTGGAGGAGGGCAGGAGATGACGACACAATGCAAGAGGCATCGAAGAGTGTAGCGGCAGCCCCTACGGCTTGGGGCTTGATGGTAGTTTTGGAATCCGAGAGAGCATCGGATGGACAGGTATAGTTCTGTGTTCCTCGGCCCAATGCAACATATTTGAGTTTCAAGTTTGTGGATGGTGCTGGAAGCGGTGGATTTGTCGCGTTCAATGAGAGGAATATATTCGCGAGAGAGCAATTCCCAAGGTTGATCTTGTCAAGTTGGTGACAGATTTGGGAGAATGAGGAAGCAAGAGCCAGAGGATGAGGAATACCCGAGTATCCTTCCACGTTTGCCGCCACGAGGAGCACTGACAGCGCTAAAAAGAGTTTCATGATGGCCGGGTAATTTTGATCTATAGGACGCAGACAGTTGCTAGAATATGCTCGAGCAAATCTAGTTCTGGGGCTGTGGAAAGGAACTAGGGTATAAGAACAAGGGTAAAACCAACAAACAGGGATTTATATCCCATTTAATAGGAAGTTCGGTAAGGCTGCTTTGGTATGTAACAAAGGACATGCTCGGTTTGAGATATGCCGCACAGGTGGGAAGGCTCTCCGCGTAAACCGAATTCGACTAAATGTAGTGGATTCTGGTTCAATGAACCTTTGAAAGGGCCAATGATAGATTTCATCTAACAAACACCGCCATCCACATCTGCGTTGTTCACATAGTACAGCTTTGAAAGTATCCGAGTCCGCTGACTGGGGACACTATTGGGGCCAATGGTGTGCTAAAACCGGCTTCTTTGTTGTCAACGCCACCTATCTTGAAAGGTTGCTGGAGAGATGGGAAATGAATTTTTTAATTACTGTGTTGGTTAGAATGAAAAGGATGTAACCACAGGGCTTTATAGGTTACACTAGCACCGTTGTTGTCGTTGACAAGCCGGCAGAAAACCGCTTTGGTGTTGGACAACCTTGGAATATATTAGGATATGAGTAATTTTTTGCAGTCTTTCTTAGCCTAGTATACAAGTATAGTTCACCCTGGGAAGCATATTGATCAAGTACGTATTTCTGAGGCTTGGAACGTTGCAGGCGCTTATTTGAAGCATCCACTATACTAGATCTGTCATTGGCTATCGGAGAGTTTCTTGTCCTTCCCCCAGCCAATTTCAAAAGTAATTAGGAACTTGGTTTCAAGTGCGCAGGAACATTAAAGTCTATGCAAACCTTCAATGCGATACACCAGCTGTGGGACATAAATAGACTATAAGCGCTTTTGCCACGCCACAACTCAGAGTACCAATCAGGCAGCAATACATACATTTATGGACCATGAATTACAGTGGGAGAGTTGATCAAATGAGGCATTATAGAGCGAAGAGCACAGAATAGCACAGCTAGGTAGAGATATCCATGGTTCTTAACTAAGTATTGGTAGTGGTAGCTCAAGGGAGTCGATGCTGTGACAATGTAAAAAGCTTTAGTCCAATTTTCTTTGAATAGGATTTACCATCTTTCAATTTGGCCTTTATAGGCTGCTATCCCTCCTGTTAGGGATATTAGCCATCATCGTGGCAAGCCTTTCACTCCTACTCGTTCTCACCAAAATTGCAAATTTAGGTAGCTTTTGTATGGCAACTCTATACAAAAGGTACTTAAGCATAACATCATTTTTCTCGAACCTCAAAAAGGTTAGGGGATAAAGCAATATGCAGCTATATATATGTTATAATTGTTGTCCTAATTATACGCTATTGCCTATAGTAAGAGATCTCAAGTGTGTATTATAAGGGTCGTTTTAATTATGCAATATTATATATAACTACGTGGTTTTTTAAGTGCTCTTCACACCCTATATAGCATATCTGAATTAATTTTAGTAGGATGTCGATTTAAATAGGCTCACATTATACCTTAGCTTTTCATTTTCCTTTATCTAGTTTAAGAGTTAAACTATGCTCATATTGTAATTAGTACGTCTTGTATGAGGTTACCATACAAAAGGTACCTAATTTGCAATTTTGGGATCCGGCGGAATCGGTTTGCCACCGCCGACGTTGACCGCCTAAAGTGCCTGAGGCGCCCCGCGCCATGATCATGCTTATGTCATATAGCACGTGATTTTAGTGAACCGTGACCGGATAGCCCAAGAAGCTAAGGCGTCTAATCACGTGCTACCTAATCACGACCTTTTCATCACGAGGCGGCTAGCAACACAGCATCCTCAATCACCATTATTGTGACCGTTACAGCGGTTTTCAATCCGGATGTAGCTGCGGTGTTCCCTTCTGCGGTAATACAGGCTCACTCATACCCTCGCGACTTTTACATTTCGTCACCATGTCTGACGGTAAGTTTTCGCAAGCCCTTCCGCCTGGCTCCATACTGATCCCCACTGTAGCCGATATCGAGGCCGTTCGACGGCTCCAAGCTGAGCGCAATGCGGCTGCTGCTAGTCAGAAAGGCTCCAAGACCTTTGACAAATCTTCCCAACGCACTGATAACTCGACCAAAGCCTCCCTAACGGAATCCTTCGACACATTTTTGTACGAACGAGGTGGAGCTGATAAGTTTTCGGGCTATGATACTTCGATTGCTGTCGATGGCGATGAAGAAATGGAGGATGCGGATGGAGGTCACAATCTGGTTGGCCAATACACTGCTACCAGAAGCCAGATCGATGAGATGGCGCGCGGAACCGGCGTTGAGGAGGAGGATATTTTGCTAGGCCGTGAAAAGTCAGGGCGAATCGCGGACCGCGAGACAGACTACCAAAAGCGCCGATTCAACCGTGGCGCCCTTACCCCGACGCGCGCCGATCCCTTCGCTGCCAATGCCCACGCAAATGTTGAAGGAGAAAGTCAAACCTACCGTGAGGTTATGGCCCTCCGTGAGCTGGATAGGGAAGAGGAGCGCGTGAAAAAGCTGATCGCAGAGAAGCGCGAGAAGGGTGAAGACGTCACGGAGCACCAGGCTACCTTGAAGATGGTGGAACACGACAAAGAAAATGCTGAGGCCGGTTCGACCGTTGCGGTGGCTACCGAAAAAAAGCGAAAGAACCGATGGGGCGAGCCTACTGCCGAAACAGGCAAAAGATCGCGTTTCGATATGGCACCTGCTCCCGAAGAAGCACCCAAACCCGCCCCATCGAGGTGGGACCTAGCGCCATCTCTCACAGCTGCCACTCCCGTTGGCAATCAAGGACTCGCCACTCCCATCCATCCATCTCAAGCAGGGGCCGCTACACCTGCAGTCGGTTTGGGGGCTGAAGTCCCCGGTCAATTTGTCGGCTGGTCTGATGAAGACCTCGATATAATGCTTCCCGGCGAGGCCGATGGCTATAAGGTCCTTGACCCTCCTCCCGGATATGAACCCATCCGAACCCAGGCCCGCAGGCTCATGGCCACGCCAGCACCCATCCCTAGCGCCGGTGGTGTCGGAGGGTTCATGATGCAAGAGCCAGAAAGTGTTCAGTCTGTAGGAAAGGATCTTCCCACTGATATCCCCGGTGTCGGCGAACTTCAATTCTTCAAGGCGGAGGACATGGCCTACTTCGGTAAGCTGATGGAGGGTGGGGATGAAACCAGCATGACTGTGGAAGAAATGAAGGAGCGAAAGATCATGAGGTTGCTGCTCAAGATCAAGAACGGCACTCCGCCCATGCGCAAAACTGCCCTCCGTCAAATCACAGACAATGCACGCGACTTTGGTCCTGGAGCTCTTTTCAATCAAATTCTCCCTTGCTCATGGAAAGGACTCTGGAAGACCAGGAGCGCCATTTGCTGGTGAAGGTCATTGATCGAATCCTCTACAAACTGGATGATCTGGTCCGCCCCTATGTTCATAAGATCCTGGTTGTGATCGAACCACTTCTCATCGATCAAGACTACTATGCTCGCGTTGAAGGTCGAGAGATTATCTCGAACCTTGCCAAGGCCGCCGGCCTTGCTACAATGATCAGTACTATGCGTCCTGATATTGACCACGCTGATGAATATGTGCGAAACACGACAGCACGCGCTTTCGCCGTTGTGGCCTCTGCCCTCGGTATTCCCGCCCTCCTTCCTTTCCTCCGTGCTGTCTGCCGCAGTAAGAAGTCATGGCAGGCCCGACACACCGGTGTCAAGATCGTCCAGCATATCCCTATTCTCATGGGTTGCGCTATTCTCCCTCATCTAAAGGAGCTGGTTGGATGCGTTGCAGCTAACCTCAGTGATGAACAAGCTAAGGTTCGGACTGTCACTGCTCTATCTCTGGCCTCTCTGGCTGAGGCTGCAAACCCATATGGTATCGAAAGTTTCGATGACATCCTCAGCCCTCTCTGGACCGGTGCCCGCAAGCAGCGTGGCAAGGGTCTCTCTGCCTTCCTTAAGGCTGTCGGCTATATCATTCCTCTTATGGACGAAGAGTATGCCAACTACTACACCACTCAAATCATGGAGATCCTTATTCGAGAATTCGCCTCGCCAGACGAGGAAATGAAGAAGGTTGTCTTGAAGGTGGTTTCTCAATGTGCAAGCACTCCAGGTGTGACTGCCAGCTACTTGAAGGAGCACGTCTTGACGGAGTTCTTCAAGGGCTTCTGGATGCGACGTATGGCGCTCGATCGACGAAACTACCGCCAGGTAGTCGATACCACAGTGGACCTGGGCCAGAAAGTGGGCGTTGGCGAGATTCTCGAGCGCGTCGTCAACAACTTGAAGGACGAAAGCGAGCCATATCGCAAGATGACTGTGGAAACGGTCGAGAAATTGATTGCAGCACTTGGAGCCGCTGACATCTCTGAGAGGCTGGAAGAACGCCTCATTGATGGTGTCCTCTTCGCCTTCCAGGAACAAAGCATCGAAGACGTTATCATTCTTAATGGATTCGGCACGGTGGTAAATGCACTTGGCACACGATGCAAGGCATATATCCCTCAGATTGTCAGTACTATTCTTTGGCGTCTGAATAACAAGTCCCCCACTGTTCGACAACAGGCGGCCGACCTTATCTCCCGCGTTGCGCTGGTGATGAAGCAGTGTGACGAGGAGGCGCTCATGGGCAAGCTTGGTATTGTGCTCTACGAATACCTGGGTGAAGAATATCCCGAGGTTCTAGGCTCAATTCTGGGCGCTTTGCGTGCCATCGTCACCGTGGTCGGTATCACCCAGATGCAGCCACCCATTCGCGACCTTCTTCCTCGACTTACCCCCATTCTGCGCAACCGTCACGAAAAGGTGCAGGAGAACACAATTGATCTCGTCGGTCGTATTGCCGACCGTGGTCCCGAGTCCGTGAATGCCCGTGAATGGATGCGTATCTGCTTCGAGCTGATGGATATGCTGAAGGCTCACAAGAAGGGAATTCGCCGGGCGGCCAACAACACATTCGGTTTCATTGCCAAGGCCATTGGTCCTCAGGATGTCCTGGCCGCTCTTCTTGGTAACTTGCGAGTGCAAGAGCGTCAGTCGCGTGTTTGCACAGCTGTCGCCATCGGTATCGTGGCTGAAACTTGTGCGCCGTTCACTGTACTCCCGGCACTAATGAATGAATACCGGGTGCCTGATCTCAACGTGCAAAATGGTGTGCTCAAGGCCTTGTCCTTCTTGTTCGAGTACATCGGCGAGATGGGCAAGGATTATGTCTACGCTGTCACGCCGCTGCTGGAGGATGCCCTTGTCGACCGTGACCAAGTCCACCGGCAGACCGCTGCCAGCGCGGTCAAGCACGTCGCACTCGGTGTTATCGGTCTTGGTTGCGAGGACGCTATGGTCCATCTGCTTAACCTCCTTTTCCCCAACATCTTCGAGACCAGTCCCCACGTCATCGATCGAGTCATTGAAGCCATCGAAGCCATCCGCATGGCGGTCGGCACTGGTATCGTTATGAACTACGTTTGGGCTGGCTTGTTCCACCCTGCTCGGAAGGTCCGCACGCCTTACTGGAGACTATACAACGATGCCTATGTCCAAGGAGCCGATGCGATGATTCCTTACTACCCGGACATGGAGGGCGACGTGGGCCGACCGGAACTGTCCATCATTGTCTAAATGACGATGCTGTAATTGGATGGTCTGCTGTTCTCCTCATGCATTATTAGATACAGATTCTATGGGTGTGTTACTTGCTAGCCGGTGTTTTGTTCTTTTTCTTCTGGTCGATATTTTCTTCATATTGGGGGGGATGTTTGGCGTCTCATGTGTAACTGTATCCCATTCGCGAAAATCGTTTAACAGAAATTTCAATATCAATTCAAATTTCGAATTGTGATTACTATTGTGTTTTGTGATGAATATCGTAGATATACTTTGTGGCTGCTTACTATCGTGTGATTCCGGTAAGGTGATATATATTCCCACCTACGCTTAATGCACTTAGTAAAAGTTTTCAAGTGGACATCTGAAGTACAACATATGTAAGACTGCGAGTTTAATTGACATCAATCTCTAAATTCAAAGACAACAGCTCTGTACAATATACAACATAGAGTCGATCGTTTCTATAAAACGTACAGAGTAGAATAATCGACAAGGCTAAGCATGGTGACAGGGCAATCAGGCAGGGATCGCTCCTAAGGCCGACAATCATGTCAATCACCGAGATCTTTAAGAACAAACAGGGTCTGAGTCTGGGGTACAACTTCAACGTCACATATTCGACAATAATATTGATACTATAAGCAGAGATAATGTTTCTCCCTTGAGCAAAACATTTAGCGAAGAGAATAATCCCTCAACTCTCACCTCATACGGGGGGGGAATCCAACCCCTCCCCCCTTTCCATTTTGCCACACAAAAAATAGAAACCAGAAGACTCGTCATCACAGGGTCCCGGGGAAGGACGATATACAAAATAATCAAAAAAGGAGGGGCATATGGATTTGCCAATGGTTCCCCATCGAGAAGTGCCCCCTCCCAAAACACCCTGCCAAGAGCGCCGAATGCCTAAGCTTGCCGTGGAAGGGTCTTGGCGCAGGAAATGGCCGCGTAAGCTCTGGCAGATGTGGGTCTTCTGGGTGGGTCTTGTGGGGAATAATTCATTTTAGAATTACGTTTGAACATGCTTAGTTTTTGTTTTTTTTTTTACAATATGTAGGCACGTATGAAGTATACTTCAATGTACGGAGTAGATGCAGTTGAATGTGCCCTGACATTTATAGTGAATATGCACTGACTCCTAAACTTCCTAGGTATAAATCACCGAGTACGTATTCCGTATATTGTATACTGCTTCTCCGGTGTTGAATGTATACTCTGTAGAGTATCCGTACAACGTAAATGTTAGATATCAGAGGAACCTAATCGGGATTGGAGTATGTACAAAGCTTCAAGCTACACAGCCTCCCCCCTGAATCCAGGGCATCCAAAAAAAACCCAATCACAGAGCTGAACTACGAACCGCGGAATGGAGGAGATCTCATTTCCTTTGGTTAACGTACGTATGGAGTACGGAGTATACAAGTTGGAGTCGAAAAGAGAACACACAGACCCTGATAAGGGGCCCGCCGGTTGTGTAACGCGCCTTTTTTACCTTTCCCATGGTTTGGACACGGTTCCTTTGTTCCAAGGTTCCCTCGGAATTCTTTTTTTCGGATTTCCAGGGTCTACTATCCGCTTTTGGACGTTGAGGGTCTGAGTTTATTTCTTATTTCTTATTCTATTATTGTTACTCGGTCACTATGGAGCACATTTATAGCAGACTATCACGGGTAATCGTTCACCCAAGCTACCTCTCTTAGCGCAGTGGCGGACACGGCACAGAATCAGAACTGACCTTGGCTGCAAGGACCTTGGGTCCAAATTGAGGTTTATAGATCCTTAGATCGTGAAGGTAGCACATGCAGGGAATGAACCCCGAGGTGACCCCACCGCAAAAGCGTAAAGCGGATATTGTACAACGTCCTCCATTGAAGGCATTGATATATAATATGTATAACAATGCAGTGTGATATCCATATCATATAGCAAAGGTGGAGAAGATCGCGTGACAGGCATCTACCATTTCTCGAGAGCCCTAAGTAGTCTTTGTTTGTGCATGTACGGTAAAGTGTAGGTAGCTGTCAAGCATGCGAGATACCGAGATTCCTCGGGTTCATGTGAAGGAGAACGGAGTACGGAGTACGAAGGATAGACTCGAGACATGGAGTTAAAAAAGGTTAAGTGGGCAAAGCATAGAGAGCTGTGGTCCAATCAGTGGGGTCACCGATTGACTTGCGCAACACAGTAGGGATCATGGGTTTCGCTTAGGGAGAAGACTTGCGCATAGGATGATAGGATGATTGGAACCAGCTCAACAATGCTGCTGTAACACTGCTGTCAATGCTCTTCTTTTTAGTTCCTAGGTACATATTCTAGGACAACAGAACCAAAAGGAAAGCTACGACGCGCGTAGCTAAGACAGGATGTGTGTTCCGTGAGCAGTATATTGTAGATGTGATTTTTATTTTTATTTTTATTATTTTTATTTATGAATCGGTTGCAAGGGATCGGAGACCCTGCAGTTCGCCCCATTCACGACGGTTGAGGCACACAGCGAGGGGGTGCACACGCACTTCGTGTGGATCGGGCGCCTCTGGCGCGTTACCCTTTTCCTTGGGCCCTTCCCCATCAACAGACTATAGCACACACTAAGACTTAGACTAAGACTACGGCCCCTCCTTCAAAGCCCTTAGTATTTCCCGCAGTGTTCACAATGTCTGGTGACATAGGCCAAGCGAGTAATCTTTCCACTTCTGGAAATGCGTCTTTTATGCACAACGTTAGGTAGACAAGGGGAAGCTTGATCTTTGTATATGATGCTATACAAACTCCGGTTCAAGTAATTTCGAGTCCAAGCGTGGTGGAAGAGGGGATTTTGCTTTACAGCACACACCGCAGTTTCTACAATACCCACAACACATCTTATTCTCGGGGAAACTCCAACGTGAACCGCAGAGATGGGACTGGACCAAACTTTCTTTTTTCTGGGTGGCGGGGAGTTCCGATCAAACAGTCGAGTTAATCGCCTGATAAGGCAAAAAGTTAATTCTTCAGGCAAAAAGAGGCGCACTTACTCCGTAGTCTAAAGCCTTGTCAGTGTGTAAGCCATGTCCGAAGTTCTCCGTCGTTTTCCGATTCCTTGACACGAGACCCACTACGTAATGATGGCAATGAAATCGCAAATTGAGTACTGGTCAAGACTAGTGGCAGAGCAAAGCTAGCTAGGTACTCGGTGCGGTTTAGACTATGATATATGGATTCGGTGTTTATCTATTTCGTATATAGTACTGACGGCATCTCTCGAACAGGAGGGAAAGAGGAATAATTAAAATGAATATAAATTACTGTATTCGAATTCCGGATCCACTCACGGGCGTTTCAGGTTATTAGCGTTGACCCTGAAAGTGGCAGTGTTTCTCGCGGGACATGTGGAGTATAGCCAGGATCGCACGCAGGGATCCCAACTTTGGGGACCTAGCTGAAACGGGCTTTGCGGGGAGGTGTTGGGGGGAGGGTCACGTCATTTGACTTTAAAAGCTTTGAGGGTTTCACCTGGACATTTCTGCAGGAATAGATAGAATCACATAAAACCGAAATAGAAATATATGTAGCAAAGATGGTTAGACATACTGAGAAAAAGGTGCGGGATATTTGAATTTCACAATCCAAGGTTAACTTTCCTACTTTGTTCGACCTATACCAAGGAGCAGATAACCACGTTGACTTGGAAAGCGCGGGATGAGCACGCGTCGTAAGCTCCTAGTGGGGCCGCAGATACAATTGGTCGATCAACGCCTGCCAAGATCGGCTATCGACTATCTGCCGTCTCTAGGTGGGACTGGACTGCCAACGATAATACATGATTGGCTGGAAGGCTCTGCAACAAACATGTAAGAATGTGGACCTAATGGTAAAATTAGTCTAGTCCAAAATGGGATGGACTAATCCGTATTAGTACAAAACTATGAAAATAAACCTAAAAGGGATCCGGTATCGGGAGAAACCGCTATAGCCAATCATGGACACCCAAAGTTCAATAATTTTTGGTTGATGTCTTTAAAGGGACTGCCCAGGTGTGGATGCCACATAAAACTTGGGCTTATCCCATTAACCCGGATCCCTCTTGCACCTCCCACGGTCCTGCGCAAACTCGTGAGTCCACAGCTCCACCATGTGGATGCACCTGGGCAACGCTTTGAATATAGCAAAGAATGGTTCATTCGAACGTTTCAGCTGTTCTATGTATAGAAACCAAGGTTCTAGGATTTCTATACTCCGTATTGATGCAGGGAAATAATAAACCACCAAGTACAGTGCATTTACGTAGTCCAAATCTTCCACATAACTGCTTGTCATAACTGGAATATATTATATTCAATATGAAACATAGAAGAAAAGAAACGGCGATTTGCACACATTGTCAACCTTGATTTAGGGACAATGACGATCTGCCGTGCGGGAACTGCCAAGATCGGAGCCCCATGCAGATTACGGGCTTTTGTTGGTCAAGAGTACCTGATTGACACTCGGCATTGAGGCGGATCGTCAACGTGCTAGATCTGATTACAGCGCACTTTGGGAGGGATTTTCATTTCAGCCAGGTGATAATCGTCTTCACATGGACGATCGAAGGTAAAGTGGGATCAAAATCCGGGGCTTGATATGTTTATTTCTCCGATGTTCCTGTGTTGAACTGCCACATAAATCTCTGACCGCCCTTTTTCTTTTTCCAAAATTTTCAGCGGGTTTCTCGGGAAAGCAGATAATTGCTCTATATGGAGTCGACAATGATGAAATGGCAAAGTGATCAAAAAGTCTCAGGGTCCCGGAGGACGCGCGTCAGCAACATGAGCCGTGTCGGGCGAGAAAAGCGGTCAGAGCCGTCAAGGCCCATCTAGAAGACCTTGACGAGGACCCTCACAACATTCACGACCTTGAGATATTCTCCACCCCTCCCGTGTCTAGCAGGGGCCTTCTTGACCGGTGGACCTGTATAACCTATAGCCTACGAGGGATACACTGACAATTGGACTCCATTCTCAAGCTCTGTCCATCCGGCACTCTCCGGCTCAATATCGTGGCCAAGGTATACCTTCCTCAAAAGTTACGCATGCTTCTGAACTACTGAACGCCATGCCAATGTATACAGATACGAATTGGGATGAACCAAGCAACCACATCTCCACACACTGAAAAACGCAACCATATTGGCGTCCACACTTTCTATCTCACATCCTCTCACCTGCTTCACCATGCACTCAAAATCAGCACCCTAAACGCCACATTTGCCAACACAGTGGGAGTTCGTTGAAAGTTGACGGAGTCCTGCCGGTGAGATGCCAAGTGGACCACCAACACGGCATGGCTGCAAAAATAGGGGGGTTACACTCAGACTAGAGCCTATCTGTTGCATTGCTTGTTTTTCTTTTATTGGATTTTGGTATTGGTTTTGGCTGGTCGAGTTCGCGCCTCTTAATTTTAAGGGCTCCATATGGGCTATTCAAAATGGGGCAACTTGAAGCTGAAGTAACCGGGACCTATACCTGGAAATTTTTTTTTTGCCCCTTTCACTGTTCAATGTGGGCTTGCGAGTTGGGTACCCGACTGACTGCCCAATTGCTTTTTGTGCTTTTCTTTTTGGGGTTGTCCACCCCGACCGTCTAGACACGGTCGGGACTTTGCCGAGCTCGGGAGGCCCATACTGAGACTTTCCTCAGCATGTTGATGGTTGAGATATATACAAGGTAAAATTATTAGCTAACTGATAGGTCTATAGTTACAAAGTACAGAGTAGATTCATACAATATAGATCCATTCATGGTCTCGGATTGGTAACTTTCACACTCAACATAAGGAAAGCAGATAACCTCGTTCCGAGGTTAACATAGTCTACAATAAACACCCAAAAGGCTAAAGTTGGATTGGAGTAATTTGATAGAAAGAAACCTAATCGTTACTGCAATCTTAATCCGGTAGCCCAGGACCCACGGTTGTCTTCGAGGCACACTTCCGCTATCCATGGATACCTAGGTAGCCACTCCTCCCCATATCTAGGTATGTTGTACTGCATGGATCTGGTAAGCGGATGAAGACCGAAACTTTGGATTTTTTCCATGGCCCACAAGGTGTTTAATTGCTAGTTTCCAAGGCTGGTGGCCAGTCTAGGTTTTTCTGGAAAACCGCGCACCCAAGGACGCCGTGGCGTTGCCATGGTTAGTGGAGTGCGGAGAAGTTGACCACATGTGCGGCCGGAGACGAAGGAGAAAATTGGTACTGCACTTATTTTGGCTTTGGTTTTGGTACAATCCATGGTCCCAAGCTTCCCGGTTAAATCCCCGCAGTGCCGACACCACGGTTGAACATGCTTTATCCTCTCGTCCGGGAGAGCGGCAGTTGATCCTGATCCTTAGATGCCTTTATGGTTTACGGAGGGCGGGATTTACAATATATGCACATCGTACTTCGGTCTGACGCTAAACGTTTGTTTCCTCTCCCCCCCCGGGGTTAAAAGCCAATCATTGGAGACCTGTGCAGTCTATGTGATTGGATGGGTCAAGGTTATGTAACTTTTCTTCAGCCTCTTCCTCGGCTCTTGCTCAAGGATCTGCTTTTTCTCGCACCTTGTGATACTGTATGGAGTATATAATGTAGAGCGATTTCGGGGTTGGCATCAAACCCCGAGACCCGGGGACCATAGCGAATCCATATCGGAAAATTATTTATTGTGTATTTATACACTATTGAATAGCAAATTTGATCAGATAGAAGAGGAGACTCCACAGCACGAGGCATGGGGATAATTTCCAAGCAATCCACATGGAGAGAGAAATAAAAAGGGTCAATAGATTGTGATATATCCCATTCAGGCCATGGACTTCTACCGCGCTATTGCGGGAGCCGCGCCGCCAAATGTCCAAAGCGGCCCTTTTCCCGTTTTCCCACTCTGGTTGCGCTGTTCCGTCCCTCTGACGTCGATGTCCAGCTGTCGCAATCCCAGTAAAGGAGAAAACGCATGGCTTGCAGCCCGTGGTCCTTATCATCACAGGCCCCAATACGAGGTTGTCATGGATTCCGGTTTTATTCGCCCGGGTGCCTTAGGCGTGGACTTAGGGTGTTTTCTATGTGATACAGCTCGCATGGCCCGGCTAATCGCAGCGTTGGTATTCAAACTTATTCCTTCTTTCTGCAGGAGGCTTTTTTTCGTGTTCCGCTGTGGGCGACCTGATTGCACGCTCGTATTTGGTGTGCGTTTATAGTTCTGCGACCGAGGGAACACAAAACGGTGTGACGGATAAGAAGTTCTGTTTTGAGGGCCGACCGAGAACCTCTATGCAAGTGTTGTTCCCGCTCTCTGTAGTCTTACTGTCCCGTGTGGAGTGTGGTCTATTGGACTGCACTGTCCATCCTCCACATGTCGATGGAGTACAACATACTATGAGTACGTACACTGTACGGAGTTCAGTGTACGGAGTATATTCATTCTAATTTCTGAAACAGGAGCTCTTGGACGCGGGACGTCAAACGTCATCACATTTTTGCCGGATTTCCTGAGCAAATGGAATTAGAATGCAGTCAATAATGTTGGGCGGCTAGTGATTCGATGCTCCTCCCTTCTCTCTATGTAAGGTCGGGTTGGCCCGCTAAACCCTCTCTGTGCCGTGTCAAAGGTCCCTCAATGGCTTAAGCCATTCCTTTTTATTTTCTCGTTTTATTTATTTATTTCTTTTTAAGAATAAGAACGGGAATTATATTTCCGATGTACCCTATCCTGCAGCTTGCCAATAATGAGAGACTCCAGTATGGCCATCTCAGATGTGGGTTTGTCTTTTCATGTCCTTTCATGTTGAAAAGATTTAGATTTAGATTTAGATTTAGTTTACTGTATATTGGGCCTACTCGAACTAATGGCCATAGTATGATAATCACATTGAATAGACTGTCATCCATCCGTAATCAAGAACTATCACTATAACCACTCATATTAACCCCCACGGCAACGGGTATACCCTTTGACACTGGGATCTGCCCCGCTACATTGAAACAATGGACTCAGGGCAAATCTTGGTGATTTATTTCTTGGCAGTCCCTTTTTTCTCTTTTTCTCTTTTCCTTTTTTTTTTTTACATATAGTATTACAAATATTATACCTTTTATTGTAATTCATTTAATTTCTGAATTTCCTTTTTCGTCCCCTCTTCCCTCAGACACGGCACAGTTGGACCACTCATCAGCGTTCATCATGGTTAGTCTCCAATTGAACATTCCCCTACGGAGAAGTCTACACCCCCTTTGACTCTGAGGTCACCGACTACTTTTTGGGTCTCATGATTTTCTCCTTTTTTGTCCTCCTATGATATTGTTACTTGGGAAATATATTTTGGTTATGCTTTTTTTTTTTTTTGGCTACCGACTACCTTCTATGGCTCATTATAATTACCCTTCCGATGCCGGAGTCTATATTATAGTAACTTTGGCATTCCCATTTAAAAACTGATTATACAGATTCTTTAGATCTTCCATTCCTCAGCCTAGTTGAGGCTTAAGCAATTAATATATTTTAGACCCTGATTGAAAAAGGGTAAACTATAACTAGTATGCTTAGGGGTAAATATCGAGAATAATTTCATATCCGAGGAACTGGTTCCCGTTGAGGACCACTTTTTTCCCCCCTAAGCCATGGTTCCAATCCACCAATGTTGAGAGGGGAGAGGAGAAAAAGAAATGAGAAAAATAAAAATTCTTAAAATGTGAGATCCCAAAAAGTGAAAAAAGAAAAAAAAAAAAGTCAAAAATATAAAATAAAAATCCACAATGTTAAAAAGAAAAAATAAAATAAAATAAAATAAATACCGGTATTATAATTTCCAGCGATCTGCAACCCTTGACGGGACGTCGTCAGTGGCACTTGGGATTTGGAGTATATGGGATCATGCCTCACACCTTATATTCCTTCATAAGCTTCGCCGATCCCCTTCCCCAGACTGTTTCTGCTTTCTCTTTCTCCCTTAAAATATAAAATAATTGTTGATCATCGGGTTTATCACTTTGTCTTCATACACCTCCGGATCAACACAGACGATCACTGTATTCCAAAGGAAACCCTTTGGACTCGATCTTCGAACCCTTCTCTCTCTATACAGATTCTACACGCGATCGATTCGCGACTCTATCCCCCCATGACGATGGTTATGGAAAACCAGAACCGCCCCTATGGCGGCATGAGCTTCGACAATGTCTATCACCACACCCCACCACAATTCACAGACCCGTGGGCGGCGCACACTTCGTCGCACTCGACACCACCTGTCTATGCGACCTCCATGGGCAATGGCGCCAGCATGAGCCTAGGTCAGGTCAAACAAGAGGAAGTGAATCGCTCCGGCATGTCTATGCCCTACCCAAACATCCCCGTGTCCGCCCCGTCAATGGTGGCTGGGAGCACCTACGCGACCTCCAACTATGGCCCAGAGGTAATGGGAATGCAACACGAGGTGCCGCGCACAACTTTCGACCAGGCTCCCTCCTACACCACCGCTCCGCCCATGAGCAGCTTCGCGCCTTCCAGCTATGCCTACGCCCCCCATTCACCCCTCCCCGCAAGACGGCCGTCGTATCTCGCACTCGTAAGTAGAATTCCGAGTCCGCATTCCTTACATGGTTCGGAATCGCAAAACTTACACACAAAATCCACAGAGATGTCGCTCGCGTTGGCGCTTCAGCTTCCGCCCCCACATTCGGTGACGCGCTCGACGCCAGCCGCGGAATGGTCGCTCTCAGCCAGGACTTGACCCCGCGCAACATTTACGGCCCTGGTCCTCGCGGCGCACGAAGCTCAGCCGATTCCTATGGCTTCCCCTCCACTCAATCTTCCAACTCCTCTATCTCCTCCGCTGGCAACTACCCCTACTACAGCGCCTCAGTGGGTTCCGTCGACTCCTCCGTGACAGACTACAGCTCTACAACTTCCGAGTCATACGAATCACGCACTCTCCCCGCCGACCAGCCTTTTGGCCGGCAGTGCGCCCCCTGGGCCGCAATCAATGATGAGCCAATTCAGCTCCAAGATGCCCTCCAACACACAGAAGAAGCACAAGTGCAAGGTCTGCGACAAGCGATTCACGCGCCCATCTTCTCTGCAGACGCATATGTACAGCCACACTGGTGAAAAGCGTAAGTTCATTATTGGTAGACAAAAGCCTTTGAAATTCACATTCTAACATTTTCTAGCATTCGCATGTGATGTTGAAGGCTGCGGGCGGCACTTCTCCGTTGTCTCAAACCTGCGTCGCCACAAGAAGGTGCACAAGGGCGAGAAGGATACCGGTTCTGGCGACGACGATGAGTAATCTGCCAATCTCTTCCCATACGACTATTTTCTTCTACTCGAAGCGGAGACCCGTTCGAGTGCTCTCTCTCCCCTACGCTCTTCGCGCACAAAGCGCCATATCTTCCACCCATCACAAACCCGTTTCCCCTATGCCGCGAGCATGAACCAACTGCGTTGGCATGTTTATACAAACGGCTACGGCTTTCTCTTCTCCTTGTACAACAGCGTGGATCACCTTTTCATCACCTTTTTCTTATATCAACTTCCGACAGACATTTCCTGATCGGAGAGAGAAACGCTTATACATACCATACTCCTTCCACAACGGTCTGTGATTTTGGGTATAATGGGTTCTGTTCGAGGACCACAGGCAAGAGAGAGCCTTTTCTTCTTTTCTTTTTCATATTCCCAAGTTTCCTTTGTTACCACGTTACGACCATAGAGGTTCCGGCTGGATGCTTTGTTTTCATTTCATTTCTCATTCTTTCGCTAGACCTGGGCGTCACCTTTCTGCTTTTTCTCGATACCATGGGGGCTTGTGATGATTCGATGTTTCTTTATTTTCTCTGCAGGCCATACCCTGACTTTTTTTTTCCGCTTCTTAATCTTTCATAGCCTGTATTCTGCATGGCTTAAACCCATTCTATTGTTTTCTTTACCCCAGTCGTCTTTTCCACCAAGTCTGTGTTCCAAGTGCACGGGTTAATGTGCAGGTTTGGATTGGTGTTGATGATACCCATAGGAAGAAGCTTTGTCCTATGTTTTGATACTGACTGGGCCTGGCCCTGTCCGAGTCTCATATTACAGTCGCTACTAAATATATTGTCTAATCAATAAAAGACATCTGAATATCTTTTCAATGCTCTGTAGTTATGTACTCACTTGCCTCGCCTTCCACCTCTGTGGTCATCTACTCCCCTGATATTGTGAGAACCACGACTGTTCTAGCCTTCCACTCTTCCAGCTCGCTCTGCTGCTGCTCGACCAGCACGACGCCCAAAGACAGTCCCTGAAGTCAATCCACTTCCACCAGGGTAGTTATCGTAGAAGATGCCTCCAAGCATTTCGCCCACACAATACAATCCAGGAACCTCATCACTCGTCGTCTCTGAAATGACTGCCGCAGTTTCAGGATCCACAGCCAGCCCACCAAAAGTGAAAGTGATGCCTGCCGTGACCTTGACAGCCAGGAAAGGCGGCCTGTCAATAGGCAATGCCCAATTCGACTTGGGAACAGCCAGCCCCTTAGTAGCAAGCCCATCTTTAACAGCAGGATCCCACCTCTTGTGCCCATCCACCCCCTCAACAGAAGCATTGTACTCCTTAATACTCTCCACAAAACGTCCAGGATCAGCAAGTCCAACTTCCGCACACTTCTCTGCAAGCTCCTCCAACGATTCTCCCTCAATGCGCCGAACAACCTCACTACGATACTCCTCCTCACGCAGCCACGCCACAGTTCTCGCATCCCAAACCTGGAACGCAATCTGCCCAGGCTGCTGAAGCACCCGCCGCCCAATCATCGCATACGTATAGTTCCGCATATCAAACCCTTCATCAACAAACCGCTCCCCATCCCGATTCACCATAATCCCCAGCGGGTACCCACTCTTCGTAAACTCATTCGAAACCTCCCGGTTCCCAGAATCCGCCGGCGCATCCGCATCCCACGCCACACAATGACATCCACTCCAGTTCCCCGCCGTCTTAGCCGACACGTCCCGCTGCGCAATCCGCAGCATCTCACCAGTATTATACGGCGTGCCACGCACGCGCGCACAATCCCACCTAGGACCGAGCCACTGCGCACGCAGCTGCGGATTTGCCTCGAACCCGCCTGCAGCGAGAATGACCGCATCGACAGCGATGGTGATTTTATTATGTGAGCCAGTACTACTATCGCTGTTGACAACTTCGACGCCAACAACAGCACCACTCGTCGGATCAGTCACCAGCGCTGTAGCAGCTGTGTCGAAGAACACATCCACGCCGGCGTTCCTGGCCGCGCGTAACTCGTCCTCGACAAGACCCTTGCCGCCGTCTTGGGTCTTTAACGCGAGTCCGCCCCAGAACTTGATTCTGCCGTTGACTTCGTAGGCCTGGCGGTTGAAGGAGAGCTGGAAGCGGACGCCGTTGGCGGCTAGCCAGCCGACGGCGGCGCGCGAGTCGCGGACTAGAGCTGCTGATAGCGCGGGATCGGTGCGGTTTCCTGTCATGCGCTGGAGGTCTGCGGCGAAGTCTTGTTCGGTGTAGCTTGGCATGTCGATGCGGGATGCTTGTGCTGTGTCGGTGTTGTTGACTAGTGGGAGGAGGTCGTGTAGCCCATTGTGCGCGGTGCGGAAGGCACCGGCCGTGAAGTAGGTGTTGCCTCCTGCCCAGGAGACTGGGCTTTTCTCGATTACGGTTACCCTTAGGGTTGGATTGGTTTGTGCCGCTGAGAGGGCGGCGCTGAGGCCGGCGTTGCCGCTGCCTATCACGAGGATATCAGTTTTTTGGGGTAGAGACATGATGATATTTGAGAGATTGTAGCCTTGGAAGTTGGAGAGGAACTGGCTGGCAGAAGTAAGTGACTTGTCCTTCGGAAGTGTTTATACTCCGTTGCATTTAGGGCTGCGGAGGTGCATCCTCCGAAATGCTCCCCCACACTCCCCGCAGTTGAAGTGCCCCGAGGGCGATCTCCATGGGATTTGGATATTGCGGTCGATTAGGTTGTAAGTTAATGGAGTCCAAGTATGACGTACTCGGAATGAACCGCAGTGAAATTATGTTAATTGATGTTCAACTATATTCTAGTCGCCGTCTGATATGACCAGCAAACAATGCACAACCAGTCCCAACGCCAATGTGTGATCCATTCCCAACGGACAGAACGCACAGAAAATTACTGAGCTCGACAGCACCAGGCATACCGCAGCCCCATTTGCCTTTAACCAGGTACCTAACGAATCCGGTCCAGCTTGGCCCGGTTCATGGCAATCTGATCGTCGACAGAGTCGCTCTATAGCCAGTTAGTCTCATCTCCATACGAATACTAGATTGAAGGCATCGCAAAAAACTCACCTTGCCCATGATACGCTCCAGATGTCTGTTCTGCTCGTCCAGCTCCTTTCCAGTGGCCAAGGCAAGACCGTTCAACCGACCAGTGGCACCACTGAGCAGATCCAAGTTCTGCTCGATCTCGTCCTCCATGCCCTCGTCTTCGCTATCTGCCTCGAATTGGTACTTGGCACGCTCGGTGACGCTCGCCTTCTTACCCTTGCCCTGTTTCGCCGCCTCACGGTCAATATCACGGAACACCCGGTCCATGCGCTGATTAGTCGCGTGCGCCTCGGACCGTGTGCCCTCGCGGATATCACGATCCTCGCGGTGTGTATTGAGGATCTTCTCATCGCGGTCGCGCCGGCGTCGCGAGGCTGTGAACGGGTTCGATACGTGCACGGCGAACATGCTCTTGTTGAGGGTCTTAAGTTCCTTCGCCTTGTCCTCCGCGATACGGCCTTCAATGGTCGTCATGTCCAAACTCTTCTCCGTATCGTGGATCGACTCGCCCTGCGCGCCGAGTCGAGCCAGAGTGGCACGACCGGTTTCTTCAGCCTGCGCAGCAGCTCGGAGCGCATTCCGTGTCGATGCCACATCACCCTGCTTCACGAAGCGCATCTCATTCTTCGTCGCCTGAATTTCTTCCTCCTCTTCTTCTTCGGCTGTCAGTTGTCGATCCTGGTAGGTTGCCATGCTGTATTCGTTGCTGCCGCCACCGTAGTTGTTCTGTCCTTGACCATTTTGACCCTCGGAGTACGGTGGTGGCAAACCGGCCGAGTTGTCCGGTGACCGATTCTTGTTCTTGTTGGCGCCACCGAATAGCTCGTTGCGAGCGGCATCTGCAGCCGCGGGGTCATTGGGATCGGTGCCCCCCAAACCTCCGTAGCCACCGCTTCCATACCTCGAGCCCGAGGCCGGGGAGCCGGCGCCTGCACCGGATCCGCCGAATCGATCACTTCCGTAGCCGCCTTGGTTTCCGTATCTGTTGGCGGAGTACTTATTGTCGGAGGGGATGTTGTGGGGGCTCTGCGACCCGGAGCCGCCGTTGGCGGCTGGGTGGTCCGCAGGTAAGGGGCAACACCTGCGCCAATCTTGGCTTTGGTGTATGGGTCTACCGGAATTGGTTTGGCGTAAGGGTTTGAGGGGGTTGGTGGGCTCTTGTCCTTCTTCCGCGAGCCAAAAAGTGCTCGACGGCTAGAGTCATCATCGCCATCGGATTTCTTGAAAAGACCCATGATGTGGGGAACTGTATGGTTGTAAAGATCCGTGGAACGAAGTTAAAATGATCGAAGGGTAAACGGGAGTACAAGAAAGAAAGAAAGGAAGAGAATGAACTGAGACAAGCGAAAGAATTAATGTGAGACGCCTTCAGGGGAGCTAGATGTTCGAGATCGCCGCCTGATGGTAATATAAATACGAGGGGCATACCAAAGTTACCCACTATGTTTATTGGGGATGGTGTAGTGACAACCATACGAATACCAAAGTTACATCGTTACATCAGCAGTGGCAGTGCTAACCCAATGCGGGCGCAGTGGCACTTCAACGTCTCTGTTTATTTTTGGCCACATTTCCTCTGCTGCCTGGATGAAATGGCTCCTTTATTGAGATCTGATGCGGACTATTTTAGGGATAAGGCGCGGAGGGATCTTTTGACTTTACTGGAAGGCGTGCGTATGAATCCATGATGCTCTGATCTGCGCTAACTATTCTCCAGGCCCGGGGTAAGAAGAACCTCGTCATAAGCCAGGAACTGGCCGGACCAGTGGGCCTATTCGTCAAGTTCTCAGTGCTCCAAGAGTATGGCGTGGACCGGGTCTTCTTGCTAGAAAATGCAAACATCGACTCATCACAACGCAATGTCGTATTCCTTGTTCGTGGCGAGAAAGCTCGCCACGTTCGAATTGTGGCAGGTATGACATTGTCTCTTCCTTGCCTCCTTTCGGCTTGTTAGGCTGGATGTAGATTGGATCTCTTCATTTGGGTCCACGATGGGCCATCATTAGATTACGCAGAGGCTTTTCTACTCTATGTAATCTGGAGAAACGTTCCCTATATCGATATCTATCTTGACAACATTTTTACAAGCTCGTTTCATTAGGGCCCTTTCCTGCTATCTCTGATTGAGTGCCATCAGGATGAGCTGACATTCTTTCTTAGAACAAATCAAACGCCTGCAGAATAATGGGAACGTTGAACATGAGTTCTTCATCTTCTTCACTCCAAGACGCACCCTTGTAAGCAATGCGGTCTTGGAGGAAGCGGGAATCACTGGCGACGTGAATATCGCCGAGCTTCCTCTTCATTTTATGCCTCTAGAACAAGATATCTTGTCACTAGAGCTGGATGACTCGTTTGGAGACTTATACTTGGTAAGTCGATAGAATTGCTAACGTTTGAATGAGGCATTTTCTGACCTTGCTATCCAGCACAAAGATCCCGGATGCATCTTCCATGCCGCTAAGGCTCTCATGGGTGTCCAACAGCGTCATGGCTATTTCCCACGCATCGTCGGAAAAGGCGACAATGCCCGGCGCTTGGCAGATCTGCTGTTGCGCATGAGGAAAGAACTCGATGCAGAGGAGAGCTCTGGATTGGCTGATCCATCTGCACGAGGGCTGTTGCCAAGTGCGGGTGTAGAGAACTTGATCATCATAGACCGTGACGTGGACTTCGGGACGGCCCTTCTCACACAGCTCACCTATGAAGGCTTAATTGATGAATATGTCGGTATAAAGAACAATCAAGCAGACGTTGATACGAGCATTATCGGCCCTGCTCCCACGCCACAGCCCCAGGAATCATCCAAGGCACCGCAGCAAGCCAAGCAGGGGCTGAAAAGAAAGATACAGCTGGACGCCTCGGATCAGTTGTTCAGCCAACTGCGTGATGCAAACTTTGCAATCGTGGGCGATATCCTGAATAAGGTGGCACGCCGCTTAGAAAATGAGTATGAGAGTCGCCACACAGCCAAAACGACAGGCGAGCTTCGAGAGTTTGTCAACCGATTACCAACCTACCAGCTCGAGCACCAAAGTCTTCGAACCCATACCAACCTCGCAGAGGAAATAATGAGACTCACGCGCTCCGAAACCTTCCGCAAAACTTTAGAAGTCCAGCAGAATAACGCAGCCGGTGCCGACTCCACATACCAGCACGAGACAATCGAAGAGCTTATAGCTCGAGACGTCCCACTAAAGACTGTGCTACGGCTCCTGTGCCTGGAGTCCTGCATGTCCGGTGGTCTCCGCCCCGCGACCTAGAGAGTTTCAAGAAACAAGTCATCCAAGCATACGGACACCAGCACCTCCTCACATTCTGGGCGTTAGAGAAAATGGAACTTCTCCAGCCTAGATCCTCAGCCACGACGATGCTCCTCCCTACGTCCGGCGCGCAAGCAGGATCAAAGACGAATTACGGGTACCTCCGCAAGAACCTCCGTCTTGTCATCGAGGAGGTCAGCGAGAAGGATCCGAATGATATTTCTTACGTGTACAGTGGCTTCGCGCCCCTCAGTGTCCGCCTGGTTCAATGCGTGTTACAAAAGTCTTACATGGTATCTTTGATCAAGGGAGGTACGCCGGCCGCCTCGTTGAACACCGCTAATACAACATCGCCTGGCTGGCTTGGCTTCGAGGACGTTGTCAAGAGTGCTCGTGGTGCGACTTTCAGCATCGTCCAGAAGGGTGATGATAAGGCTGTGCGGGCTCGTCAGACGCTGAGCGGTAACTCTGCTACAAAGGCCGTGTATGTCTTTTTCTTGGGGGGTATCACATTTACGGAGATCGCCGCGTTGCGCTTCATTGCTGCGCAAGAGGCTCCACGGAGGAAGATTATGATCTGCACCACGAGTATCATTAGTGGCGATCGGATGATGGAGGCGGCTATCGAGAAGGGTAGCTTTGCCAAGGCGGAGTAAATGGGTTAATCTACATCACCTCAGTGATCCTAATGATAGCTACATATGTATGTCATTTTCGGAAGAAAGAGACCAACGCGCTCTACAGTCTTCTTTCTAATGTAAAGACCAAGGCGCGCCTATGGCGTTTGAGTCGTTCGGCGTGGAGTTTGTCAATAATGTTCACATAAATCCGTCATCTGCTTCGATTCTAGATTTGAACCTGGCCAACCGATGGATACCTCAAGCATTCATCTAATAGTTAAATCCAGAATGAACGCCCATCAACCGACCCTGGTACCGCTCTATCACCTCCCCGAGTCGCACCATAACACCAGCAGCAAGAGTACGTATCTGTTCCTGCGGGTCAGTGACCGCTGAGCTTGGATCAAGACGCGCAGCTGAAGGCGGCGTCCGGTCAAAGACCTGGGATGCCCACTCGCGCAACTCGATTACCTGCGTAGCGTACTCGGTGACAAGACGCTGCTCGCCATTCGAACCAGATGCAATGTTAAGATCCACCACAGCGAGGAAGAGGGATAGGAGTGCAGCAGTGACGGTTGGCTCGCTGGATGTCGACGCCGTGTGTAGCGGTAGGAGGAGGGGAGAGGGTTTCATGGGTGAGGCGTGGGAGGAAGGGGGTGTGGGGACCTGTTGTGGAAAGGATGAGGGAGAGGGTTTGGAGGAAGAGGGTTAGGAGATGAGGGATGAAGAATGGGTTGTATGAGGGTGTGGATGACCTAGGGCGATGTTAGTACAAGTTGTTTGAAATGACATGAGATACAAAGACATACGACGAGAACTGCAGCATCATTATTTCAAATCTACCCTGCAATGGGAAGAAGAAACCCTCTGCAAGCACCTTGTGCACGTCCTTAATTGTGGAGTTTTGGCGCTGGGTGTCACGCTGCTGGCGCTTCTTTTCGACTTCCATGCGCGATGAGAAGGTGCGCACTTTGAGAGCGTTGGGGCCAGTCATCGTATCTGCTGCGTTGGCTGCAAGTGGTTCCAAGGATGTACGAGACATTTCCCGGGTGAGGGTTGCGATGGGAGACTCATTTGCTCCTGAGTACATCGCCTCCAGGGCAGGCGAGAGCCGTTTGGATGGGAACGAGGTATCGCCAGTTGTTGGGAGACGCAGTGCTTTGGCATCGTCTTCTCCATTCCCGGCTATCTCGCGAGCACTCAGACCCAGGGCTGTAAGAACAGCGGATCTTTGGACTTGAGAAAGGTCCCCATCGAAGTAGACGGCAGTAAACCAGCGGCCCATCTTCAAGGGCTCGGACACAATTAATGCAATCATGCTTTGTAGGCGGGATTCATGGAATGACGGATGATTGTTGTCGTTCTGAAGACCTACGATAGTCAGAGCTAGCTCCTCGATCTGCTCGGCAAGTTCAGTTCCGAATCCTATCTTCCGTCGAATTAAGGATGGGGCAGTGGTGATGGCCAGATGATGGCGCTCCACATTCTCGGTGTCTCGGAGAGATGGGATCAGATCACGGATGTATCTTATATTCGTTAGTGGGATCGATACCAGCAGGCAAATCAGTACTTACACAGGCGCAGTCGGCTTATTCCGTTGGATCAACGTGGGATCGTCATCAGAATCGTATGCGTCGTCGTCCGGCTTTTCATACGGAATAAGATCATCATCTTCTTCGTCTTCATCTTCGTCACCATCGTTGACTTCTTCAATAGCAACAATCTTGCTTGTATGGTGGCGCGATAATGGTGCTTTCGGCTTTTGTACAGGCTTGGAACGAGCAAATTTCGGTTTTTCTGGCAATGCCTCTTGCAATGATTTGATGGATTCAGGCGAACCGACCTCATCTCGGACCTTTGTCAACCCCAAATACCAAAGAGCTTCCTCGCTTCGCATGTCCTCTAGGTCAAATCTCAGCACTTTGTCTGGTTCCTCAATGAGTTCAGATATTCCTGTTCCAACGATCATGCCAAGAAGTCGCGCTCTGTTAGAGGACGCAGCGAGTCGATTGGAAACTGCGTTGAGATAAGCTCCTGACCGGCCTACATCTTTCACTTGCGCTTGATCTAGCCGATAGAGGTGGCCAGCGGCAAGCAGAATCACTTGTGCGGTTGCTATTCAATGTCAGAGGCTAATATTTTGGGAACAGAGGACTCTGGACTGTCGACAAACCATTCTGAACCACATTTGGGACATGTTTGACAGAGAATTTGTCTCCGAATTGCTCAAGGCTGCGTATGAGCAGCGATTTCAACACACCTGTTGGAGGTCCTTAGTTTCATTGTCTGTATTCCCTTCGGCAACGCGGACTTACTACCGTGGTTACTGAGAGTGGCTAATAGTGCGCGACGTAGTCCCAACGTGTTAATCGAGCCACCTTGCGATTTTGAGAGCCATTCCACGACCTGGCTTTCCAGGTCTGGCCGAGAAGAGATCATGACAGAAATCAAACCTGCCACTCCTTTAATGGGCTCTGAAGGGGTGATTGACTGGCCCACTGTCCCCGACAAATCATTTAAAAAGTGTTTTCGTTGTATATTGCGGAAGATGGCCTCTACAAATGCAAGCTGCTCCGTTCGTCTGAGGTGACCTAATAAGATTCCGAAGTGTGTCGGCAAAGACTGCGAAAGAAGGAGACCCGAGTAGATTTCCTTGACAACCTGATCTGTGTAATGTTAGCCTGGGGCTCAATTAAAGCCATCGCTGTATATTCACCTGTATATCCAAGGCTTAATGCTCGCCCTGTCAACAAAGCAACTGAGGCCCAGTCGCTTTCGTTATTTGGGGCTAGTCTTGCCGCCATATGAGAAATATTGCGCCCAAGCCATGATGCATATTGGGAACCATTTCCAACCCAGGAGATTGAAGACACTGATTTTGACTCATCAACAACCGTAAGAGCCTCGGCTGCTGTCGATAAAATCTTGCCGGCAGCAACGAGCGACACAAGCTCTCTCCACGTAACTTGCTGTCGAGTCTTGTTGTCATAGATTACCGAAATATCAGAAGAGAGACGGAACAAAAAGTCTTTCGGCTCTAGCAAAGCAGCAAGCACAGCTAAGATATCCCGTATACCAAGTTGGCTGCTTGAACCTTGGGCTTGCTGGGCAGAAACGCGGGCTGCATTGATTAGTGATCGCAGCTGAGCTACCAAGGAACCGAGACCCGCGACGCTGCTAAGACATCTCAATAATGCTGCTCGAGCTTTGGCGTCTTTCCCTTTGCTGTCTTTCGCATCCAGCGACCCCCAATGATCTGGGATCGTGGTGCTGACTAATAGTTGGAGAATCTGGGCTGTGATGGGACTTGCAATCCGAAGGTCGAAGTCCTTTGGAATTTTGGATTTGCTGAAGGGATCAAGGGCTGCCAAAATGGCAGACAGCTGTTCGCGATCGGGACTGCTTTTGAGTAGATCTATAATGTGACGTGATGATAGATGTTCAGGATCGAAGTCGTTTCTTACTGGCGGACCAGCACGCTGAGACTCGACAGCAGGTGTAACAAGGGCATCTGAATCTCGCTTGACAGTTTTCACTGCCGTCAGGAGGCCCTCCATTTTCGATTTGAATATCACTTCGGGGAAAGAGAGGTTGTGCCTGAGGTGAAGATTACAGTAGGCGGGCCTGAGATTAGTCAGCCATAGTCACCCCGAGACAGCCCACGCGTAGGTGATGTTGTCAACTCATCCTCTTCATTACACTGGACTTGAGTACTTTGGTGATCCGATCAAAAGCTGAACTGGATCTTCACCTGATACCACTCTCATCAAGTTCACTCCGTCTGCCATCTACCGCAACGAGTGTTTACCTGTGTAACGCGGCTTGATACTGCGCCTACTCAATCTGACCAGTTGCCTGTAACAGGATTCTATCAAGATGGACGTGGATTCGGAAACTCCAGATGCCCCGGAGTCTCCGATTTACGTGGATCAACAAGGTCGATGGTGCGTTGAATGATCCTTGAGGCCTCTCTGATCTGCTCTAATGCCCTACCCCACAGGAAGCACCTCTACAACGTCCTAAGTAAACGCGGTCCTTTTACAGATGACGACTGGAACCCTGGCCCCGAGCCTATCAATGCTCTGGAATCTTCCAAAATCCTGTAAGTTGATTCACTTCGGAGAGAGTACTTTTGCTAATATGAATCTTTAGGGTGATGTTTGTCAACCTCGCAAAGTTGTGGTATTCTACCAAGATGAAGGACTAACTGAAATCTAGCGGAGCTGGTGGACTAGGATGCGAGATTTTAAAGAACCTGGCACTGTCAGGATTCAAAGATATTCATGTCATCGACATGGGTATGTTTTTCAATTCATAATGCCAAGACCAGAAGCTCACAATCGATAGACACCATTGACATATCAAATCTCAATCGACAATTCCTCTTCCGCCAGGCAGATATCGGAAAGCCCAAAGCTGAAGTCGCCGCTGCTTTTGTGCAAAAGCGAGTGAAGGGAGTGAATATCACACCCTATGTCGGCAAAATCCAGGATAAAGATGAAGACTACTACATGCAGTTTAATATTGTCATCTGTGGCTTGGACAGTATCGAAGCTCGGCGCTGGATCAATTCCACTTTGATCTCCATGGTCGATGAAGATGATCCCTTGAGCCTGAAGCCACTTGTTGATGGTGGAACTGAAGGTACCTACCTGCATCAGCAAACTCACTCAAGAGCATGTTGCTGATATATCGAACAGGTTTCAAGGGCCAAGCCCGTGTAATTCTACCCCTCTATCTCATCCTGCATTGAGTGCCAACTGGATATGCACGCACCTCGTCCAGCAGTCCCTCTCTGCACAATTGCCACCATTCCGCGCCAGCCTCAACACTGCATTGAATGGGCGCACCAGATCGCATGGCAAGAGAAGCGCAAAGATGACACCTTTGACAGTGACAATATGGAACACATATCGTGGATATACAATGCCGCTTACGAACGTGCCGAGCAATTCCATATCCATGGGGTTACCTTCCAGATGACTCAGGGTGTGGTCAAAAATATCATTCCGGCTATCGCATCAACGAACGCCGTCATTGCGGCCTCCACAACTTCAGAAGTGCTGAAGATCGCCACTGGCTGCAATCCATTCCTAGCCAACTACATGATGTATGCTGGCGAGGAAGGGGTGTACACCTACACTTTCGAGGCGGAGAAGAAGCCCGACTGCCCCGTGTGCGGAGAACTTGCCCGCAAGATGAACGTGGATCCCAATATGACCCTGGGCGAGTTCATTGACAGCCTCGGGGAAAGGGCCGAGGCTCAATTAAAGAAGCCTAGCATGCGGACTGAAGAGAAGACCCTCTACCAGCGTTTCCCACCTCAGCTAGAGGAGATGACCCGACCTCACTTGGGAAAGAAGTTGGCAGATTTGATCGAGGATGGCGAGGAAGTCGCTGTCAGCGACCCAGCCTACACCACCACATTCCGCTTCCGTCTTCACTTCAAATAAAGGCAACTTGTTTTGCCTTTCCACGCGAAAATTACGAGAAATCAGATAGCTTATGACCGGAATGATTAGCCTTAGTTAACTGCGTAGAATTCAAAGGATAGCTGTTGGGCTCTTTTCCAAGACGATTAACACACCCAGACTCCAGCCTCATGAGGCGAAGCCCTGATCAACTTTTCGTAAATGTACAGCGCAAAGGCGGCCAAAAAAAAAAATTCCAACGCCAAAGAATGCATATAATAAGGTATAGCAGGGAAATACCCTTTGATCAACCCATCAGATCGGTCAAACCTCTCTTCCACCGGTTGCACTTCAGCTTCATAACCTTGACAGCCTCCAGGAAGAGCATGTCACTCTCAAACTGACCGGTACTCTCCACGTTGAAGATGAAGTGATCGCGCACACGTCCTAGCTTGACCTTACCCTGGAACTCCTCGTGACGCAGACACTCTCTGCTGACAGTATCATTGAACGCATCCTTCACGACGGCCTTCTGCTCGCCGGCGTGGCCTTCGTATCCACTTCCAGGCTGCGCGGCCTCTTCAGAGGTGACGGGCTCAAGCCCAATCACACCCTTGGGGAAGCACTTGGCAAACTTCTTCGCATCGTCGCCAATGATGGGACGCTCGATCTTAATATCAGGCAACAGACGGTATGAAGCGGTAGCGACGGGCGAAAATTTGGCGTGATCGGCACCGATACCCTTCTGGCAGTGGAGTTCCATCTCAATCTTCTGGCCAGGACGGAGCTTGGCGATCAGAATGTCGGGGTTGACAGGTGCAATAGCACCGTCGCCGACAAAGTACTGTTCCTGACGACCAACGGGCATGTACATGAGGTCCTTGGCGTAAACATGGGCATTGGTGTACAGCTTGCGGGGGTCCTGCTCGTCCTTGTCTGCGTACTCGTTCTTGTAGCATTCCACGTCGAGATGGAGCACAATGGTGTTGAAGTCGCAAGGACCATCTTCCTCCTCGCTTCCGTCTTCAGATGCCTTCTTGAACCAGTGCATCCAGTTGATTCCCTCGATAGAACCCTTGAGGGGAATCAGCCCCAGTCGTGATGCGAGCACTTCGTCTTGAATGACGGAAGTGTTGTTGTGAATGAAGCAGTCTTCAATGGCGATGGTGGGGATCTCAGCCATAAGGATACGACGGAAAGCGTTGGCGACTGCGGCGTCCAGACCGATCAGTGAAAAGGAAGCCTCGAACCGCTCATTGCGGTGGAATTCGACCTGGAATTTCTGTTGGATGCAAATGGTCAGAATTGACTGGATCCAGCAGAGTATACCTTCCTGGTAATATTTCAATACATACGTTCTTGAATTCGTCGAGTGCCCACCCATGCGACTCTCCGGGCCAATGGCCAGGAAAATCCGTAGAGGGGATATTGGTGACGGTTTCCGCATTGATGCCGATGATCTAGGACGATTAGTATTCTAAGCTGCATGGAGCCATTACTAGAGACATACACGGCGGCGCTGCAGCTCCTCCTGTGAGGGAACAAGAGGCGCCATGGTGAGCAACTTTATAGGGTCTGGTGAAGGTTGATGGTAAAATCCGCGATCGCTGATAAGAGAGATTTCTCGAAGCAATTTTCTAGTTTGCCTGAGGCAGCAAAGGGGGCTTTATTCTGCACAGAAAATAGTTCATTACATAATCCAGAAATGGAAAATTATGTGAGGAATGCACTGCGCTAAACCAAAAAAAGGCTAGCGTGGAGCCATCAGCCACACAGTATAGTGACCCCTTCAGACCAACCAGCGCACGGCTGATGACCCGGCAGCTTTTCACGTGACTAGCCAAAATGCGACTCCCAACTTGAGACCTTCAGCGAGTTCCCTATCCGTAGTGAGCCATATCCACCCATTGAATGCGCCCGGATTGAGGATCATCTCCCCTCTTTTCCCTCTTGGACCTCCAATTCTCCATCCTCCATGGCCGCTTCTTTCGCCCGCCTAGCGGGCAATGCGCCCAAAAGGCTCTGCCTCCGCCCCTCCTCGCTCAACACATCCATTCCTCGTTCCCGCTCGATAGCCACCTCTGTTCCTCGCCGTCAGGCAGAGGCTGCTAGCTACCAGGCTACACGACTTGTGCCGACCGACCCGACCTTCACCTCCCTCGCCAACAAGGGTGTTCCCGAGGACCCCGAGGCTGCTGGTCTTGAATCCGAGGCCGAAGGGATCGACCGCAAGATCCGTCACTACACTGTCAACTTTGGTCCTCAGCACCCCGCTGCTCACGGTGTGCTCCGATTGATTCTAGAGCTCAATGGCGAAGAGATTGTTCGCTCCGATCCCCACGTCGGTTTGCTTCACCGTGGTACCGAGAAGTTGATTGAGTACAAGACCTACATGCAGGCTTTGCCTTACTTTGACCGATTGGACTACGTCTCCATGATGACGAACGAGCAGTGCTTCTCCTTGGCTGTTGAGAAGCTCTTGAACGTCGAGATCCCTGACCGTGCCAAGTGGATCCGTACCTTGTTCGGCGAGATGACCCGAGTCCTGAACCACCTCATGTCCGTCCTGTCCCACGCAATGGATGTCGGTGCCCTGACTCCTTTCCTGTGGGGTTTCGAGGAGCGTGAGAAGCTTATGGTGAGTAATTGAGCGCTGCAAAAAGCTATTGCGGCTAGGTTTTATTTACTGACACTTCGGGTGCTTTAGGAATTCTACGAGCGTGTCTCCGGTGCCCGTCTCCACGCAGCCTACGTTCGCCCCGGTGGTGTCTCGCAGGATATCCCCATTGGTCTTTTGGACGACATCTACCAGTGGGCCACTCAGTTCGGTGACCGCATTGACGAGACCGAGGAGCTGCTCACAGATAACCGTATCTGGAAGGCCAGAACCCAGGGTGTCGGTGTTGTTAACGCCACCGATGCGCTCAACATGAGTTTCACTGGTGTCATGCTCCGTGGCTCGGGTGTTCCCTACGATATCCGCAAGTCGCAGCCGTACGATGCCTATGACCAGGTTGAGTTCGACGTCCCAGTCGGTGTCAACGGTGACTGCTACGACCGTTACCTTTGCCGCATGGAGGAGTTCCGTCAGTCCCTCCGTATCATCCACCAGTGTCTGAACAAGATGCCCGCCGGTCCGGTCCGCGTGGAAGACTACAAGATTTCCCCTCCTCCTCGTGCCGCCATGAAGGAGAACATGGAGGCTCTCATTCACCACTTCCTTCTCTTCACCAAGGGTTACTCCGTGCCCCCTGGTGAGACCTACTCAGCCATCGAGGCCCCCAAGGGTGAGATGGGTGTCTTCCTGGTCAGTGATGGCAGTGAGCGCCCATACCGCTGCAAGATCCGTGCTCCTGGTTTCGCCCACTTGGGTGGCTTCGACCAGGTGTCTCGTGGTCACCTGCTTGCTGATGCTGTCGCAATTATCGGTAAGTCTTTGTTCCCTGTCTTCTTCAATCCTAGCTTCTAACATTGAATCTCCTCTAGGTACTATGGATCTTGTGTTCGGTGAGGTTGATCGGTAAATGATATTGGCCACGCAATAATAAAAAAGAAAAACCTAACCCGAAGAAAACCTTCCCATGGCACCCTCTTAGATGGTTAGATTCGCCTGTGCTGGGGGCAAAATCAGACAAGAGGAACCACCTATTTTCCTTGAGATGTATAAACCCTGGAACTTTCGATCCTGGCTAGGGTGTACCAAATACTCCATGTTTTCTTCCCATGGCGTTGTGCTATTATGTCTTGTCATTCTCCTTTGTGTGCCTGTTTTTTTTTCTACCTCTACTGCTTCAACCAAGCCCTGTGTATAGTGAACATCTGATTCTTCTTCCGTGAGCTGTCTCATTTTCAATGTAGGGATATCCCATGCATCTAACTAGCATGACTTCAAGCCTGATTTATATAGTACAAGGTACCTTTGCATAATCTATATACTACATAGAAGACCAGACATACATTGGCCGACAGGTTACCCAAGGAAATAACCCGAGACGTCCACGGGTAGCCATTCTTATTATCACATTTCTAGCAGATAATACCACTGTTGCCACTGTTTGAAGACAAAGGACCTTTGGAAAGCAGCCTGATATTCCTCTGACCGCTTTGTTGTTTGCCACGTTTGTCAATATAGGTGGCAAAATCACACCGCCCTCAGGGTATAAGTAGGTCCTCCTGCCCCCAGAACTTCCTCTTCTTTTCTTTCTTCTCCAGCTCTCTTTGCCTATTGGCTTAGATCAAGTGTAGTATCTGTTCTTTTCAGTTTAATCTCTGAAAGTTTCCGTCCAGGAAACACTTTGATTATTCCTATTTTTGGTCCCCGCGACTTGGCCCCTGTGCTTGCGCATGCCTTGTTGCACAGTGTCATTGGGCTTACACTACCCCCGATCGACGCGAACTCCTTTTCATCAACTGTTCGGCTTGTCCGGGCGCTTGGAGAAGATGGGTGTTCAGAATCTACGTCCATATCTGTGAAGTGATTCGCTTTATCGTCTCATGAGTTGTCAATGTGAAATTCCATTGTTTTTTGTTTTCTGTGTTTGGACAGTTTCCTAGGCAACCTGAACCTGAACCAGGCGACCAACTGAAGGCTTCTACCACCCTGACCGTCCAGCCATCATACTCGCTGGTTACTATTAGAATGCCCACCGTTAGAAATGAATATGTAGTGCACCCGGTGAACCCAGGCTGGTTGATAACGAGAAACAGTGGGTATTCACACCTCTTTCATTTGCTAGCTCAAAAGGACCAGCACAACATCCTTAATTCATATCGTATATAAAGCCATTACAGTACGTATTCCGAACTTAAGCATTTGCAGTCATGATAACGTAGTTCATCGTCTATTTGGTAACCCCCGCACCAGGGCCGGCTTTGTGATGGTCTCCAAATCGGCTATATGCCACTTCGCAAGATACAAAAAGATTCAACAGTTCTTGATTATCTTAGAAATGAAATGAAATCTATTTCAGAATACTCAACATGGGCAAATCAATAGACATCTCTCAATCAATCCTTTATCCCAAGTGGTTCGGCGGCTCTGCATCATGCATGGCGGTCCTTGTTTCTCACCCTTTGGACCTGAGTAAGCCCAGCCATTCCCATCTTCCAAAATAATTCTGATCAATCATAGTGAAGGTCAGAATGCAAATGGAGCAGGGTGGTGTAAAAGCTGGAACACTTAATACCTGCATTCGAATCGTTCAGGGCGAGGGCGTGCTTGCGTTTTATAATGGAGTAGGTCTAATAAAGAACAAGGTTAACAAGGTTAATCGTGACGAGATACTCATATTCTGAAGCTTTCGGCAGGCTTCATGAGACAGTGTTAGTCCGCCTAACTATTCCATCTCTTCCATCAATCCAAGCGATACTCACTCATTCGGCAGTAACATATGGCTCAGTCCGCATCGGCCTCTACGAGACACTAAAAGAACAAACCAAAGCGAACAACATTCCCACCTCCCCACCAGTTCTTGGGTTATTAGCAGGAATATCCGGGTTTACTGGTGCGGTCTTCGGCAACTCCTCAGATATAGGCAACATCCGCATGCAGAATGACGGTTCACTGCCTGCTCATCTTCGTCGCAATTACCGGCACATCTTCGATGCGTGGAGAAAGATCAAACGTCAAGAGGGATGGAAGGCCTTTGGGCAGGGATTGTGGCCGAATGCTTTCCGCTGCGGTATCATGACCAGCTGCCAGCTTGCTTCATATGATATTTTTAGGGATCTGATAATGGCAACCACTGGGATTCATGATGATCACCCTGGTTTGCATTTATCGGCCTCCCTCTTGGCAGCACTGATTGCTACAACACTGTGCAGTCCGATTGATGTGATCAAGACTCAGTTAATGGGGTCGTCAACCAAGCAAGGGATATTGCATGTTATGGAGGATCTTACAACTACAGAGGGAATGAGATGGGTCTTTCGAGGGTGGACGCCCGGTTTTGTTCGCCTGGGGCCTCAGACTATGGCTACACTGATTCTTTTGGAACAGCACAAGCGGCTATATAGGGACCTCAAAGAAAAGACAGGCACTCAGAAAATCGCACTCTTAAGTTAGTCCTTCGGTACTGGGCATCATGAATGATTGAATATTTCATTTCTCCCACTTACGTTATATTATAGATGAATGTTATCAGAGGGAGCGTTCAATATTTGGTCATAGCCTCTGGACATCGGAGCCTTGGGCCACCGCACGGCGCTTACCCAAAACCGTCACCGTTTTTCACCAGAGTAAACGCAATCTTTTGATAATTCAGTCGACGAGACTCTTCTTCCTGCCTATCACTCGCCTCAGCATCCAAGCTGCCTAGGTATCTTTAACTTGGCCCAGCCGCCGACGCGGGCCCCTACCATCCCTCCTATCTTCTATGGAGCCTATCCACTTGTTGCTATCCTACTATTTTTACCATATCTTTCAATATCTCCTTCAGCACCGTGCCCAGTCATCGGTCTATCTTGAGATCGATCACGGATTTGATCCTGTTGAAGGGATACACTCTAAAACACGCCGAGCCACCGATTCGGGATATGAAGATATCTAGTCATCACTTGACCGAGACATAGGACGTGATGGAATCTCGCCTTGCAAGTCCAGCATCAATGGAGAGTCCACGAGACCACCAGCCTGAACGACCAACTCCAGCTCCTGTGACACCTCTACTCTTCACCTTACCTGCCGAGATACGCTTGAAGATATTCGGCTTCTGCGTCCCCCGAAAATGCGTCATCAAAGTATCAAGCGCGATGTACCGGCCTTACGGGGTCGAACCTCTGGTTTCTACGCGTGGCCCGTCCGAAGAGGACCGGTTCCTCAATACCAGGCCTCGCTGGACTAACGTCTTACATGTTTCAAAACAAATGAGCGATGAATGCCTGAACATCCTTTATGGCGAGAACTTGTTCGAAGTCTACCTGAGCAAACGAGCAGAAGCTACACTCAAGAAAACCTTCAGCAAACAAAATATCCAGCGGATCCGATTCATGGTCGTCATCGATCCAGGCCCATGTTTTCCCGGGGAACTGAACCCACCCGATATCCCTTTCTGGGCCATGACTGTCCCAAACTTGAAGTTGTTTGAATGGGTAACGCAGCCAGACAAGAAAACTGAGCGGTACACCAGCGATCTTGTGATGAGGCAGAGACTGGAGGGTTGGATGGAATGGACAGATGCCTACTTGGACTGCTTCAGCGAATTTATGGTGGACGGAGTGGAGTTCAAGATGAGCCTTGACAAAGGAGATGGTAACTACAGGCGGATTGGAAGACTTTCTTTCCGGCGAGGACCTTTTTTCAGGAAGGATGAACAGTAGAAATGAGTTGACGAGAGCCATGTCGAGGACCCAGAAGGCATCCTGCGACGATCAATGTTAGAACAGGCTCATCCTTCAAATACAAAATCTCAAATCTTGCTACGAGATATCCAGGTCGTTGCATCCAGTACTTTGTAATGCTTAATTCATTACGAATTGGCCATTACAACATCCAAACTGCGAAACTATATATGTTAGTAGTATTACAAAGACTTGAAAAAAATGTTTCTAATAATTACCCAAAAATGTATATCTTCGGTGGGACTGTTCACGCCACGGGGCTTGACTGCACCAAAGCCTTAAAACAAGAGACAAGAGACCAAAACTGCGTACTTGTTTGTTAAAATCTGTCTGAAGCTGTCAAAACCTTCAACCTTGCTTCCCCCAGGCATTTGCAGGAGACATGCCTATATCTGTCGACCTCTCTCCCTCTCTTTCTCCCCCTCGCTCATCTTTATCTCACTTCTATTTTGCACATCCCCTTTCTACACTGCGGATGCAGCTTTGTGTTTCTCCAGCACCAACTGGATACTCTTGTATCCAGCTGCAAGCATGTCCCATTCGGGAAGGCGAGGACGCCTGCTTTTGAATGCATCCCCCGTCTGCAACCTATGCGGCGAAAGTATTTATAGCTTCTCGACCGGTATTTCTGAGATCATAAATCGTAATGCACCGAAAGGCGTGAGCCTTTTCTCACTGCATAATCGATGGATCGACGGAAGACCGACAGATCTGGATGAGATACACTTCGACGAGATGTGGACATGTTCTGGCACGTTTCGAGTTCGTAAGTGTTCTTTTCGACGCCCTGATGAGATGATATTTGTTCTAGCCTTGGGCATGGTCGCAGTGTATTTCAACCCTTTCGATACTTTCGACCCGGAAGGCACATTCCATCTCTCTGGTGTTGGCGAGCTTCGACCAGGTCAAACAACATGCCTCCCACAGGATGATAATCAAATGATTCTGTGGAATTACCAAAGCCCTACCCAACACGCCTTGCCCACTCCGAAATTTTTGTCGGTGCTTTCAAATCTTCTAACATTTCCTATGCACGAACGATGCTGGCGCCTCATGACTCAAATTCTCGATGTCGAGTTGATCAAAAAGAATATGGATATCTTTGTGCGCGCAATGTGTCAGCCATGGCTACTCACAAGGCCTGTGTCTAATTCAAGCCGATCTTACCCCGTGGTAGAACTGTCCAAGCTGTGTGTCAATTTGCCAAGAAGATTCCGCCTAACCCCTACATTGTTTCGTGGCATGGGTGATGAAGACCTAAGCCATATGCCTCGTGACTTTCGCGGTGCGGACCCACTGAACGACTCCTACGTTGACAAGGTAATTGCCAAGTATGCAGCAAAGTACACCAAGAAGAGGGAGAAGGGGTTTGAACCAACTTGGCAACCTTCAATACCCACCCATACAATGTCCCGACGATCCCAGGGTACTTTCAGACCCAGGAACGTGTTTCTCCCAACCGAACTCATCTTGAACATCGCAGATTATTTGGGACATCACAAGGACATCCAAAATCTGCTTTCCGTGTTTCCGCATTGGCATCCAATGATCCCAGACACTTACTGGAGACGTCGATTCATTGATGATAACTGTCTAAACAATATTCAATTCCCGTCAGAAGCTCTGGATTGGCAGCATCTCTATCTCAACTGTGACAGGCTGCTACGACCCTCCTTGGGATGGCGCAACAGGCAGCGTATCTTGAGTCAACTGCAAGGGACTAAAGAGCGATTCTTGCGGCAACTCGAGCAGAAGGGAAAGTGAAGCATATTCGAATAACTCTGATTTCATCAGGGGGAGCATGGATCCATCGTGGAGTGGCATTACAAGGGTCGATGGGGGTGATCAGGGAGATCTGATGGGAAAGTGATAGGGAAGTGAAGGTTGGCTGAGTGGCGAGAAGTTCAACAGGATTTCTCTTTCATTCCTCCGTTTCCTACTTTGATTGATTGGAGCTAATTGAATGACCCATTGTGTGTTTTTTTTGCCTACTTCGTAATCCGTACCTTGACTACAAGCTTGAAATGGCATGACAGTAGCCAATAGCCCGTGCGATGCCTCAGAAAGCAATGTGGCGTATGACGTAGTATATAAACCTGCTTCTGCTGTGGCGCAGTGCATGCAGGTTCCCATATTCCCCCCAACAAGCTGTCATGGTTCTCTGTGTGTTGTACAGCTGTCAGCCTCTGTTTTGGAGATCAACGCACCTGTTAAATTTTTGACGGGCTCTCTGTTGTCACCTGAATCCGCCAGCTTGACTGCCACAGCCTCTGCCTTGTGGCGTGTTGATCGCTGTGCGGAGCACTCTAGCTGCTGGACAATTGATATTTGTCGTATCTCGTATTCTAAATAGAAACAGGGATAATCGAGCATACATTGAAGTGTCATATTTATTGGTTTTGTGCTCGGAACCGCCAAATTATACGTTACCCAGAGCTTCCAGCGAATCAATATAGGTATTCAGCTCCAATCTCTTACATGTCGTGAAATATGTATATATCGTACGTAACCATATGGACGTAGACATCGTCTAGACTTTCAAATGTGCCGCACCTAGCTGCCTTGTGGATATTAGTATATATCCTCAACCGAAGGAATAGGGAATAGGCCGTGGAATATAAGAAATAAGAGAAATCAACAAGTCGATCAACTGAGGAGCTTCAAAAAGAGGTGGATCTGGCCTTGTTGCCTGGTGCCTGGGTGGCCAATGGGATCATTCTAAATTGCTTATGTAATTGTTGTAATTGCACCTGGGGACCTCCACTGGGTGAGATCGCGTCTCTGAGCGTCTTTCCTTCAACTTCCATTCCTTTGTTTATCACATAGTATGATATTTGGTCTGCTTTGAATATCAAACATCTGATCATCATAACAATCGCTTTTGCCCCTACCCTCTATCTCCTCCACCAATTGCAGCTTACCTATCTCCGATCGCAAAATGGCCACCGACTACAGCAAGAAGACCAACGCCGAGTTGGTCGAGATCCTTAAGACTCGCTCTCTCCCCCACACTGGAAAGAAGGCCGACATGGTTTCGCGCCTCCAGGAAGACGACGAGAACAAGCCCTCCGACGCTCCTGCTGCAGCTCCTGCCGCAGCCAAGACCGACGCCCCCGAGGACGTCATTGACTGGGACGACGAACCCGCCGAGACAATTATCGAGCCATCCACAGAAACCGGCGCAGCTGCAATTGCCGCCGGTGGGCAAGGGCGCAGTTTCCAACCCCGTCGCTGTCCCCAACCAGCAGCTCGACGAGAACCCCGCCACCACCGAGGACTTGAAGGTCGAGGCGACCGGCGCCATCGTTGAACCCACCACTCAACCCGAAGCCGCGACTGAACAGAAGCCCGCCGTCGATTACACGCGAGGACTGCCCCAGACCGATCTGGAGGCGGAACTGGCGAAGCGCAAGGCTCGCGCGCAGAAGTTCGGTATTGTTGAGGATGACGACACAGCATTGAAGGAGGCTACGAAGCAGCTGGAGCGCGCTAAGCGATTCGGTACTGGTGCTGAGGGCGAGACTGGTTCTGCTGCTGGTGTAAGCCGTCTTGATCAGGCACTTCCTGATGAGCGCTCCCGTAAGAGACGCAATGACAACCGCGACCAGGGTGGTCGTGGAGGAAAGAGACGCGATAATGGACGCAACCGTAACAACCGTCAACGTGGGGATGGAAACCGCAACCGCGGCGATGGGAACAAGACGAATGCTGGCGTGAAGAAGCCTAATGCCGGAGGGAACAGCGCCCAGAAGAATTGGAGTGAGAAGGATGTTGCGGCCATGGAGGCTCGTAAGAAGCGGTTCGCAGCAGCTGCTTGAATGTTTCCAATAGTTTTGTTTGTCTGGTCTATGACTTGGGCTTCGGTTTCATCTCTTGTTCTTTCATCATGGGCGTTTGTGTGTTGATACGCTACCGGGCAATTTCAGGGTCAATCATTCCATTCGATTTGTTTTAATATATGTGGATGTCAATGAAAATGTATAAGTCTATGGAATTCGTATTTTGTAGAATGAAAATAGCCCTGTCCATATGTCCATATGTAGGCTATCCAAGGGAGTAACGTAACGTAATGCCCGGTTGCCAGGTGGTGTATACAGTAGGAAACTGGAGATCTCTCAACTTCTCCATTTCCCATATCCAAGCACAGACCTACAACATACTCAGATAGAACTCAATCTTAAGTTTTCTCGCGGCCCCCAGAAATAATTCCCCGGTGACTGCGTGCGAAGTCAGCTGAAAAGTGCATTAGTCGCTTGTTCCTGCAGGATAGGCGTCGACCAGTACGACCAGTCAATAGGCGAGTACGGCTCAGTTTGTGATGGTGGGACCTCCAACTCTTCCTTTACTACGGAGTATGACAGTCCGAGAGTACTCCACAAGGAGTACATTTGTATGGAGTACATACAATATGACAATTGCAATATACAACATACACTGCTCAATGCCGTCCCAGACGCATTTCTCATTGTCATTCGTTGCTCCAATTGCCCGGATTAACGCCCTCCCCACTTTGATCAATGGCCTCCCCACGAATGACAACCCCCAGCTGGCTTTTTTTAGATGGTGGCTTCGAGCTAACATATGATTATCGTCTAGGGCTTGTTCATTGCTCGATTATCCAGAGGACCATCACAGCCCAGTGACTAGCGGGCTCCACTGCAGTCTCGAGGCTCCACGGCTTGAGTATCGAACACCCCGGTCTAAAGACGAAATGCCCTCTGCGGACAGTTACTGGCTGTTGGTATCCTACGAGTCGAGACGTTAGACTCAACTTTAAAGTCCCTTCATTTTCATCCCTGGAACCTTGGGATGTTCCCCGAAAGGTTCGGGACGGGCCTCTGTACCAAACTCTGGATATCTAAGGCCGCTGAGTAATTCTTCAACTGTGTCTCCGAATATACGATATCAGACATAATGGATCAGAGGTGAATATGCGACTGTTTCGGGAAAGATGAAGCATTTTAGGGTAGAAGACACCCTTACGTCTATCCGCGTATGCATGATCCCTTGAAACCACGTTGGGAAATTCCCCGAATGACCAGGAAAGATTGGAGTTGCAACTAAAAAATAGAGGAAAACGAAAATCACTTCCGCGTCGATCATTTCACCATTTGGGGTTGAGTCGTTCGGCGTCTCCGAATGCGCTGTCCGAAAGGCGGGAGACGCGATAACCAGACTGGTTGCCAATACGAGTTTGTGCGCTATACATATATGTCCAGTTCTAATCCTGCAGATACTCAGCTTGAGTCTATCAGCTGATCTGACATACGAACGAGTCAGAAATTGTAGTGGAACTTTTCAACGCTCAAGCCAGACATGAATGATAGTCCGGGTACGCCACGGGTTGTACCATCGTCCTGTCACGTTGTGGATATTTGCCGCGAGCCCATACCGTCTAAACCAAGTAGCCAACAGTAAGTCCGTGCTAAGGGAGAACCCTCGAGTGGACCGGCCTTTACCTCCCCATGTGGGCTTCCGTGCGCGCCGTCGTCTTGATCCGGCCACTGGGGGATCGCCCTGGCTATTTGTAGGAATTCCTTGACTTTGCACTTTACGATGGGGGCGCTTCAGAAGCACCGCACAACTTTCGCGTACTGGTCCTTTTGACAGGTTCTAGGTCTTTGAAGTCTTGAATTCTTCCCGTCTTATCACAGTAGTTACATCGCTCTCTTGCCAATGAGATCCCTATGTTCTCTCTACATAGACATTGTGATTTCTAGGCATTTTCCCCCACATCAGAGGGGCAATCCCAGTCCGCACATAAATCTCCGGCATCTTGGATATTCCTCGTCTTTGATCTTTTAATTTTGACTGTATAATTTATTTTTGTATTTTTTATCTCTGACGTGGCCGACGGAGACTGGAACTCAACGCCACATACGGTGGCGAAGCAGCTGCAGCTTTATTCGATCCACAGTGAACTTTTTCTCTACTGACGTCTGTGAGTCTGTGAGTCCAGAAGACTTTTTCTTTTTTATAATCCTTAATCCTTAATCCTTGCCATGTCTATTGACACTTGAATTTTTAGTGCGACTTTGAGATACCCTTTTTGTGCGAATTCCATCTACTTTCTACTTAATTCTATACCCCCACCATCAAGCGCTAGGCGCCCATCAATATTGATATTTTCGTTTGACATGACTCAGATGCTGTGAGATTACATATTGAACATGAAGTTGGACCAAAGAGCTGATCAAGTCAGACAGCTATATACCCTAACGACGTGATGGTTATTATAACGAAGTACATGTACCCACAGATCAATCATTTGTCCCTGGATTGGAGCCGGGAACTTCACTCTGTACACCATGTCGTACAGTTCTGGCCATCACATGCACGATGCTTCTTCAAACTTATCGCGTACCAATGTCTATGGCCGACCTTCGCGATCCCAAATTGCGAGACCAGTCAATCACACCCCTAGGAGCAGAACCTCGTCATTCTCAGATGCCGAAGTTACTGGTCCAGTATCAGCGGCATCGGCTATTAAGCGATCTATCAGTGGAAATCGCCTGTCCATGCTTCCGCGCCCCAGCATTGGTAGCACAACCTCCCCAACTACGCCAGTGTCCGCTTCTTCTCAGAGTTTCACCCAGCCAATTCCCTCGTCGGTCTCGACCCCGGAGATTAGCAAACCCTCCCCCTCGCCTTTCGTTGCTGGACAACAATTGCCTCCGCCAAAACGAACACGGAATGTTCTTCGAAGGAGGGCACCGATAATAGGGAAACATGTGGAGCAATTGCACTCTGACAAGCTTAGCCTTGTTATTCCACAAGAGCCTCATTCTCTCGTTACGAACAATGCCTCAGGACACGGAAATTCATCATCATCACTTTTAGGGCAATCGGCTTCCTCTTACAGACCTAACCACAAGAATGACAGTAATGTGGCGGTTAACTCGGCGAAGTCAAGCTTCAACGGTCCGGAGGAATTGGCAAGTCTTCGAACCACAGTTGATACCCAAAACTTGCCTGCGCCTCCGGCCCCCTTCTTATCGGCAACTAGCCCCTCGACAAGATACTCTGAGTCTCCGAGTATTTGGAGTCGCGGGTCTACCCCGACGTCATTATCATCATATTCTCCCGGTATTTCAAAGATTGGACGTCTGAGACAACCGAGCCCGTCTCAAACGAGATTGCCTGTCTTCTCTCCTCCACTGGCACACGCAAGCCCTCAGCAAGAACGGCCGGAGCTGAAGACCCAAAAACGGGTACTTCCTACAAAGCCTTCTGTCTCAAGCTCAGTGACAACCGGTAATGGCCAGAAGGTACCATCGTCTAAATCTCCCTCTACAGTACCCCAAGGCCCACCTTGCAGTCCGCCACCGAGAAAGTCCTCTGTCAACTTCAGCCCTCCAGAATCTTCGGACATCGACGTTGAGCAGGCTCGGAAGGAAGTGGAGGAAGCCGAGAGGCGTTTATTTGACCCACAAAGGGTTATGGCATATTCCCCTCACGGAATACGGAGACATCACAGAGTCCACCACGACCGAGCAGGGACGGGACGCATCGCTTAGAGCTTGAAACATCGCCAATTGTCCAAAGCAACCTACGATATATTAGAACAACGGGCCACACAAGGCGCGAATCGATAGAAAAGACCCTAGCAACTCAACAGCCACATCCAACTCCGAATCGGTCCGCCGCTGTATCAACTGATTCGCTGGAAGCAAGAAGCATCTCTCAAATCCCTTCTCGGGATGGGGGATCTCCCGCACTATCCAAAAAGACATCTCGGACATTGACTAAGGAGACTTCCAAAGAGAAACCGGCTCCAAAACAAATACCAACACAAAAACGGTTTGGTCTGTTCACAAAGAGGTCAAAGCCAGATATGCCAGAGAACTTGACTGAGCAATCTCGAGCCACTCGCAAAGGCCCAGCCGCAGGAACAGGCCATGAGGGCTATGGAAAATATGGACAGCGCGGCCGCAAAGCAAGTGGTAGTAGTAGCACCGGGACGAGAACCAGATCAACAAGCACGACACGGAGTGGCGCTAGCAAAGGAAGTCAATCGAGTCGCCCGGAGTTGGACATTGACGATTTTCTAATGAGCCGCCTGGAGCCCGTCATTATAAATGGTGGTGGACTAGACGGTGCATCGCTGTCACGAACACAAAGCGAGCAGAGTTTCAGCAGTGTGAGCGTTGCGTCGACTTCGAACTTGCCGCAGCAAACTCTGCTATCCTACACGACTGGCCAGTCCACTGAATCCCTCGCAACTTCAACGGGGACATTCGGTGAGACTATCACGCCAAATTATTCTAATGGCATCAAGCCGATAGAAAGCAAGAGCCCTGAGCACCAATCCAACGGGAATGATCGTCCAAATGCATCGAAGTCACGCATGCCCGTCCCAAGAGGGAAGAGACACGGCATGTTTGCGAACCCCCAGGATGCTATCACAAACACGTCCCTTCCTAGCCAAAAGTCAAGCACTGCTACCTCACACCAACCGAAGCGTGCTCAAAGGTCCCCCGAAAAGACCACCAATCCTGAGCAGGCTGAGAAGGAACAAGCCAAGAAAGGAAAGACCTCCATGTGGAACTTCTTCCAGAAGAACCGCGCCAACGAACAGAAGAGCTCAATTCCTCCAACGACTTCATCCCAAACCGCAAAACTTCATGCGGCGATCTCCCCGGTTCTGAACACTCGGCCCGTGGCCCACTACGCTTTGGTGGATGCTGATTCCGACGAGCTCGACGAAATCATCAAGAACATCGAGGACTCACCACCAACAGAGGAGGAAACGATTTTCCACCCCGTGGAAATCCCAAGAGGTTTGAGCATCAGAAAAAGAAAGCCCTCAATCCTGTTGCCATCTCCGCCAAGCATGCATAGTGAGTTTGAAAATGATCGCCCATCGCCGAAGACAGCCATGTTCAACCGCAACCTTATGGCCCCGGAGCTCGAGATACCACCTGAACAACGCCCGCGCTTGGCCTCTGTCGGTCGGATCCCACGGGTAGTTTCGCGGCGCGATAGACATCATCATCCCGCCATGCAGTCTTTCTCGCGTCCGTTTAGTGTTGCCGAATCGCCTTCCCTCACAATTCCAACGACAGAACGCTCATACGAATCTCCACCTGTCGCCAACGTTCCATTGAATCTGGAGATTGGTCCAAGCGAATCTTTTGACTGGGGCCATGGGTTCAATCCGACTTTTAGCGCTTCCGAGGAAACCAGCGCCTTGGAGTTCCTTGCCGGCCCATTCTTAAACTATGAATTCCTTCAATTTCCGCCGAAGAAAGGCTCGACCTCGTCGGATAGCTCTGGGGCTCTGGCTGCCGTTACGGCTGTGCCCCCGATTCCAGGTTCCCCGCCAACTGAGGACGAGGTGTGGAACGAATACGATGATCTTATTGATCACGTCCTGTCGCCAGATGAACCGAAGCCCGAGGAGACGGAGAAGTCCGAAGAAGAGGACAGATTTGAACTTGCAACGATGGCAAGTAGGGCTCTCCAGGATGAGTTGAATAATGCCAATCATCCTCAGTCAGTACCTGGTGGCAACTCAGTCCGCTCGAGTGGCAGCTCTGTTCATCTTCGCCGTTCTCAGATTGTCTCTGCCTTGCGATCGTCTACCGCTCCTTCGTCTCAACCGTCTTATAGTGATCTTGTTGCTGGTAATAGAGGCTCAAATGAGGAGAAGACCCAGCCGGCTGTCCACCCTACCGAGCAGCCTTCTTCAACAGATCAGCGCCGTGAACAGCAGTCGACGTTTCTCAACTCGCTCGCTGCTGTCCCTTCGCCTGAGACCAAAACACCACCGAGAACAAGAAGCCGCATCTTCGGAGCGCGAGTGGGATGCGGTGACGCGGACTAACATGCGCTCTGCTTCGCTCATGACTAGTCGGTGGTTATCTTTCGGTCGAGTTCTTTTCAGCCCGGCGCATAATCACGTCAAGGCCGGAGGACAAGGCCGAATTCTTGTGATCGATGGACTGGGAAATGATGACTGGTCTTTCTACTGTTCCTTGACATATCCCGATGCCGAGGTATACAGCCTGGGTGGACGTCCTGTATCCGCGGCACCTCCCCACCCGGCTGCATGGCAGCCGCCTACCAACCACCACACTGTGTATCACGCAGGACTGGGCAACCCCTCCCCTTCCCAAAGGACTACTTCACAGTCGTGGTACTACGATTCCCCGCTGTCTGCTCCGAGACCGTCCAAGGCAACATCATCCAAGAATGCAAACGTGTTCTCCGCACCGGAGGATATCTAGAAATGAGCCTGCTAGACCGCGACATGGTCAACATGGGACCTTACACACGCAAAGCCATCCGTCAGCTCAAAGAAATGACCTGTCTCTCGGATTCCACTCTCAGCCTGAAACCAACCAGCGACAGCGTCCAACGCGAGCTCGGCGCTCACGGCTTCGACAGTCTCCGTCGCTGCATGGTCCGAATCCCAGTCGCAGGCATGATCCTCCGATCCTCCGACTCGAGCTCATCAGCCCACTCCATTTCAACGGCCACCCCTTCCACTGCATTCTCGCTACCTACCATATCTGTCACAACTGCGGGTGGTAGACAAAGCACGACAACTGCCTCTAAATCCCTCTCTAATGATGCGAATATCTCTCTCGGCGATTTGCTCTCCGATCCTTCCCCGTCTCCGGCAAACGACGAGTCAATTGCCAAGATCGTTGCCCGTGTTGGACGCTGGTGGTATTCGAAATGCTATGAGGATCCTGTTTTCTCGACCGGAAATACTGATCCCAGTGTTTGGAATGACCGGAAGGTACTCCGCGAGTGTCAGAAGCGCGGTACAGGATTCCGCATGTTCATTGCATACGCTCAGAAGCCTAGTGAGGTTCCGCGACGCACGGCGAGTGTGTAATGGAACGACATCACGATATAATTTGTGTTCTATCTTAATTTTTTTGTTTTTCGTTTCCGCTTTGCTTTTTCATTTTCGTTTTCCAACTTTTTTTTTGATGAGATCCATGATTGATTGATACTATACGCTGCATGGAAAAATACCCATATATATGCCTTTATGAAGTCTGATTGTTTTTGAGCGTTTGGATGACATGGGCTTTGTGGCTTACGCTCAAGGCTTGCATTTGCTTTGCTTCTACATGTTTTTTTTTTTTTGTTCGATATGGCGTGCATGATGCTATGACTGATACGTGCCATAGAGGAAGAGGTGTGTTGTGCGGGATTTCCATTGTACAAGCAGGACTTAATATGGATAATCAATTACTTTAATTAGAACCCCAGCTGACATCCGCAGTAATAAGACGCATAGATACTAACGTGACGCGAGGAAGCCCCTTTCTTGTTGTGCAGAATCGATATATGGAGAGGATGTGTGTTTGACGTTCGATATACCTCAGGTGTTCATTTGATCTCATAACAAGCCTATACCCGCGTTAAATGGACCTTCAACGGCCCCTTTTCCCACATCAGGAAGTTCCTCTGATTGATCCAACCACGGGCTTCATCGGCGATCTCCATGTCAAAGTTGAAGATAATCAAGGCAAGGATTAGACGCATCTCGCTGTATGCAAGACTGAAGCAACATTAGTATCGCTCGCTACTTCCTGTGGTGATCTAGGCCATTACTTACTTTCTTCCAAGGCAATTTCTCGGTCCAGTATGGAATGGTTGCAATACCTCTCGACGATCATCTGCAAATGACGGACCACCCAGGAATCTCTCTGGGTGATAGGTGTTGGGGTCCTTGAAATACTCTTCGCGCCGATAAAGTGCCCACTGGTGGATGGAAACAAAGGTCTTCGGAACACCGTCAGCAGGCATGAATACGTAGTATTCACATCAATGAGACTCACCTTTGCCGGAACATATTCCCCCAAGATATTCGCACCGCCCTCAGGACACACACGAGGAAGACCATTTGCAATGGGCGGGTACATGCGCATTGCCTCGTCGAGACATGCAAGCATGTAGGGCAACTTGTTAACGGAGATCAGGTTGATCTCCTCCTGGCTTTGAAAAACAGTACGCACTTCCTCTTTCAACTTCTCGTAGGCAGTCGGATTCGTGAGGAGGAGGTATGTGACTCCACTCAATAATGAGGCTGTGGTCTCAGAGCCACCAATAATGAGAATTTCAGCATTTGCAATGAGTTCATCAATACTCAGGTTCTAACAAAAATCAATTGTTATTCTTAGCGAAAGTAGTTGAAAACTCACCAGTTCCTCCCTCTTTCTCAGAAGTCCCTCAATCAAGTCGGGTCGACCTTCTTCCTTTTCCATCCTCCGCATCATCTTCTGTTTAGTGAGTTTCTTGTGTTTCTCATGAGCCTCTTTCATCGACGCAGGCACCATTGATAACAACATCCGCTTCACGAGCGGATAGAACGAGAGAGCTTGCAGGATAATTCCAACCCGACCAGCGTCGAAAATCCCCTTGATCCAATCGTCAAGATCTGATCCCTGAAGACAGCCAAATGGCTCACCAAATGCCAGATCCCCAATAATATCGAAAGTGGTATAGTTATACCAATCGGAAAGCACAACCGGATTACCAGACTCGCAAAACTCATGTAACCGGTCAAGCAACATATCAACATAGGCCCGGATCATCGGCTCCTGCTCTCGCATTGCCTTTTCAGAGAAACCGTGGGCCATCTGTCGGCGGAGACGCCCATGTTGCTCTCTGCTTTCGTTGACTACATGTGACGGTTCGCCATCAACCGGACGGTAGAACCAGTTTGCCTTTGAGAATTCGGGTTTTCCTTTCTGGTGGCCCGTAATATCCTGCCAGGCGTCTGGGTGAGAGAAGGCCAGTTCGTCCGGCGCAATACGGACAATGTTGCCGTATCGCTTATGCATTTCCAGCATGTCAAATGGAAGGGTTCCCCGAGCAGATCGGTAGACGTATGCCAGTCGTGATATCTTGTGTGCTAATGGTCCCGGAAACCGGCTTAAGGGGTGAAAGAACACATTGTAGATCACCTTAGAGACAAGATATAATACGGCCTGAGTGCGTTAGAAAAGAAGTTGCAAAAGGCATCGCGTGATGTACCGTAAAGAGTCCTGTTACCAGCGCATGTTGCACGTTGAAAATAAGTCCCATTCTGTGTCGATATTCGCTCGCAAAGTATTTCAGAGAGGCAGTCCGATGAGTTCACATGGGTTCTTATATGTGCATGTCTTGACCTGGACCGAGAGGTAGGTCTTGTTGATCATGGATAATGAGATCCCTGTTACAGTGTCACGTTGAAGAATCCCGCTCTCGTTCCTATCCGAACCCGAACCCGAACCCGAGCCTAATCAAATAACGCCCAATGGGGCGCCACGAAAAGCGCCACGAAAGGTACGAATACGACCGGGAAAGCAGAAAATAATCCTATTGGCTTCTCTTACTGTTGCACTCAGCACTATCTGTCTTGCATAACTCACATTCCTCATTATCACGGTATCTCGAATTAAATGTAACTAACCATGTACAAGAGTTATCCATCAGTCATATTTGTACAGAAACAGAATAAAAGGAAAAGGAAAGAAAGAGGCCTTCTACTCAAGAAGAGCAACCATCAACCGCTGGTAATCACTAGAAGTCTCGCTGCGCACCCGGTCAATCAAGTTCTTCCCGAACTTGTGCTTGTAAGCGCGCTTGACCATCTCCTTGTGGTTGCGATCCCAGTGGGCTCGGACAACACGGACAATAAGGCGCTCGTCCTTGGTGCCCATGCCGCTCATGGATTCCTCGAGGAGAATAGCATCACGCATGGCAGGATCCGTAGCCGAGCGGAGCATCAGGAGCAGGGCATCTTCCATGTGGCCCGAGAATTCCTTCTCAATATGCTTCTCGAGGGGGATATGGTAGCGTGACTCGAAAGTCTGGCTAATAGCGCGGAGCTCGGCATTGGACGCCTTGGCAAAGATTGCGCACACATCTGTGACGTTCTTTCCTTGCAGGGAGCGAACGTCTGTATCGATGGTCTGGGGGTTGATAGGGGTAGACTCTTCGTGGCGAGCAGCATGAAGGACAATGTTGAAAAGAGTAGACGTCTTGAAGGAGAGGTCGCCTTCGACGTCTTTAGCAAGCGAACGCCTATGTCTCATTTCATACGCGGTGCGGATAGCGTTGATATCAGCATTGGATCGGCCGAGCAGGACCTCGTTGAGTAGCCACTCCTTTGTGCCAGCGCCATCGATTGCCGAGTGCAAGCTCTCGACATCATGCATAAGCGGTCCTTCTATCACGGCAAGTAGGCCGTCGCGGAAGTCCCCGCCGGTCTCGGAGTTGACATCCTTGTATAGATCGCGGCCCAGTTGCTTGGAATATACATCGCGGACAGCAGCCATCTGGAGCGGATCGAGTTGTGACAGAACTGCAATCAGGGCCTTCTCATCCGTGCCGAATCCCTTCATCGCTTTGCGAAGCGCATCTGCTTGGGGCCGGAAGTCACCTGGCGCTACTTGGCCAGGAACGTAGCCGAGAGACGGTTGTGCCGGAGGACCCTGTGGCGGAAAGGCGCCTCCAGGTGGTGGTGCGCCGTATCCGACGGGTGGTTGGCCTGGAGCGGGGTACCCGGGACCACCCGCGGGCGGTTGGCCTGGAGGGGCATAGCCATGCGGCGGCTGGCCGTACGGTGGTTGCGCGGGCGGAGCATGGTATCCATGGGGTTGAGGAGGTGGCGCGGCGTAAGGACCGCCCTGCGGAGGGGGAGCACCGTACTGGCCTTGCTGGGGTGGGGGATAGTGGCCCTGTTGAGGCGGGGGATATTGACCCTGCGGAAGGGGATATTGACCCTGCGGAGGGGGGTATTGGCCTTGCTGAGGCGGGTATTGGCCCTGCGGGGGAGGGGCACCATAAGGCTGTTGATAGCCCTGGGGCGGAGGTCCTGAAGGAGGGCCTTGCTGACCGTACTGGGGTGCGTACCCTCCGTACGGAGGTTCTATTGACTGAGTTAGCTCACGCCAAGGCTCAAAATGCACTATTTGAGATGCGCTCACGGTTAGGTTGATAAGACATGATATGTAGACTGTGTGTAAGTATGCAAGGTCAAGAATGTCCGGGCTGAGGGGCTGTTTATATGTCCCCGGCTGCGCGGCTCCAGTGTGGCGCAGCGAGGTGGGGGCTGTTGGGGGCTGTTCACACCTGGGCAGCCTTGCGGCTTATTCTCGTCGATACGAAAGTGGGCTTAATTTTCGTATCCATGGTTCTCCTCGTATAATTAAAGAAAATCGCGTTGCTGCCTTGCCAAGTTCAATAGACTGTCTTTCATCCCCACCGGTGTTTACAAAATGGATAGGATCGCCAACTTGACTTCAATCCCTTGGCTTATTTCAACCAGACCTCTCACACGTTCAATAAAGTCCTGACTCATCATCACAACTTCAACCATTTCCCTCCACCACCCACAATAGTCCCTTTCTTCACCTCGCCATCGCTGAATGGCATATCAAACCCGCCCGTTATCGCAACCCCATTCTTGAGTTTGATTTCAATCTGGTCCTTTTCTATGGGCAACTCTTCGAATTCTTCAGCTTCTTTGCGTAACTGGTCGGCTGAATCATAGGTAACATCGGCATCGGGAACGGAGAAAGACTGCCCAAAGCTAGTCAGATTGCCCACGAAAATATACTGAGCGCCTTCGACTTCAAATTGACCAAGAACTCGTCCTTTGTCACTTGTCAGGGTTCCAGTTCCTTGAGGCATCTATTTCATAAGTGGATCAGTATGCGCTACCTATGAACATGGAAGGGTACTAGGTGCTCACTGTGGGGAGATCTTGCCAGATATTCCCCTGGTATTGGAATTGATGCTACGAATATAGGTGGCCATTTGATCATTTAAAGAGAATGGGCAAGGAAGAGCGGTCAGTTTTCAGAGTCTCAAGGTGGGATACCGTGCAGTGCATCCGATGTCATATATGCAGGCAAGTGGAGAGCAGTGCTCGGCCTCCATGTTATGGATGGTGGTTCGTCCTATCGACGCGCAGACAGCACAAAACAGGGTGCATATGCAAGGTGCAGCACATACCAGATATGCGGGGCTACGTAAGGGGTAGGGCTTCGACCACTCTATCCGGCCGATGGTCCTGAATATAAAAGTTAAAGAAAGTCACAAGCGACAATCCACCAAGCTGGAAGGGCAGGATTATCTATCTCGATGTTATTTATATTCTGAAGGCTTGATTGACTCGAAAAATGGAGCTTTAAAAATCTAGTTCCTTCTAGGGATATGGCCGGTTAAAGCGTGATGAATATAAATCTACGCAAAGATATAGTTTATATGAACTCCTGGACATTGTTTCGGTTCATGCTGAACATATACGTTTATTCCACTCTATATATGGGTGTTTGAAGCAAAATTAATTTATTCTAGATCATATATAGCGTAGATTATGCTTCTTTTAATCCCGAAGATCGTGAGGTCTATGCTTCTGCCCCCAGAATTGATAACGCTAACTGTATTCGGCTAGCGCAGCCCCTTAGCATCTGAGACGGCATAAAATCGGCAGAATAGGCTCCTAGATTCCATCTCAGTACGGAGTAGTGCAATTGATATTGAATACCTCTCAGGATCTATAGTTTCACGGTACATGTTGGTTGAAATGGTCACATTTCCTCCAGGTCGCCGTTCACACCGGAAATCGCGATCCGGGTGCTTACAATGCAAGAAGCGAAAAGTCAAGGTGAGCGATGTACCAATTTCTGTTGAGACTAGCTTATAGCTCTATATTAGTGTGACGAAAGCCAGCCACATTGCCGGAACTGTGAAAAGCACGGGGTGGTTTGTTCCTTTGCTAGTGCCCCAACCGTACTTTCCACACCAGCGGATCTATCAGAGTCACCTGTGTCACTACCTGCCCCAGAAAGCACTGTATCTGGAACATTTCGTGCCCCAGTACAAATCCCACAAGCCTTACCAAGTCTGTCCTCATTAGGACCATTCCCTTCCGCATTGGCAGTTTTTGACCTGGAACTCTTGCACCATTGGACAACCTCAACCTGCTACACACTATCGCGAAGCCCCGCTGTACAGACAGTCTGGTGCAATGAAGCACCTCGCATCGGCTTTACAACTCCGCCAGTATTGCGCACCTTGCTGGCATTTTCCGCCCTACACCTAGCTCGCTCCGATGAATCTCGACGCGCAGCCTGTCTTGCTCACGCACAAATGCACCACAGCACCGCCGTGAGAGAGATGATCCCGCTCGTCTCACCTCTCGCACCAGAAAATTCTGCAGCGCTTTTCATTTTCTCCTCTCTAACATGCATGTTCTCCTGCGCCAAGCCATCGGAAGAAGGCGATTTCCTGGTCCTCTTTGAGCGCGGCAACCTATCGGAATGGGCCCGTCTTTTCCGAGGGACAACGACTGTTATCCATACCAGCGGTGAGGATCTCCGTACCGGGAGACTGGCGCCGATCTTCACGAATGGATCTTATCTTGCTGCTGCTCATCGCTCGCCGCAGGCCCTTGAGCAAGGCAAGCCGCATGTTTGGGAGTTGCAACACATGATATGGAGGGAGTGCGCAGCTGACCCGTCACTTCGGGCTATCTATCAAGATGCTTTAGATGAACTAGCTCGAACATTGGGTCTAGCTATAAGGCCTGTTATTATGCGGAGACTCGAGACCGCAGATGTCTTCCGGTGGCTGCTTGATGTCTCAGATGAATATTTAGACCTCTTGCGCCAGGAAGCGCCAATTGCACTCATTATCTTTGCTCATTGGTGCGCGTCTGTTCGTCAGATCGAGTGGATGTGGTGGATGGAAGGTCTAAGCTCGCGCCTCATGACACAACTATACTCTGTATTGGATCCGAAATATCGAGATTGGCTTTTGTGGCCACAGGAGATTATTAGTGGGAGCCATAACAGTTAAATTAATCAGAATTATAATCAAAAGTTTGGATATCCATTAGGGGAAACAAACACCACCACCACAAGGTGAAAGAGCAAATGGCGCAGAAAATGGATTCGTGTCAAGCATATACTGAGAAGAACTGCTAATCCTGCTGCCGGATTATGTCTCTTTACATCTATGGACATCTAATTTGCTGTATTTACTAGACCCGTTACCCGAACTGTCTAGACAATGGACATCAATCTATGCGGCCTTCTTCGCGCCTTTCACTACCTCATTTCCCAATGTGTCCCGTGGATGGGAATATATTCGAATAGAATGGGAAATGACTGCGGATGATTAAAACCTAGAAGCATTTTTTGATGACAGAACCTTACCAAAAATATAATGCAAAATAATGTGTGGAAGAAGTGGATGTGCTGAGTCTATTGCTCACTCAGAGCCTCTTAACAAAGTCGAAACGTTTTTCGGTCATAGACGATGGGAATGATGAGGTACCAAAGGGTGGGTGATTCGGAGCTAGTGTACAGCTGCTGGGGACTTGGTCGGCTCTCGGTAGCCTATCTTTGGCTGTGGCAGAGGTTCTGACAACCCCGTTTGATAGGGCAGATCATCATCGATAACTAGAGTTTGCTCGTCGTTGAGTTTGGGGTCGCGCACGGCCAAGGCAAACGCCATGATCGGCACGCAGAGACAGATACCAGTGACGGTGATACGGTGCTGGATGTACTGGTAGGAGCGAACAATAGCCATGCGTTCAGGTGTACCCATGGGCCATTGGGCGATCGCGGTAAATGGATCCTTGTAAGCGGAGGTGGCCAGGAGGGAGTTGATACCACCGAGTTCGTGATGGAGCGAGGATGGTAGGAGCTGGGTCCAGATTGCTCCGGAGATTGTGTTTCCAATGGCAGACCCGACGTTGTATGAAGCCAGAAACGTGCCTGTCATAACGGCGAGGTGCTCGTGCTTGATGTGAGCTTGCATCGACGCCTGAGCTGGCCATGAGAATAGCGCGCTGCCGAAACCTAGGAGCACTTGGCCTGCAACGACGCCGACCTTGCTGTTGCCAGTAAGAGACCCGCGGTATCGGATGAGTAGGCCGAACCCGACCATGTAAATGACGGTCCCGCTAAGGATAAAGACCTTGAGCCGCCGGACCCGGAAGACGACCAAGCCGAGGAGGGGGCCGACTACAACCTGGACGAAGGAAAAGAGAGAGGAGATACGGGTCGCGGCGGTGACGTCAAAGTCGAATGCCACGACAAGGATCGTATAAAGGTAATTGGCCTGCAGATGGTACCCAATATTCCGGGATATGGCAATCCCCAATGGAGCCCAGACGGCTCGGTCTTTCATCAGAGTCATGGGAATCAAGGGACGAGGAGCCCTGAGTTCCCAGTAGATAAAGACTGGAACACAAAAGGCGCTCACAACGAGAGGCGCAATAATATGGGCGCTCTTCCATTGGGACTGGGCGCCCCCAGCGATGGTAAGTGGCGCAAGAAGAAGGGCCAAGATGGCAACGAGGAGGATGATTCCGATGATATCAAGCATCCAAAAAAGTTCAACTATAAAGTCTTTTGGGCCGAGGGCTTGAAGTGGGGTACTGGATTTCTCCAAGGTGCCCTGCTTTTTGACCCGCCGGGTGACAGCCCAGAGGCTGGTTATGAGAGGAAGCGCAGAAACGGGATAAATGATGCACCACATCCCGATGCCCCAGTGCCAGTCGGTAGCGGAAAGGACAGCATTGGCAATGTTGCCGCTAACCCATGTGGTGATAAGGGCTGGCGCGATAGGAGTATAGCTGAAGAAAAGCCGCGAACGGGTCGAAGTGAGGTCGGAAACAATGATTGAGTTAAGCGCCTTGATCATGCTCTGACCGACCTGGAATATGACGCTACCACCGGCATACGTGGATACGTTCTTTGCGACAGCCTCAACGACAGTACCGATCACGTAGAGGAAGACGGAAAATGTCACTAACTCCACTCGACCGAAGATATCGGCGATCTTGGCCGCCGTCGGCTGCGAAACAGCGGCAACAACGGAGAGGATCACATTGATGGTCGAGAGGAGGGAATGCTCGCCAAAGGAGGAAGTGGCATATGGTTCGTATGTGCCCCGCAGCAGATTGTCAAGGCCATAAGCGAAACCAATGACGAAGACGCTGGAGAAGATCGCAATTCGTTCAACAACTGTAAGCGAAGAGTACAGGGCCTTCATGCGCGCTGCACCGGGCAGCCTGGAGTCGCTTATAGAGGCTTCAGGGCATGGTGGGGGAACTGTATTGGCCTCCACGTTGGATGACTTGGAGGGGTCCGACATGACAGAATAATATACACTAGGTTGAGCCACGCATTTCTTTACAGAGTAACTGTAGGAGAATATCGAATATTTTATAGACTCGGCATCTTTGCGGCGAAGTTGCATTCGGCCATGTGTAGTGGGGTTTTTCACGGCCAAAATTCCTCGGGAACTCGGTAGAAAGATAGACGCTAAACAAACGATTATATACATCGACGGTTGATATATAGCAGGTTCTTGAGTATCCATAGATGTCAATAGTATGATTATTCTGCCCTCCCTAGCTATAACATACAGTCAGCCCTATCTCACGCGGTGTAACAGCTACACAAGCAGCGTCTCCCTACATAGCAACCTACAGTTGCAGCAATATTACCGGGCATACTATAGGAAATTGCGGTGATATACTAGAGAGTTTATTGAAATTTACCTTTTCGTTGAAAAACTTTTGACATAGTAGGAGTGGGAAAATTCGCCGCTCGGCGGTGTTCGCCGGGCTCGGCCGTGGATTACTGACAGAAATCAATGGTATACGAGCGTATAGGGTAAAATCACAATGTATAAATTCTCTAACTAACTAAAATGAACAGCTGTCCGGGTTGACAATTTGTGTGGACAGATTTTACAGGAATAGCCTTTTCAACCCAACCCGCTATTTCCGGTTACAATTCCGAAAAATATGCTGCCTGGAGCCACACCAGGAGCACTGTCTTACTGGTTTTGGTGCTAGGCTGCTACACTTATATACATGCTCACAGCGTCAACTGGTTGAGCCCAGCGACAAAGGCCCACCCACTGCGAACCGAATCTGCGCTGTATCTATCTTCTCATCCTCAAGACATCACCTCCGTTCTGATCGCCAGCCTGGTAGCTCGCCATATGGGAGGACAAAAGGTACTCGAATCCATCGTCCTTGATCCTGCCAAACCAATCAAGGAGCTCCATCTCCTCCAAGTCAGCTCTTCTCTTCCTCACTCCAACGAACGCCTCCATGTCGCATTCCCTCAGACGAACATGGCTCTCATGGTGTAAGAATCGCGCTCTCGGCGAGTTGCCAACAAGCGACTCGCAGAGTGCCTCAGTTGCCTCATCCATCTTCAGCAAGTCAATGTGACCTCTCCAGCCCGCGATGTTTGGCTTAATCTTGTGCATCTCACTGTGATGAGCCAGCCACTGCATCACTGGCGTCACCGCATCACGCGGAGGCTCCGGGGCGCCTGCAACGAAGCGGTGGATGGACACGGGAATGTTAAAATCGGCATTTGCCTGCTCGAGAATGCGCTCGCCCGCCCATTTGCTGGCGACATACCCGTTGCTCCCGTCAGTGGCGGGTTGGTTCTGACCAACCGAGGCTCCGATCGGGGCGTAAGCTGTCGTGGGCAAGACGCCAGAGGATGAAATGAAGTGGATGGGAACACGGCGGCCTGCTGCCAACTTGACGAGTTCTCTGATTGGCTGCACGTTCGTCTGGCGGAGGGCGTGGTAATTGTCCCAGAATGAGCGGACGGCGCCGAGATGAATGATCACATCAGCTGTAAATGAGAGGTCCTCAAACTCAGGATTGCTGAGACCCAGCATTGGGTCGGACAGATCCCCATGGTGGACTGAGACCTTGGGCGAAGACACCACGGGCTTGTCACGGACAGCCACACAGTGAATTTCGGTGATGTTAGGGTCATTTTCAAGCCGCTTAAGGAGGTGACGGCCGAGGAACCCGGTGGCACCGGTGAGCACGACGACCTTGGGTTGATTCCGGGGTGCGGTATAGGGTTCAACGGGAGTTGGTGTTGGCACAAACGGCACAGCCGTCTCGCGTTCCCAATCAATGGTTTCGACACTGACGCTCTCTTCGATCTTGCAGGCCATCTCGCCAAGGGTGCTGCTCTTCATGAGCTCGAAGACAGACAAGACGACACTGAGCTCTTCGCGGATGCGAGTTTGTAGGCGGACGATTAGGAGGGAGTTACCACCAACCGAGAAGAATGTGGTAGCAGGCGTGATAGAGATGTTAGTTACGTGCGTAGACAGCACATCTTGCCACAAGCGGAATAGCTGAGTCTCAGTATCGGTAAGTTCGTCGCTGAGGGTCGGAGTTCCAATATGTTCTGGGAGTGGAAGCGCTTTGACAGCCTTCCTGTCAACTTTGGAATGGTTGTTCAATGGCAAGTGTTCAATAGGAATAGCCATAGCGGGGACCATATATCGTGGAACGGGTAAGTCCTGAAGGACATTCTGGAGAAAAGCGTCCTTATCGGCAATGTCGCGTTTGGTGTCGAAGACGACGTGGGCAACCAAGAAGTCAGAGTCCTCGCCGTGAACAGTGACGATGGCTTCCAGGATGGCACCGTTGCCCGCGCGCACGATGTTGCTTTCGATGTCTCCAAGCTCAATTCGGAGACCACGGATCTTTACCTGAAGGTCGGAGGAGATACGGTGTCGGAAGACGAGTGATCCATCCTCGCGAAAATGTCCGTAGTCACCAGTGCGGTACATTTTTGACCATCCGTTTGCCACATAGGCCGCAGATGCGAAGGGGTTGGGTATGAATTGAGTGGAAGTCAAGGCAGCGTTGTTGGCATAGCCGGCAGCAACGCCCGCTCCACCAATGACGATCTCACCTGCTATGCCAATTGGCAAGGGCTTGAGATCTCCGTCGACGACATAAGCTGAATAGTTCGGGTACTGGGAGCCAATCGGAATATCACCCTGCTCTCCTTGACGGTAGTCGATCTCATGGAAGCTTGATCCACAAGAAATTTCTGCTGGGCCATAGCTGTTGATTAGACGTACATCGGACAAATTCAAGGCCGCAAACTGCTTTGCGACGGTGTTTGTGAGTCTTTCACCACCAGCAATTGCGTACTTCCAGTCGGAACATTGTCGGAGTGTGCTCATCCCGTACTGAAGCCACATGAGATATTCGGACGGTGTTGCTTGTGAGTAAGTGATATGCTCATCTCGCATCACCTTGGTGATCTCTAGTGGATCACCCCTCTGGTTCAGGGGGCAGATGAAGACAGATCCGCCAGTTGCAAGACCGGTGAAAATCTGCTCCAGTGAAATGTCAAAGCTCAGCGTGCTCTGCTGCAGCGTGGTTTGTGGGGTTTCCATGCCGTACATTCTGATGGAACCCTCAATGTAGTTTCGTAGACCCTCATGCTTGACTGTGATACCTTTGGGAGTTCCAGTCGAACCGCTGGTGTAGATGATGACAGCGGCTTGCGCGCTCCGAGACAAATCTGGAACAATTGCAGATGCATAGGCGGGAACATTGCTGACATTGAGCGTAAGTGCATTGCCCGCACACAAGCTGTTTGCGTTAGGGCTGGTGGTGGCATCTGTCAAAATCACACTTGGCTGGCAAGTTTCGACGATCGCCGCTAGGCGAGTTGGTGGGTTCGCGACGTCCATGGGAACATAGATGCAGCCAATTCGCCAGATTGCCAGAAGCGAGACAATCCAATCGACGTTTGGCTGTTGGAAGACGATAACCTTGGATCCTAGATCCACGCCGGCTTTTTGCAAGGTGGCTGCAATGGCTTGACTTCGGTTCATAAGTGCTCCGTAGGAGATTGAAGTACCATTGCCGTCTCTCACAGCCACTGCGTCCTTGTTTTGTCTTGCGACTTGTTCGACACGACTCGAAAGAGTGGCAGGCCATTGGGACAGCAAGTCAGGTCCTTTGCCCATATCGAGTGCTCGCTGGATTTGTGCTTGACTGTATAGCGAAGGCTCGCCTGTTCTCATGGTTGGTGCATGAACGAAGGCGTCCAGCAGGTTGATATACGACTCGAGCAGCAGGGTTGTGGCATGGCGATCATAGATCGTCGCCTGTGTCTCAAATATGATACCTGGACCTTGATCGTCTTCAACGACGGTGATGTTGATATCGTAATTTGTCTCTCCGGCGTTGTTATGCTGCATATTAATCTGGCAGTTGCCAAACTTTGAAATCTGCTTTACGCCAACTTTGTAGTCAAAGAAAGCTTGAAAGAATGGAGCATGAGTTGACGAACGCTCGACGTGATGGAACTCCTGGAGCATCATGTCGAAGGGCAGCTTGGAGTTGGCCAGCGCAGTGTATGCTTGATTCCTGGTTTCTGTGACCGAAGCAGCAAAAGTCTTTGCCTCGTCAGGCTGAAATCGCAGAGGGAGAAGATTAAGGAAGAGACCAATTGTTCTAGTGATGTCGTCGTCGGTTCTGTTAGCATCAGCGATACCGATCGTGAGGTCAGCAACGCCAGCTAATCGGGCAAGGAGGATGCGGAAGACGGTGAGATAGATGTGGAAGTTTGTCGAACGACTCATTTTAGCAACAGCCTTGACCTTCTGCCCAACGAATGGGCTGACTCGCCTCGAGACTTCGTTGCTCTTGAAAGCAGAAATGGGTACACGCGAACTGCTTATGGCCATTGGAAGAAGTGGAAGCACAGCTGGTGAGTCATGAAAGACATCCTTCCAGTATTCAAGCTCAGAATCCATTTCACCGGCTTGGAGCGCCTTGCGTTGGTTCACTGAGAAGGTGGGAAATTGCATTGGTGAAGGACCCAATGGTGTGCTATTATATGCTTTTTCCAGATCAGACAGCAGCACCTGCAAGCTGATACCGTCCATAATGATATGGTGGTAAACGACAAGCAGGTAGTGCGTCGTGGTATTGAGTGTAAGAAGGGTCATGCGGAGGAGATGAGGTTTACCCAAATCGAAGTCGTGTCTCTTATGGATCTCGTATTCTTGAGCTGCTTCATCGACATGGTTGATCGTTCGGTGCTCTAGCTTGACGTGATTCGTATCGGAGACGCTTTGAACTGCCATGTCAGGCTGCGAAAAGTCATTGACGAAAAAGGTTCTGACAGACTCGTGTCTCATGGCGACGAGCTCAAGCGCTTGTGCAAGCTTATCGACTTTAAGATTTCCATTCAATTGGTACTGGAAGGCGACATTAGAAGCCGTACGATCCTCGAGGAAGAGATCGAGAAGCCAGAAGCGTGACTGTGACAGAGACATCGGCTCTGTCCTCA